GGGGGGGGGTATAGGTGGTGGTCATCAAGACCTCGCCGTTGCCGATCCGCGGGGCGCCTTATAAGCTGAGCGCTTCGGCACCGGCACGGACGCTGAGAAGGGTTTCATGGGAAGGAAGGGACCAAAAAAAGAGGGCCTGTTGCTTCTAGATGAGGCAGGTAATGCGACCCTGGGATGGTGTATTTCTCCGGAAACCTTCGATCGTCTGCTTGCTAGCTAGAAAACGTGGGCTGGCTGGCTGGCCTTGTCAGGATAGGAATCCAAGAGTTTGGACAAGCACTTTCTAAAGCAACGAATTTCATGGTGTTGACGTAAGACGATGAGCAGCGGCCAGGGAATAAAGAAGGGGGCCGTTTAAGCATTAATGCAAGGCTAGTTTTGCACATCAACTACAGACGGGAATCTTGTGACGTGGGAATAAGCATATTCACATTTGTTTTGGCTGGCCTTGGCATCATCGTTCCTTATTACACAAGCATGGGGATAAAACAAATCCACCAGCGGATAGGGAAGAATACGCAAGCTTGCTGAACTGGTGATAAAGCAACATCAGTGGTAAGTGGTGTGTGGGAGTGAGCGACGAGCCGGCTTGGCATAAGCCATACCGAATTAACCGATCGACAAGGGGATTTATTGCTAGCAAGACACAGCGAAAAGAGGCAGAAATGGCGTGTCGGAGTTTTTCGTCGTGTGAAAGGAGGGGGGGGGGGCGCTGGAGAGAGGCTGAACTTGACTGGGGCTTGCTGACGGCGGTGGAATTAGATACGGATAGTTGCGCTTACTTATCGGTGACGGGCTGCTGTAGGGCTCAAGAGGAATCGATACGATGGTTAAATGCGAGAACAAAGGCACCCGAGTTCCTGTATTGCTGTTGAGACAAGTCAAGTTGACCAGCTGAGACAAAGTTCGGGGGGGTTGCATCGAGCATGTCTTGGAGAAGCGAGGTTGCAGCAGCGTGCATACCCGTTTTGGCGTTCCTGAGCTGTCCTGTATCATGCGAGACATTTCAATTGCGACAACAGGAGCGAGCAGTACGATGGGATGACCAGCCAACGACGATCCAGGGCTACGCTTGAAACCTCGCACTGTTGACTACCAGCCAAGCACGCAGGGTATAGTTGGGTTTCCCCCTCCACCCCCCGGCTTCAAGGGTCTCGATTTATTAGCTTACACCCATATCATCATCGGAACTGGTACGGACGCACACCCCCCCCGGGCTGGGGGGCGTAAGCGGCTAGGACGGATCGTTGGCGGCGGTGGGTGGCGGACCTTGGGCGGCGGTGACATTTCTTGACAGAACGATTTCGGTTCCGAGTTGGTTGTTTGTATCTGTACTCAGTGCCCTTTCATAAGGTATTCGATGGTGTGCCGTGAGTTGTGGACGTGGCTGGCTGTTGAGTGTACTTGGTACAAAGGCAACTGAGTGAGATGCGCTGAAGGAGAGAGAGAGAGAGAGAGAGAGAGAGAGAGAGAGAGAGAGAGAGAGCGAGTGAGTGAGAGAGACGGAGAATGAGTGCGGTTGTCGGGCGGTGACTTGAGCCCTGCATCTCGCTCACCCATGACCTGACGAGTTGTCTGGTCCAGTGCCTCCTCTGTCATTGCCCAATTCAATTCCTGTCGACCGCCAGCTCCACCGAAGTGGATGATTCTCCAGAGGCTTGTTTTTCACCCGGAGTGTCCAGTGTCGCATTGCTGTGGAGCCCGCCCAACCACCCTTCAGCCAATGCCAAGCGCGAGGCTGCTGCCAGGCGGATCGGGATTCAGGAAGCCTCTGACATGGGAGAGCCTGAATCCCGATTGCTGGGCAGTGCTTTGTTGCAGTAAACGGCATTGAGCCCTTGTCGCATACGTACTCGACGCGTGTACTGATGCCACACTATTTCCTACTCTGGATTGGCTTTTGAATTAATTTCATTTTTCCTTCAATTTCTTTGTATTTTCCCGTCTTTTTCACGATTTTGCTCGCAAATCGCAGTCATCGATATCCGAAGCCACCACTAGTTGGCGATCGACGCCAGCAAAAAGCCCAGCGCAGCCACCACAAACATCATCCCATCCCATCAAACCGCCCTGCTTTTTTATTGTTCTTAGCGCTGTGCCTGCCACACCTTTTCTTCTCTTTGGCGGCCCTCGGCCTAGTTCGTTCATGCTTCTCGCGACTTCGCGGCCGCGAGACACATACGCAACCAAGCTCCAAACACGGCCACACTGGCTGACCCTGACCAACCACGATATGCGCAATTCAGATTTCTGCGTCACTGGGCTGAAAGCTACACTATCTACGTACACAGGTTTCACTTCCTGAGTGCCCCATCCTTTCCCGCATGCCAGAACCAGTTCCCCATCCATGCGTTCATAGCTTCGGCGGTTAACTAGTCTATGCTACATCACCATCTCCATGTCACACGTTGTATTTATATCCAGGCTCCCCTCTCCCCATCCATAGGTTGCCCTACCATATTGTGTCAAGTCTTTCCATCTTTCCCACCTTTTTCCTCTTTGTCTCATTATCACATCTCCATCCACATTCAACCACGATGCAACTACGGGTATTGACGGGTGTAAACCTGTACATTGCCCTCGGGGCTGTAACCACCCTTTGGGTGCTCACCGTGGGTTATCTCGACAGCTACATACGAGGCAAGCCTCTAATTATGAATACAGAAACTCATCACAATCTTCCGCAACCCCATTTCAAGGGTACCCGGTCCGTGGTACACGCACTTCACAGCCCTGCCCAACCAAATGTCCATGTTCAAGGGCTTTACTCCCGGACACGCCCACAAGCTACATCAAAAATATGGTACGATCATATATCCAGCATGAGGCTCACCCGCAGGGCTTGTAGGCTTACTCACACGCACCCGTAGGACGCATCGTTCGCACCGCGCCCAACGAGATCAGCATCGCCGACATGGACGACATCAAAAAGGTCTACGGCCACAAGGAGACCTTCCTCAAGCACCCGGCCTACCGCGCGCTGGCGCCCAGCAAGGTCGACTCCATGTTCAACACGAGCGATGTCGAGCTGCACCGCCGCTACCGCCGCCTCCTCGCCTCGCCCATGTCCGAGTCGTCGCTCAAGACGGCCATCCCGGACGTCCACTCGCGCGCCACCGCCGCCGTCTACAGGATGTCCGAGGAGCTGCAGTCGCGCGGCGTCATCGACGTCTACAAGTGGTGGTTCTTTTACACCACCGACACCCTAGGCGAGCTGACCTTTGGGTCGTCGTTTAACATGATTGAGAGCGGCAAGGTAAGCTGACCCTGGACCGACCCCAGAGGAAAACCCCCCGTCCCCCCCCTCCGCCCCCGTCGTATAGTCTTTGCTAATCGCCCATGCTTTCCAGAAAAACCAATACTTTGAAGACATCCTCGCGGTCAACAAATTCGGCGGCATCCGCCTGCTCGTCCCCGGCCTCACCAAGCTCGCCCAGTACATCACCATCCCCGTCGTCGACAACGCCGTCGCCGGCGGCCAGCGCATGCGCGCCTACGCGCAGCAGTCCATCGCGCGCCAAAAGGCCGCCGCGCTCTCCGGCGACGACAAGGCGCGCGGCACGCTCTTCAGCAAGGTCTTCCAGGCCAAGGACGACGACACCCTCACCGAGGAGGAGGTCACCGTCAACGCGCAGACCTACATCGTCGCCGGCTCCGACACCACCAGCAACACCCTGACCTACCTGACCTGGGCGGTGGCGCAGCGGCCCGACATCCGCGCCAAGCTGGTCGGGGAGGTGGCGAGCTTGCCGGACGGGTTCACGGAGGCGGACACGCGTGGGCTGAGATACTTGGAGATGGTGATTGCGGAGACGATGAGGCTGCACGCGGCGGCGCCGTGCTCGCTGGCGAGGGTCGTGCCCCCCGGGGGCGTGAGTCTGGCCGGCGGGTATCATGTGGAGGAGGGCACGACGATCGGGTGTCAGGGGTACACGCTGCACCGCGACGCGGAGGTCTTTCCGGAGCCGGAGGAATTTCGGCCGGAGCGCTGGGAGAACCCGACGAGGGCGATGAAGGAGGCCTACATGCCGTTTGGCCGGGGCGCGAGAAGTAAGTTTTTTTTTTTTTTTTGACAATTCTGATTGTGATGAGAAGACTCTTTTTTGCTGACAATGTTGTTTTCTCTTCTAGCTTGCGTCGGCTCACACCTCGCCATGATTGAGATTCGTCTTGGTGTCTGCCTCTTCTTCCGCCAGTTCCCTAACGCCACTGTGTCTACCAAGGAGGGCATGTCGGACGCGGACATGGAGTCCAAGATTTACTTTCTCAACAGTCCTGCTGGAAAGCGCTGCCTCATTGAGGGTTGATGGGGGGAGTTGTGTTCATTTCTTGCATTTTCTTCTTCTTTATGAATGGAATGGATGTAGACGACGGGATGGCGACTTGATTTGTACCTTTTTTCATGTAATGTGGTCGCCAATTTAGACTGGCCGGATACCTGCATATGAATGCACAAAAAAATGAATACAAAAAACATCGTATACATATGAAACATACTGTTCAAACTTTTTTTTCTTTCTTTCTTTTTTTCAACGAGAAACATCTCTTCGCGAGCAGAATGCCTGGTTCGTCCATCACGATCCATCAACGTCTCTCGTCCGTCCATTCCCGTCATGACAGGATGAGCGAGAAGTGGACGCGTGGTGGGTAGTTTGACCAACTGCAGGCTCGTGTGCCCTTCATCGGACATGTACCCGCTAAGAATGAGGCCTATGTCTTCGTTACCCTACTCAATGGGCTTGATAAGCTCCTCGAACACACCCCTCGCTTCTTCAGCAGTATGGAAACGCAGCTGGAGGCTAATTCGCACACCGCGCTCTTCACATCTAATCTTTGACAACTCGATCATTTCAGAGTCAATGCGGATGGGTTTAGCGGCAACTGCGAGCAGTTAGTGGCTGGATAACTTTTCGACGTGGAGGTACTCGGGGTTCTCGACGCACGCTTGTGGGTGTATGTCGAAAGCTGTCCAGACGAAAACTCGAATATACAGAGTCGTATTTTCTTGCGCCGCTCGGCTTGCTTTTTAAGAATTTCCAAGAAAATGGGGCATTTAGTATGGATAGAAGTGGTACACCTCGCTGGCTTCGTGTGCATAGTGACACAGGCGTCCCTGAGGGAACTGAGATGGAGTATTAGCAAAAGCACTACTTCTGTTGATAAGTAAAGCGACTTTGATTCCGGCAAATAACATACAGTCCGTCGATGTAGATCCAGCCCTGATCGACCGCAGCTCGAAATGCTGCACGCTCTGCCAAGGCGGTGTCAGTAATTACACAAAGCGGCGTACCTTGGGCGGACAGCCACTCACCTGCTTCACCAAGCAGCCTTACTGTCAGTCCGGTAGGTTTAGTAGGGGGGCGTTTTGAGTCTGACAGCGGATACACGATCGCCCTTTTGATGTAAAACTCCTCGAGCCCAGCAGGACTTGGCCTTAGAAATATTACTTCATGTCGGTCGCTCTCAACCACTAAGTCGCGAATTAGATCTGGAGGCAGCAACCGGCCGACGCATGTCCCCAAACGTACATTGAAAACCAAGGCAAGACTCCAAATGGGTGGTGTTGAAGATGAAGCCGCTTCTGCCATCACGTAACAACACAAGCAAAGATGTTCCGCCGTCCTCATCAGACAAAGAGAGAGCACGATTACTAATGCACCTAAAAAGATATAAGTAATTCAATTTGTAAACATTCAAGAATAATTACCATTGATGGAAGTCTTGTTCGTTGAGCGTTTTGCTGTGCAGCGGGAACGCTTGATTGTAGAAGTACTGTCTGAAGAACGCTTCAAAATCTGTTTCATATTAGTGTGGCTGAGGCTAATTTATCAAAAATAACAGGAAGAATCATCTACATGCCTGTTTCCCCGACGAAGCTCAAGTGCAGCGTTACAGAGCTCAAATTTAATTTGAACCTGATTGCAATAGCAGGTGGGCCACCATCATCTCGCTTAAATTCCCAACCTTTCTTCGCCGTAAGCCAGTATTCTCCAACTCTTAAAATGAGAACTAACCGACCTGAAGGTATTGTAAATTGGAAGCTCAGCGGCGCACTGAGAAGCTGGAGGGCTCCTCGGCTCGACAGCGTTCCAAGAGCTAACTGATAGCATCCAATGGCCAAATCATCACCATCTTCGGGGCCCGGATGAGAATCAAATGAGATGCAGCCGACTCTGCAACACAAATTAGCGGCGAAATATACACAATAGAGAATCGGGTCCCGGGTAGGTGCTCATTTTGTACCTGAGTCGCCTAGGCGTTTGAGATAAGGTCACCTTCCAATGTGTGTCTAGTCGGCCCTTTGCCAGTTGACACTTGGCGGTCGCTATTTCTGTCGACACCAGTTGCGCATCTTTAAAAGAAATTTGTTAGTGCAAATACCACTGAATGGAGAAAAAGAGAGACAGACGCTGTTCATCCTCGCAGCAGATGCGGATCGACTCAGTGCTGCCGCCCGGGACTTTGAGACGACTGACATCGACATGAACGGAGCGTACTGCCAAAACATCTGTGAACTCCGTGACTAGGGAGAAGTCAGTGAGAATTTTAACATGCAAAAGGTTGCTCTCAGAGATGGACTTACTGTAGTAGCGAAAGAGATGCTTGCCACAGACACAAGCCAAGACAAGCGGCCTGTCAGAGTAGCACTCGTGGTCGTCTTGTCGTGGTAGCACGACGGTGGCTTTTTCGCAAATCTGTTTTCCTTGATCCTCGGATAGGCTTTTACTGACGCTGCAAAATCTAAAGAGAGGCGCGAGCTTGTCAGACGGCTTAGGCAGAAAACAGGGGATGCTTCAGACGCACCGCAGCCCTTGAAGCACTCTTCGAGCAAGGAGCGGTACGGGGCTAATAGCCGAGTCTCCGACGGTCTCTGCTATGCGAAATCGCCATAAATCGCCGGCATCAATCTCGCTGGTTTCCCCGGAAGGGCGGATACAAGTTCGTATGTCGTTGATAATCTCCTGCCGCGGCTTGACGCCAAACCAGAAGTCGCAAATGTCGAGGGCTTCCTGAACGACCTGCGGGTCAAGCGGTAAGTACACCAGTGTCCTTAAAGAGGTCAAACTCCACGCTGTACCTTTATTAACCGCTGTTGCTGCTGCCATTCCATCTGCTTGGCCGGAACGGGCGATGTGCTTGTTGGACGCTGTGGGTGTCGATAAATGCAAAGAACCGCCCAGTACGCCAAGATCAAGAGGCCAAAGGCCTTTCCTTTCAATCTCGGGGATTCTGGGGCCGCATGAAAATGCTGGTGAGCCTAATCAATACCTGGTAAGCGCTTGCGCGTAGGGCCAAGGCGGGGAGGCTTTTGCTGTATGCCTACTTCTGCAAGGTAGAATGACCCCATCGAAAGCCATTGCTGCACTGTGTAGTCCGTCCAGCTGTCTTTTCCAGAAGCCTTTACCAGGTCTTTTGCTAGGCTAACAACCTCGTAAGGGACGCCGCTACCTTCGACAGGGCCAGTACGACAGCCGTATGACCACAGCTCCTCGAGAGATGATGCTTGAGCAACGAGCAAGAGGAAGCCTCGCGATGAACAAAGACTTTGGCATAATTTGTGAGACACGATAACTGCCTCGTGTTCCTCGTTAACAGACTCGGCTGTTTTAGTTGAACGGTGGTTTGATCGAGAATTGCCATCAGCGCCATCTCCTCTGTGAATGTTGTGTCCGGTATTGTGACTGGAGTCGTCGCCATCGCTGCCATCGCTGCTGTGACCGCTATCGCTACCACTGCCGTAGTCGTACTCTCTACCATCACTGTCATTGCCGTCATCACCATTCCCAGGGCCAAGGCCACCCTGCTGGATTTGGTCTCTCATGTTTGTAACCATCCACAGGGTCGCTCTGCCAACGAGCGACCATGTTAGTGCCATGGTCTCAATATATACCAGTTCATCATACCTGTCAGAGAAAATTTCATTCAACCGCTCAGCCGTCATGAAGAGGGAATCGATTTTTTGTGCGTCTTGTCCGCGTCTCCAATACCATTCAGCCATTCCCCACCAGGTAGCAAGGTCGAGTTGCCTCTGGTTCAGCTGTCTTTCCAGCTCACGCACATCGTTTCCGAATGTTTGCATCATTTCAAGTATTAAACTCTCTTGCGTCTGGTTCAAACCTCGAAAGAAATTCGGAGTGTTCAAATACTCGAGCCATACTGGCCGTTGGAGCACAATGAACTGCAGCTGGCTTCGTTGTGCCTGAATCTGTTCACCGGCAGTGGAAAAGTTCTCGTATATCTCTACCGCGCGTTCCAGGAACTCAATAAAGGCAAAAATTTTGTCTGGAGTAATCATGGTTGTCGAAATGTCCCAGCTTGCTGGTTTGAGTAGCGGCAAGAATGCAGTTTGGGCGTTTATGCCACTTTGATGGCACAAAATTGGCCTGTGAACCACGTACATCTCGAGGCGGGGAAGCTGTCCTGTATGCCATGGCACCCATGCCTTTGTCCACAGGTCGGCTGTCAATGAGACATACCTTCAGCTGTGCCAAACCTGAGTGGTCTAATCGGACCATGTGAATAAATCAGGCTGAAAGCCTGATGCCCAACTTTGACGACAGAGGCGGGGTAATGGGCAACTGAATTGCTACACTCACTCACCGATCTGCCAGACGAGTGCCTCATTCAGCATCGCTATACAACCCACATTACTCTCAAATCAATTCACAAGCCGGTGGTAAACGATCAGTCATGACCGTTGAAACGATCAGTCATGACCGTTGAGAGAAAGAAAGACCACAGTGTCGGAGAGGGCTTAAAAATGGCGAAGAATGTCTTCAAAGCCTTCGCTGGGGGACATACAGAACCGTCTGGCCCTTCAACGAGCACCGGAAATCACACGAAAAACGTGCTGCGGATATTCTCACCCGGGAGCGATGGCACCCCTTCGAACAGTGCCAATGATAAGTCCGGCGTGGGCACCGCTGCCTGCATAGCTGTGGTCGGAGGAGCAATTGCTGCTGCTGGTGCTGCTGCTGGATATTATGCTGGGACGTATGCGAGCGGGCAGGACAGAAGGCAAGCCGATGCACCTGACTTGGCGGTCCCGATGGTCGAAATCATAAACGAGGAGCTGTACACGAGCGAAGTGAAGGAGACTACAACCACCCGCGCGGACGGATCTACTACCACCGAGAAGACGAGCAAACAGAGCAAACAACGACGCGAGAAAAGGGTTGTCAGGCGGCAGCCGCGACATGCGCAGGCAGAAGGGGCACCGGGAGTGCCGCCGAGGGCTCCGGAGGCTGAAATGAGGAGACGTATGGCCGTCGCCCTCATGGGACAAGGCTAGCCAGCTGATAGAGCAGCCGTTGGGGACGACGGATGGGAAAGAGAGTCTTGACAGTCGAGGTTGGACATTTCCAGTTGTGCTGAAGCGTTGGCGGGGAGAGAGCCGAACGTCTTGACTAGCTACTAGCCATTTCGCTACTCGATAGCACACGCTCTTCATCTAGATCCTTTTATCAGTTAGTATACTGGATTAATTAATCCTCATCAACAGACAGAAACTCGTACCGAAACTACGCGCGTTGCATTCTTGGTTTGTTTGGACTTGTTTGGACTTGTTTGATGGCTGTGTGGAAACACAGGTGAGCCAAGAAGCCTATCGCCCTTGACCAGTGTTTTAAAGACTGTCGTTATTTCTGAGACTTTGATTCACCGTTGTTGAGGAAGTAGACTTTGGCGGCCACGGCGGTGACTTTGCCGTGCCAAACCTGGCCGAGGGTGATGTGGCCCGTGGGCCAGCAGAGAAGAGAAGGCAGTTTCCCAGTGTCGGGACGACCAGCAAACGCTCGCGCTTGAAATTATTTTCTTTAATTTCTGAAACCTGTATTTCAATCTTGTTACATTTTTAACATTTTTTTCCATTGGCTCAACACGGAGCCTGAGCGGCCGCCCGCCTCGGCTAGGCACCTACCTACCAACATGCTGTCGGGTGACAACAAATGCACCAACGAGAGACACGCAGGCGAGTATTCATCCATGCAGCCTCAAACATCAACACGAGCGCCCTTTTGATTCGCACGCTGCAGTTTCCCGTCCCAGCCATGGTCGCACACGTAGAGCACCGTGACCAGCTTTCCCGAACCCGGCTCGCTATTCAATGATCGATCCAAAACCGTTCCGCTATAGCCTAGCGTGCACAACACCCTCACGTAAGATGAACATCCCAGCACAAAGTCCGCATTGGGTAGTAAGCACCCAGTTTGTCTCGCGCATTGTTCACGGATCAAAGGCTGCATGATGTAACACCGGACCCTCGCCGCGAGTCGATTATAAAGGGGACCTGACTCGCCCCCGTCCGTCCCGAGCCTTTCACCCCATCCTGAGGCTGAAGGCGATCGCCATCCCGTTCGATCCAAACATCACAAACAAACCACGACCAGACATGGCGTCCGTTACCAGCACCGCAATCTTGCTCCTGGCCGCGGCCGGCTCCCAGGTTGCCGCCGTTCCTGACTACGGGCGGCCTCGCGGCCCCCCGTGCAGGGCGTATCCTGGCACGAACGGCTGGCCTTCGGCAGAAGCTTGGAACGCCCTAAACAAAACCGTCAACGGCCAGCTGCTGCGTCCGACGATCCTACCTGGCGGCGTCTGCCACAAAGGCCAGCCCAACTACGACGAGTCGCGGTGCGCCGCCGTCGCCAAGGACTGGGAGACGTCCGAGTTCCATCTCGCAGACCCCATCTCCGTCATGTCCAACGAGTTCACCAATAACACCTGTCTGCCGGATCCCAAGCTTCCTTGTAGCGCCGCTGGCTACCCCGCGTACGTGATCAAGGTCACCTCGTCTGCAGACGTTAAGGCAGGTGTGGACTTTGGTAAGTTGTTGGCGGAAAATATTCGGTCAATATCGGGCATCACTCACTGATGTTGTCCCGAAGCCCGCAGCAAGAACGTGCGCCTCAATATCAAGTCCAGTGGCCACGATTTCCTTGGCCGCTCCAATGCTCCCGGAACCCTGTCTCTCTGGACACACCACCTCAGCAACATCGAGTACCACCCAGGCCAGTTCAAGCTGGCATCTGGCCGCACCTTTACGGGCAACTCCGTCACCTTTGGCAGCGCGGCAATCATGTGGGACATTTACAAATCCCTTGACCAGTACGGTCAGACCGTGGTCGGCGGTGGCTCCAAGACGGTCAGTGCCGGTGGCTACATTACCGGTGGCGGCCACTCTATCCTCTCTCCTCGCTATGGCCTCGCTGCAGACCAGGTCATTGAGATTGAAGTTGTGACTGCCGACGGCAATATCCAAAAGGTCAACCAGGACCAGAACCCTGACCTGTTCTGGGCTCTCCGAGGTGTAAGTTTTCGACGCCTAAAGCGACTTCTACAAACAACGAAACGATATCCTGACCTGCTTCTCAGGGCGGCGGTTCTACGTTCGGCGTCGTGACGAGTTTCACCGTCAAGACTGTTCCCAGCCCCAAGATGACCGTCGCCCAGTTCCTTGCCTTCACCGTCCCCGGCGCCCCGTTCCTCAGTGACCTCATCGGCTATGTCGGCGCGCAGAGCCCGGCCCTGATGGACGGGGGCCTCTCCGGCTACAACCTCGTCAACCGCAACTTCTCCAACCCCGCACCCGGCTCCGGCCTCCCCGACTACCTCGCCGGCTTCCAGGGCCGCTTGGCCGTCCTCGACGACCCCCACGCCAACGACACCATCGCCGCGCTCTTCAAACCCATCAACGAAACCATCAACAAGCGCTGGCCCGGCAAGGCGGGCTTCTTCAGCAGCAACACCGAGTACTCGTCGTTCCTTGACTTCTTCGCCGCCAACGCCGACACCGAGACGGTCGGCGACAACAAGTACCTCGTGTCCCGTCTGCTTAACAAGGAGGCCTTTGACGACGAAAAGGCCCTGGGTGAGGCTTTGCTGTCGGGCACCGCCCCGATCGGCTTCTCGACCTTCTTCCTGGTCGGCGGCAAGGGCGTCCAAAAGGCCAAACCAGAGGGCGGCAGCAGTGCGGTCAACTCGCACTGGCGCACCGCCTACGTCCACACCAGTATGTCCGACAAGTTTTGAAACGGAATCCCCTAAAACACTAACCGTTGTTTAGTTACCGCAACCGAGGGCGTCCCCTTCGACAAGGCAGCCACCGACAAGAACCTTAAGGAGCTTGAAGATGCGTGGGCGCCCGTCCGAAAAATCACGCCCTCTTCCGGCGCCTACCTCAACGAGGTGAGCATAATTTTCCGAGAGAATAAAGACACCAAGCAGCTTACTGACGATAAGTGAACAGGCTTCCAACTTCGAGCCCAACTTCCACGAGAGCTTCTGGGGCACCAACTATCCGCGCCTCGCGCAGATCAAGAGCAAGGTCGACCCCAACGATGTTTTTTGGTGCACACCGTGCGTCGGCAACGAAGGCTGGCGCCAACAGGAGAGTGGCCAGCTTTGCAGAGTCTAGTTCACGGCGAGAGATTTCAGAACTTCTTGACAGCATGTTTTTGTATATGGAAAGAAATAAATGTCATGATTTGCATTGAGAAAATATAACTTGCTTCCTTTTATCGTTGACTTCGTCATGAACAATAACTGCAATATTTCTTCCATCTCCCCTTTTCTTGTAAAGCAATATGTACCTCAGCTCGAAAAATACGCACGTACAAAAAAGGAAATCCTCAACTGTATAATCCGGACAATCCCATCAAAGCATTTGCGCATCTACACCGGCGAGGGCGAGTCCCAGCTCGAGGTCCGCGAGGCCTTGCCCATCTTCTCCTCATCGCTCTCGCGCCACGGCCGGACGGGATTCCCGCGCCACCTCGTGCTGCCCGGGAGGTGCTCGCCGCGCATGACCAGCGAGAGCGGCGCGATCGTGGTGCCGGCGCCAATCTCCGTACCCGGCAGCGCGGCCGTGAGCGGGCCGAGCGTCGCGCCTCTGCCGAGGCGCACCTCGTCGAGGCGCATCAGGCGGTCGTGGAAGAGGTGCGTCTGCAGGAGGCTCCCGCGGTTGACCGTCGCGCCGTCGCCGACGACGCACAGGTCCGCCTCGGGCAGCAGGTGGCTCTCGATCCAGGCGCCGCGGCCGACGCGCGCGCCGAGCGCCCGCAGCAGCGCGGCCAGCACGGGCGTGCCGTAGATGTAGCGCACCGCCAGCGGCACGCACATGGCCTGCAGGAAGGAGTCGGCGAGCTCGTTGCGCCACACGAAGGAGCTCCAGAGCGGGTGCGTGCTGCCGGCGCGCACGTTGGGCGTGAGCAGCCACTTGGCGGCGACGGTGAAGCCGGCGGCGGCCAGGCCACAGCCGACGAGGAGACCCGCGGCGGCGAGCACGCCGAAGCCGAAGCCAAAGAGGTCGGTGAGCCAGAGCGTGCCGAGGCTGGCCGTGGAGGGGAGGAAGCCGTTGAGGAGGAGCGGGAGGACGCGGCAGGACTCGATGAGGGCGCGCGCGACGACGAGCCTCATGGGCGGCGCAAAAGTCAGCGCGTTGTCAATGTTGGCGTCGACCTTGCGCGGGAGGGAGATGGGCGGGCGGCCGAGCCAGGAGGAGCCCGCGTGCATCTGCTGCTTCCCCCCGAGGCGACTGGGGGCGGAGCCGAGGACGCCGATGAGCGAGTTGTCGGGGACGCTGACGTCGGGGTCGACGATGGCCGAGTTGCCCAGGAAGGACCGGCGGCCGATGGAGACGGCGCCGAGATGCATGCGCCCGCCAGAGAGCTCGTAGGGCGCGACGAGCACGTCATCGGCGAGGAAGGCGTCGTCGTGGACGGTGAGCAGGGACGGCAGCGGCACCACGGTGGAGGCTTCGACGTTGCGGCCAATCTTGGCGCCGAGCAGACGCAGCCAGTGAGGGGTGAGCAGGCTGGCGAAGAGTGGGAAGATGTTGGTGCGCACGTCCATCATCAGGTAGTGGACGAGCCAGGCGGCAAAGGCGGCGACGCCGTTCCAAGAGTGCGAGCCCGGGTGGATCGCCAGGTTGGCGAGGCGCACGATGATGACCACGGCGGCGAGGTAGAGCACGAGGCCAACGGCGGTGCCCGGTGCAGTCATGGCAATAATGCCGATACTGAGCTGCCGGAAGTCGGTGTAGTCCTTGACGAGGATCGGCATCAGGCCCCAGATGGGCGCGAACATGAGCACGGGCAACAGGTCGAGCATCAGCAGCGCGAGCGTGTAGGCGATGCCGATGCGGAAGCCGCCCGACGTCGGGCGGAACGTGTCGTCGTGGCTGGAGCCTTGATCTGAAGACGATGCCGACGGCGGCAGCGGCGACTTGACGACGCCCTGGACGGAGATGCCAGGCTCGACGGTGGCGTACGGCTCGACGACGGCGTTAGGCATGAGAATAGAGCGCGCGCCGACACATGCACCCTCGCCGACCGTCACGGTGCCGACGTGCACTACGTCGCCATCGATCCAGTAGCCCGCGCAGTCCACCTCAGGCTCGATGGCTGCTCCATCGCCAAAGATTGCCAGCCCAGTGACAGGCACGAGGGCGTGCAGCTGCACGTCGCGACCGACGCGGCAGCCCATCAACCGTGCGTAGTACCGCGCCCAGTTGGTTCCCGCGATCGCGCCAAGTCTGCCGAGCCCGACGAAGCGGTCGGCCGCCCAGAGGCGCAGGTGCGTCAGCCCAGCGCGGCGGTACTCGCCGGGGCCGATGCCGAAGGCGAGCGCGCGGACGATGACGACGGTGGTCAGCAGGCGGCCCGGCATCGTCATGAACAGGGCCCAGAGAACACCGACCACAGCCCACGGCAGTTGGTGGCGCGTGGCCCAGAATGCGCCGCGGTCGGGAAAGACGGCCTCGAAGATGCGCTTTGAGGTGAAAAGCGGCACCATGAGGCGCAGCCCCTCGAGCAGGAAGAGCGCGACGAGCACCACGCTCTGCAAGAAAATGACCCAGCGCGGGCTCAGGCGCACCTCGCGCTGCACAATGTCGGCACCGAGCAGCTCATCGACGCGGTCCGCCATGGCCGCCAGCGTAGGGTGCTCGTAGACATCGGCGACGGAGAGCGTGTGGGAGCGGCCGCGCAGCTGTGACACGAGCTGCGCGGCCGCGAGGCTGGTACCGCCGAGCTCGAAGAAGTTGGCGTCGGGCGAGGCACCGGACGCCCCGAGCACGGCGCGCCACTGACTCGACACCCAGGCCATGGTGTTGCTGTCACCGTCGGCTGCGGCACCGTCCGAAGGAGACGACGCGGGAGGCGGCCACGGCAGCGCCTTGCGGTCGACCTTGCCCGACGTTCGCACGGGGATGCTGTCCACAGTGACTAGCATGGGGATCAAGGTCGGAGGCAGCATACGCTTGAGGAAGTTCCTGTCCGAAGGCGATGATGCTTCTTTGTTGCTGTCGTCGCGCACCACGTACCCGACAAGGACCTGGTTGCCCGTGTCGGTGCGGCGGATGGCGCTTGCTGCACCCTTGACGCCAGGCAGCGTCATCATGGCCGCGTCAATCTCGCCGAGCTCAATGCGACGACCACCCAGCTTGATCTGCTCGTCGTTGCGACCGACGAAAAGGAGGCCTTCCTTCTCGGCGCGGACCAGGTCGCCGCTGCGGTACGCGCGCTCGCCGCCGAAAGCCGGCGACGGCGTAAACTTGGCCCGGTCCTTTTCGGCGTCCAGGTAGCGCGCCATGCCAACTCCGCCGATAACGAGCTCACCTTCTTCGCCCCAGCGCACCGGGTGGCCGTCGGCGTCGACGACGGCCAGTCGCCACCCGGCGAGCGGCAGGCCGATGCGAACTACCGGGTCGCCGACCTTTAGTGGGGCGCCGCAGGAGACAACGGTGGCCTCTGTGGGGCCGTAAGTGTTCCACACGGCGCCGACCGCGCCAGCCAGCCGGTGGGCCAGTTCGGGCGAGCACGCCTCACCGCCGAGAATCAGCAAGCGCAGGCCGCTAAGGGATTCTGTCGGCCACAGGGCGGCAAGCGTCGGCACGGTGGACACAACGGAAATGTTTTGGGTCGTGAGGAAAGTACCCAGCTCAGCGCCCGCCTTGACAAGCGTGCGCGCAGCCGGCACTAGACAAGCGCCGTGCCGCCACGCCAGCCACATCTCCTCGCACGAAGCGTCAAAGGCGACAGACAGACCGGCCAGCACGCGATCTCCAGGTGCCAGGGGTTTGTCGGGGAGGAAGAGGTGCGACTCGGCATCGACAAAGGCGGCGGCGCTGCGGTGGGTGACCGCCACGCCCTTCGGCTTGCCAGTCGATCCCGACGTAAAGATGATCCATGCATCATTGTCTGGGGAGGGGTATTTTTGAGACGCCGTGGTGCCAATTGGCTTTGTATCTTGGATTGTAATGGTGTCATTGTCGGTGATGACGGCGCAGACGCCTGCCTCGGAGAAGACGAGGTCCGCACGCTCGTCCGGATCGTCAACGTCGACAGGGACGTACGCTGCGCCGGCTTTGAGAATGGCCAGGATGCCGATGTACAGCTCCGTGGTGCCAGATGTGACGCGAATGCCGACTCGATCACCAGGACCGAGTCCAGCTTCACGCAGACGACTGACGAGCGTGTCCACGGCTGCGGTCAGCTCAGCATAGGTCAAGCGATCAGAGCCATTGTCGAGTGCGGGGGCTGTTGGATATGTTTTTGAGGAAGCAGCAAAGATGTCGACCAGCGTTCTCGCTGCTGCGGCCTCCTCGTATGGGTAGAGGGCATGATCCGACGAGGACAGCGTAGTGGATGAAGGGGCAGAGGATAACGACAGTGTAGAGGCAGAGGAGAGAGGAGTCATGGAGCACTGCGGCTCCTTTTTCTCTTCCATCATGGCCAGGGAAGCAAAGTTGTGTTTGTGAAATGGAAAGAAAAGGCTTTAGACAATGGGAAAACAAGAAGTCGCTAGTTTGACAACGACCGAGATTCAAGCCACCCGCTAAGGGTTGTATGGGGCAAGGGACTTATACCAGGAACTTCTTGATGGATTGATTCATGGCCCCCTCCCGTCGTCAATCACGAGGCTTATATATCCATTGCCAGTTCGCAAACCGTCTTGAACAGTATCTCAGCCGTCCCGGTGCCGACGGGACAACATGTCCCAGGCCATGGCTTCATCCTGTCTTACATACGCTGAGCTGATCCTGCAGTCTGCTTTGAACGAATTATTTAATTAATATCACCTGCCGGTATAGTTTTGGAGCTTTTTTAGCGGGCACGCACCCGTGTCAACATCAGAAAGGGCACACTAGGTCGGTGGCGTGAGCGGAAGGGGTCGATGCCAAGCTCCGGCGGCCCAGGTGAGGTGGGTGAGAGCGGCATCGTGGGCCTGGCCGGCACAGTCTCATTGGTGGCTCCGGCTGGCACGTATGAATAACTAGAGTTTTTGACCCGGCGAGCGGCACAAGAGCTGGTACCTGGTCTCAGCTGTCCATGCGGCGCCACGTTGAGATTGGCTACGGGATTAGAGGAGGTATCACCGGGTAGAGCAGGTCCAGCGAGCGGATGAGGACCAAATACTGGCCTGTGTCTGACCATATTTTTCGCGAAACTGTGGCGAGCCACTTCAACCTCCAAGCACACAGGCACTGACGGCAGCGCGGCATGCTGTGCGCCGATATCCGTCCAGCTTGAGAGATGAGTTTCTCCCAATGAAGCAAGACTCAAATGCTTCCCTACGAGGAATAGTACTTGCCTCCTGCTCCTAGTGGGGAAGTTGGGAACAAGTCCAACGGGGCAGCGGCTATGTCGGCATTGCGGCCATGCCCCTTCGCTCGACACATGTAGTTGGTGTTTCTTGTGTCTTGTTTCTTGCATTAGATCGGCAGCCGCGTCATCGAGTAGAATTGCACTTGATGCAATCGAGCTGACTCTATGACATGAAAATCGTAACTCTAAATCCTGCCGGTACTGGGGTTGCTTTTTCCTCCCGCTTCTTGTCAAGCGATAAGGGTTCAGCTCTGACAAGGTGAGCTTTTTTGCGTGAGGAAACGCCGGCTCTCCGACTTGTGGCGGAATGTGGCGGTACCTAGAAGGGATCTTAGATGCCTCACGATGGAGTCGTTGGACCATCGGTCCAATCACTACCGGCGCGGGGGTGAGCTGAGGTCAGTTTCTTGGCATCATCTTTAAGATTCTTGATGCCCTTTTGTTGTTACGATGGCTGATTAGGTTTTTGCGTGCTTTCAGCCCTGGGCCGAAGGGGCGATGCGCCGTTTCACGGCTATCGACAGTCAGCAGCCTTGCTTGAAAGCCACACGTCGGTGTCGTGATCCTTTTATAAATAGCGTGCTGCAACGGGGTTGCGTTGAACATGAAGGAGGACAGAGCTGCATCATGTTGCGAAGAACAACGGATGCCAAGACCTCGCATGCGCGCATGGTGCTAAATTTAGCAGTAGACCCCAGCCCAGGGCCTAAGAGAGAGAGCAATAAATTAATACTTACTGCACGCCACGGAACAAAAGTTCGTCCTGCCTGCCAAGCTGTCAGGTCAAAGCTGACCGGAAAAATTGGGAGGGAGAGGAAGCAAAAGTCGAGGGCATGAAATTGACGGCCGAGCCATCATCCGTACTTGGCAGCAAAGAAGTGAAGTCATGCCTTGCCGCATAGCTGACGCACATCGACCCCGTAAATAGTCGCGTTTTTCTGGTCCGGTATACTGGGCAAGGCCCCTGCCCTTGTCTGGGTCCCAGCAGACACAGATCTACGATGCCGTGGGCCACGCTAGGGACGGCTAGGAGAGAGCAGGGTTTGCAAATGGCCTCTGCTGTTGCAGCGAGACCCATGTGTCAAATCGATTGCGACAGTGCGCGGTCTTCGCTCTCTTGTAACTCTGAACTCTGTTGCAGGATTTTGCGACCGGGTCTTCGGGCATGTAAAACCCGGCGGAGGAACAACGGTGAGTCGAATCGACGACGCAATGCAGTCATGAGGATCCAAGTGCCGAGGAGTGAATCGTCGAAGGGAAGGGATCGGCGAGGGGTTTAGCAGCACTCGACGGCAAAGCGGCAGGTACCCCAGACACACCATACAATTTGCTCATTTGGGGCCATGATCCATTCTCATACCATGTCAGCCACTGGCGCTGAGGATCGCGTCGTGTCTTCTTCTTCTGTGGTTGCAGGTCGTCTCCCGGACGCAATCTAGAGGACGCTGGCCGGTGTTGGCTGAATTTAGTGTCAAGTTTTTTGTGCATTTGTCAGTTTTCGCTTCACCATCATCATCGGATGAACGAATGAATGTTGCTGATGAATGGCTTCACTTCGGGCTGGCGAAATTGTTTTGTCATGGCCACCTCGTCAGCCGCCACTTTGTGTCCTTGAAGAAGTTTTTGACGACTCGGCTTTATTGGAAGCCCGGAGAGATATTTTTCCCATGCATCACCACGTCATGCCAAGGTGGTGCTTAATAAACGAGAGCGGGAGGTCCTGGAGGTTCGGGGAGTCCTGGGGGTCCTGAAGGTCCTGGGGGTCCTGGGGGGTCTTTGAGTAGCCATTCCCCTCCGTTCTCTCTTGAATCCCGTCATCGGCGTAAAAACTCTCAGTTTACTCCCTTTTCCTTTTCCTTCGGAGGCCTCACTCCGTGCGTCCTGCCAGTCGCCTTGATGACCTCGGTTCCGTGTCGCCCAGCACCCGTCGTGATTCGTCGTTTGTCGTGGCATCAACTCCCCGTCCAAGCCCGTCACGCCGTCACGATGAAGCGCGAAATTATGTAGCCCCTGGGCGTTCAGACTGCTCCCCGGCGACGGCCGGTCCCATCGAGGGGAAGAAGCCAAAGCCAAAGGGTATTCGGTGGCGTTTTTGGGCTTGACTTGGTGCTTTTGGCACGGGGTTGTTAGGAGGAGCTCGGGCAGAAACAGAAACACGGGCCTAGTGGCTGCCAAGTGGCTGGTGGATGGATGGATGGGGTACGTTTTAGTGGTGGCGTAACAGGTCTGACTCGATGAGCATTTTTGTTTCCGTGTCATGTTGGGATGGATTGGGATGGATGAAGATGAAGATGAAGCAAAGACGAAGCTCTGCTTGTCGGAGGGAGTTTTGATTTAATAGTACGTTGTGCGATGAGGAGGGCTGGCTCAGGCTCAGAGTCACAGCACTGCCTCACATTGTCACCATGCCTGCCCTGCCCAGCAAGTCAGACTGCGCCACGACAAGGCCTCGTCACCTATTTTGCGCTTCACAGCGTCGGAGTCCGTCTTCCCATCACCCATCGCCTTACAAGGCGAGCGGGCGCACAGCAAACAAAACGCCTCTTGTTTTGCTTTAATATCGAAATCACACCGCTTTGTTCGCCGTTCATCTGCTCCGTGCCAATTACGAATTACCTTGTTGATTAACCTCGTCTCGACTCTGTTGCCGAATCCTTTTTATGTCTCTGCGTCGCCTCCGTTTGCGTTCTTCCTACATCACGACCCTCTCGCACTTCTCATCCCGCTTTTTTCTCCGTGATTGTCGCTGCAGCTAGCTGAGTGTTTAAACCCAGTTAGCTGAACAACCTTATATTAATTATCCTGCAGCCTCTGCAACCACCCGCATCTTGTGTGTCAGCCGTGCCTTACATGCGCTCTTACAGGCCAGCTGTCAAGCCCGTGGCCCAACAACTCGACGCCTGTCTCCGCGCCGTCTCACCACATCGTTCAATTTCTGCCAGCCATCATCGCCAAATCCTTACGGTGGCGCCCACGAGAACCGGAGGTGCCCTACCGAGTCGAGAATAGAGCCAGTTTCCAGACTCACCAGGGCGTGTGTCTGAGTCGGTGTGTGTCTGCGCGCGCGTGTGTGTGCATATTAATACGTGCACAAGTAACGTTGACTCCCTCCCCCCCGGTCGTCATGGTGAGAAATGCTCCATAACCCTATGCAAGCCACGAACAAGAGGCATCCACAGGCCCGAAAGAAGCTGCCCTCTACAGTAGTAGCTTATAATCATCACTTATTAACCTATTGGTAGGTGTTTGCTTTCCTTCCATCGACGTCCGTTCGCTGGGTCACGTCTTTACTCTTCCTGGTCCTTGCCATGACCCAGTTCATCGGTGCCGGTGCGGCAGACGCCACCCGTCCGGGGGCTTTCGTCTACCGCGGCCCGGAAGATGATCCAGATTTGTCCCTGACCGTTGGTCTGCTGCTCGAATCGTCCTCTTACAATTTCAATGTCTCGTATGTCGCGCCCGACGACATCACAGAGGAGAGTCTCAAGACGATCAAGGTCTTTGCCTTTCCAGGCGGTGAGGGTAGGTTTTCCTCTTCCTGTGTGCGTCCGTGTGTTTTCTCTTTTTCATCATTCCAAATACTGTACCCCTTTCAATAGTACTCGACCCCGTTCCTTGCATCCTTGCTTCCCTACTCCTCCCCACCGTGCAATCAAAGCACCATCAAAAGCATCAATTTTTGCACCAAAATCAAGGCCAAGAACCTCGCCGCCAAGATGTGGCGTCCCGCAGATCTCATCGGCACCTGAAAACTAGTTAGTTTCCAGGTATTGCCGAGATGACGTGGCCCCCAATCCCTTCACCATCTAGCTTGGCTTTTTTCGATGCTAACCGAGTCCCTCTTTGTCTTGGCAGATGTGGACAGCTCCTGGGAAGAACTCGAGCCCGTCGCAGATCGCATCCGGGACTTCGTCTCTCAGGGAGGTCGCTACCTCGGCTTCTGTCTGGGCGCCTACCTGGCTGGAGACTCTCCCGGCCTCGCCCTGCTCCCCAAGGGCTCGAAGATTTCCGCCGAGAGCGACGAGCCCGACGCGCAGGTCAAGGACGACCGGGACACGGTCATACAGGTCAACTGGGAGTTCAGCTCTGGACCTGAAGCCGGCAAGACGGTCATGAACCGCTGGGTCTACTACCAGGAGGGAAACCTGATCAAGGACTTTCCCGAGACCTCGACGAGCCTGGTGATTGGACGCTACTCCACGACGAACCACGTCGCCGCGACCATTAACAAGTACGGTAACGGCTGGGTCGGCACTACAGGGCCTCACCCCGAGGCGAACCAGACCTGGTGTAAGTTTCCGTACCAATGGGCCCCGTGCATCATGCTGCTTTCCATACTAATGCTAGGGGTGATACAGTCGACTTGGAGAAACTCACCGCGCCAGATGGTTTGCAGTTTGAAATAGGCCACGACCTCATTGAAGCCACGATGAGCGGCGGCCACAATGTCAAGAACCTGGCGGTCCCGAAGCCAGGCGATGGAACCGACGGCACAAACCCACCGAGTGGCGGTAATGGAAATAACGGAACCACTGGAGATAATGGAAACAGCGGAAACAACAACGGCAATCCTGGAAACAACGGGACGTCCGCGAGCCCCAAGGCCGTGGAGAGCAGCGGCAGCAGAAGGATGAAGAACCCTTTACGCTTCTTCTTCCGCAGATAAGCGTGCTCGGATCTCGTTGTCGTTTTGCCTTTCTATTGTACAGATCATGACGCGAGGTACTCTGCTTTGATTGTTTGCATGCCACCAATATACTATACAGTCTAGATTGTCTACATTTATGCAACACCATTTAGCTAGCAGCAACTATACTATACACTTGGCATATTCACGAATATACTATTTTAATTGCTGAGAATTGTTTCGAATTAACTAGGACAGCATTGACTTACCTTGAGAAAAATCCAACTGTGTGTTTTGCATGTGTATCTGCCCGTCACGTCGTACTCAATGTTAGCGTACTGCGCTTTACCCTGCGCCCAGCTCCATCTTCTACAATAAGAACAGCATTGCAGAAACCTGCATCGCCAAATATGTAAAACAGCTTGCTTGCATTCAGTAGTAATTTATCGATCTGTCTAAAATCTGAAACCGTTCCTCGGATTGGAGGTTGAAACGTTTCTACATGTAGAGGTAAGACAATGATGCATGCGTCGCCACAATCTCGTGACGAGCTCGCCACCCTCTTTCCCCTCATTCTCTGCCCGCATTCCAACCACAAGCGTTCTCAGAATCATCACCCTCCTCCACTAGAAATCCATCAAGTTCAACAAAGCTTGCCCAAAAGCCCCGTCGAGCCCCCCCCCCCCCCCCGGCGCAGCACACGACACTCCCGCTGCACGTCACCAGAGGTATCTTGAGACACTCTTAGCTTGTACATACATACACAACACCCGCAGCTAATTTTCTCCCCGGCGTTCTGCGGAGGCGGTGGGCAAGGAGCGCAGCATCGAGGCCCCGAAGCGGAGTCGACCCCGCGGACAACCGCGTCTACGACGTCGTCGTGGTCGCCGGACCTGCAGCGCCGACAGAGCTGGAGCGCGCAAGACCGCAAGCACGAGCTGCACATGGCGGCGGTCGACGACGTGCGGACCGGTCCTGGCTTCAGCGAGCGGTCCGCCTGAGTTGTAATGACAAGTGAAAAGGGCAATAATTCGATATCGATGAGGCCCCCCCTCTGAACGAGGATGGCGATTGATGTACAAGGAAATTTGCAAACGGAAACAATAAAATTTCTATGGCAATAGAAATTCAAGGGAAGAACAAAATGACTACAAGCTGATCCCAACGAAGAGAAAATTAATACCTAATAAGCAGTTTAATCACATAATCCAAGCTGATTTGAAGAATGACCACAAAATGAAAGAGTGTATTTAAAGATTCTAGAGAATGCCAATTTGGTTCTCATCTGCGGTGAAAACAACCACGTCGCTGGTCCCAACGCCAGTTTGTGTAATTCAATGTACACGAAAATAAGAAAAGCAAAGAGAGAGACAAACGCCAGAAATCCATGTCTGTAATGGTGTACCCATGCATGCGCCATGTATGAAAACGACAAGTCAAGTGAAAGAAAGGAAAAAGAAGGCTGCAGCTCACGCCTTATATCAAGCCAGTCGTCGACAGATGCTCCGCCAAGATCCCGACGCCATACGCAGCGCCGGCGGCGCCCGCCGTGCCCAGGGCCAGCCTCTTGCCCAGCGAGCGCCTCCTGCGCCCGACCGCGCTGGGATCGTACGGGGGCGCCCCCGGTACGCCGCGCCCGACCTTCCGGAATATGAGGACGTCGCCGCGGCCCGAGACAATCTCGTACCCGCGCGCCTGCAGGGGCTGAAAGTGCGGGAAGAACTTTGCCGGGTGCGACAGTCGCATGATGGCCTCGACGGGCGTCTGCTGCGATGGAGACGACGACGAGTCTAGAGACTCCGCGGCCGCCGAGCTCGTTTCGGCGATATTGACTGTCCGCGTCTCCGGGTTAAATGCCAGCACCACGTACTCGGCGACGGCTGCCTCATCACCGCGTCCCCCACTCACTGCCGGCGACGGCGAGTGTTGTTCTGCGTCCTCGTTAGCTTTAGGTTGATAATGCCTTACTGTCGTCGGCCATGTCGATTTACCGCCAGTTTCGCGTGAGTAGCTTACTTCCAGTCCTTGCGGGAGCTTTGAGTAGGGGTCCTGCTGAGCTTGCGTGCCCTTGCCCTGGTGGGCAGACAGCTTGCTGAGCGAGTCCTGGACGGAGGCTTTGCCCGTGGGGAAGCTCTCGTCCATGGAGCTGACGCCGTCGTCGCCCTCTTGCTCGAAGCGGCGCTCGTGCTCGGCCTTGGCCGCCTCGAGCTTGGAGAGTCGCTGCTCAGCGACCGTCTCGAGCTGCTCGGCCACCGGTGGTTGCTGGTGCTCCTCGGCACCCCACCCGGCGGCATACTCGGACTTGCCATCCTCGAGCTTCTCGGCGCGACGCGCAGCCTCGAGCTCCACGTCAACAATAGGCTGTGCCTCGGAGACCGGGCCCTTGGGAACCTCAGCCTCGAACGAGGTCTGATAGCGCTTCTTGGCGTCCTCAAGGTTGACGAAGCGGCGCTTAGCGGCAGCCTTGATGGTGCCGCTGGGCACACTGGGGGCAAACGCCTGCTGGTCCGCACTGGACTGGTGAGCAGCAGTCTTGAGACGGATCTCAAGATCGTGCTCATTAAATTCGGGGGAGATGGAGTGAGCGGAAATGTCATCCAAGATGGGCTCATCGTATTCGTTGAGATCCTTGTAGTTCTTGGTGGCCTCCTCGGGGTGAGTCGGGTATTTTCTGTTAGCTGCGTCGAAAGTGCGGGGGTTGTAGCTGGAAAGATCAGAATAGTTCTTGGTAAGCTCCTCCGGGTGAACGTGTTCCTTGACGCCGGGCTCTTCGAAACCCGCCCTGGGATAGGCCGAAAGGTCACGGTAACGCTTGGATGCTTCCTCGGGGTGGATCCGCGCAACTGCAGGGCCGGCATTGGGGAACTCATCGTACTTAGTGAGGTCGCCGTAGCGCTTGGAAGCCTCCTCTGGGTGAATGCGAGGCGACGTAGGGTCCGCGTTGTCGTACTGAGCATAACGGTCCAGGTCCTCATAACTTTTGGTCAATTCTTCAGGGGTGGGAGGCTGCAGCCCGTCCGGTTCGTTCCAGCGGACGGGGCCGTACTGGTCCAGATCCTTGTATTCTTGGGCGTAGTCGGCGGGCTTAACATCGACCTTGTCCGGACGAGGGGTCCCACGAGGGGTAGCGTCCATCTCGCGAACCTGCTGAGCCTTGAGTAGGGTATCCTTGCACTTGAAGCCCTCGGCGTATTTGTCCAAGTCGTCGTAGTTCTTGGAGAGCTCTTCTGAAGTCAAGGGGCGGAGGCCATCCGGCTCGCTGTATGTCACGGCGCCGTACTTTTCGAGGTCCTTGTAATGCTTGGTCTTTTCCTCGGCAGTCATGCCAGGGAGCCCATCAGGCTCGTTCCAAGTGACGGGACCGTACTTGTGCAGATCGTCGTAGTCTTTGGTCTGCTCCTCGGGCGTACGACCAGGAAGACCATCGGGCTCATTCCATTTGGAGGGCTTGTATTCGTGGAGATCCTTGTACTGCTCAGCGCTCTCCGCGGGCAGGCCGTCGGGCTCGTTCCACTCAATAGGCCGGTACTTTTTCAAGTCGTTGTAGTGTTTAGACTTTTCCTCGGCAGTGAGCTCCCAGGGCGTATCAGGGTCGTCAAAGCTGGATGATTTGTATGCCTTGAGGTCCTTGTAGTTGGGGAACTGTGAGGTAGCCTCGATCATGTTCTCGGCGTTGACAGTTTTTGTGGGATCTTTGGGAGCAAATTCTTGGACGTAGTCGCGGACGCTCTTGAGGGGGAGGCGGAGGTTCTCGATGGCCTGAGGGGTGTCCTGCTGAGGACGCAGCAGCTGGTCAACAGCATCGCGCTGGAAGGCGCTGGTCGTCTTGTCGGCGCCGATATGCGAGAGGCCATCGGACCAGGACCTGATATTGGCAGTGTCGGCGTGTCTGGCGCTGGTGCTGGACATGGGGTGGGCATACGCTGGAGTGGTTTGTGTTGTGCACTTGGCGGCAGCGCGGGCACTCTTCTGATCCCAGGAGAGTCTGCGGCTGATCGTCTCCATGTATGTATAGCGAACGGCGCGATGACGACCGCGGGCGTCGTGGTCATTTTCGACCTGCCATGGACCATAGCGGTAATGGCGAGTCTGCTGGGCGGCAGATGTGATGGAAGCTCTGGCCAGAGCCAGCCTGGCGCGCGGGGTGGATTGAGCCGCAGCTGAAATCATGGCTGGGCGTGTACGATGTTACGGTAGATGAGTCCCGCGACTGCTATATGATCTAGAGAGAGAATGGGGTCAGCACGAAGGGGGCGATATCGACGACCGAGGGACCTAGAGTGGCGCAATAATTACATACCAGCAGTGAAGGGTTAGGCGGGAGAGCGTGTGAGAAGGCGGGTGTGAATGACATCTACCCAGTGGCACGGCAATGTAAGGGAAGAGGAGCCGTGTAACTTGGAGAAGATGGGTGGGCGCCGGGGAAAGATGAAACTATCGTGACGTAGATGTTGGAAGAATACTGATGAGAAGAGGAAGAAGTTCGAAGTTGAAGCGGCAGATGAGGGGAAACGGTTAAGACGACGAACGGAGAACGGACAGAATGTTTGGAGCAGAAGGTGCATGGAGGCAGTGGGCGGTACATGAGGGGGTACATTGCCGGTACCTCACGATTTGGGCCCAGATGCCTGGCATGGGGCTAAAAAGTTACAGGCGATAGTTACAGCGGGCGCAGGCTAAAAATGGCTTAGGAGCAGCCAGCGAATCCACTTACGACGGCCGAGACAGCGCTACTGCTCAGGCTCTCAGCGGGCTCCCCACGGCGCATCACAGTAGGTCCGGGGCGAATATTGGCGGATTTGGCGGGCAGTTCCAGGCGCTCTCAAGCCGTTGAAGCGCCAGTGTAGCGAGCCAACCAAGGCGCCTCGCGGCGCTGTGGTAGAGGTGATGTTGCTGACCAAGCTGGTCAAGCTGCTGGAGTGTGCTCAACCCGTCTGATGTTCTGGCTTGCGGAGAAGAAAGCCCGAGACCTTCTCTCAATACGTACCTGCAATCAAAGACATTCATCTTCTCTGCTGGACCAGCATGCCGATAGTGAGCGGTTTTTTGCCATTGCTGCGCCTTGCTGCAAGGTTCATAGCACTAGCAAGGGCTACAGTGTTTCCGGCTAGTTATCAATACGACCATGTCGTTGAATGACGCCGGATGTTGCAGTATCGTGGAGCTCGCATGGCGTGGATGCTGGTGAATTCAATTGGTGAGGTGTGAGTGGGCATTGATGCCTGTGGCCAACTGCGGGCCACCCACTGCGCTGAAGCACCGACTTGCAGCGAGCAATCGCCAAATTACAGCGGGTGTTAGGCTTCGAACAGTGAGCCATCACCTGTGACGTACCGACTCCACTGTTAGAGCCCCCTTGGTCCCCGCTTGTTCTTCTATCGTCGCGCTGGTATTGGCTCAGCTCGCAAGGTTGCAGTGGGGTCCTCCCTGCCATCTGGGAAACGGACGTACCGTTTAAGTACCTTTTCTGAACTGACAAGAAACCCACGATGAGATTCAACCGGTGCACGTGATCGGGCATGTACAATCAGGCCACGCACAGAGATAGACAATAATAATGGTTCAGATGGTGATGAAGAAGATGGTGCAATATGCGGAATTGCAGAAAATTCAATGGAAATTGGTCCGCGCTGCCTGAGGTCTGCTCACGCGCCAAGTGGCTTGGCCGGATGGGCAACGGTGCCTGGGCGCCACACCGCAAAGGTGCACCTTTTGCGCGCTGCATTCTAGCGATTGTCGAATTGCCACAAGAGCTTGAATCGATCGGGGACTGCATCTCATTATGCGATCTACTAATCTATTGAACGTCTTGGGCCTCTTGCTACGTTTTCCTACGCCTGTTTTGCAGTGACATCGAAAGGGAGCCGTCTCTGTCGTCTCCACTGCTCAACTAGAGCGGCCCATGACGTCAGAGAGCCCAGCGGGCGCACAAATCAGGGACCCAACTTCGCTTTGACGTGCTTGATCTCCGGCCGTAGCTATCTTTCAGTTTTCCGTCTCTATTTTACACGGGGTCTGAGCTTTGGCGTTGGCATCTGGTTCGATGTCTCCTGTGTTCGCTTCGACGTCTACCAAGTTAGGCCCAGACTCTGGCAAAAACAACATATCCCAGTCTGGTGCCATGCACCACGGCGGCCTCACATCAGAACAAATACGCGGCAATCTGTATAAATCGGATATAAGAGTCTCATATCTTGCAGCCTCCTCCAAGCCCAACCGGCTTCCGCATCGGGTATCCCGGCTGCCAATGGAAGGCCGTCAAGGCTGCTCTCTCTGCTGACTGTTGCTCTTATGTATGGCTGCCCCGACAGGAAGGAGCAAGATTGGAATCTGTACGCGGTAGCACAAACTACTAATAGCTTCTCATCGTGACTCAAGTTCCTGTTGCGACTGAAACCTGGTTAGACTACACGTATAGCAGGAGCCCCAGCACAGACTCTTCATGAGTCCTGCCACGTTTCTTAGAGGAAGGAAAATCGCAAAAAGGGAAACTCACCGTCGCTCCTTGTGTGTCGGGCTTCGGGCCCTTGACAGACTCCTTGCCTGTCAGTCAGCAGCCGCGGACGCCACAACCGTCGTTGATTGATCAGTGAGGGGAAACTGGTGCGATGCCTCGGCCGACAGGGCCCCAGCCACCACGGAGCGTGGACAATCTCATGCTAAATTCTACCACCCGCCCTTATTACCTGGAGTCAATGCCCAAGTGCTCCCTCGGCACCCACAGCCTTTCCCCGCCATTTTGCCCATCTTTTCTGGACGGATCCCCCAGATTCCGGGGGTGACATGTCCGCTGTCAAAAGTGGTCTCGTACAGTGCATTGTCGAGAAGATAGACACCGTGTGCGCACTGTGTGATGCTGGTCAACGCTATGAATCTCGAGACAGCGGTGTTCAACGACTAATATGAATCATGGTTCTGAGAAACGTTGCGACTACCATTGTACGATTTTATCCTTGCAGAGCTTTGCAAGCCAATTTGTCTTGATAGAGTGCGGGTAGAACAGAAACAATCTGATCCGCAGCATACAGTGTTTGGCCTCCACACTCTCAGACGAGGCTCCCTCCTGTCGCAACCCCAGAAAGGGATCTGCAAATGCACACAATGGACATGTCCCCCAAACCAGACGCACGGCGAGCGGGGTAACACCTCTACAATAGGCTATATAGAACAGTTCGACTCGTGCGAATATAACCAGGCGAAAAGCAAAAACCGCGCCAAATGCAAGTACGCGGAACAAAGCTGGCTACCCAGTAGCTAGCGTTGCGATGTGATCGACCTGGTGCTGATCTGGGGCCGCACAACGGGATTCTTCATCACCCCGAGAAGGAAACCATGGGCAAGGCTACGTCAATGACCTGTGCCGTTTATTTGTCAGATATAATCCTTCGACCACTTTCGTCTTGACCGATATCCAATTTCGTCAAGTCAATCCCAAAACAAATTGCATTGAGCCGCAAACCAATCCCCGCTAACTCAATGCGACGGAACGGTGTGAGATCTTGGAGATTGCGTTCGTCTCAGCCGCTACTATAAGACAATACAGAGACCAACAAAAAAAAAAAAAAGAGCGACCCTTCCCCGAATCGCGTCAAAAGAGAGAGCACAAAGCGAAACCCAGCTAAATAAAGCGCCTTCCACCTCGCCATGAGCGACGAGGTCAAGAGCATGTGCTCCGCATCCGCGGACACGGCGCTTGATAACGGCTGCCGCGGCGGCGGTGATGGTTCGCCTTCCGTCGATCATGGCAGCAGCACCGTGGGAAGCACGCCGGATGACCGCGGCGCCATCGTTCTGCGTCGCAAGAAGCCCATTGCCGGTTGGCGACTCGCCGTGATATTCGCATGGTAACCCGCGCACTCCCCTTGTTACCTTGTTCATGGCTGACTTGCCCTCTACAGCATCGGCATGGGTCTGTTCCTCTCGCTGCTCGACGCCACCGTCGTCGCCACCATGCTCGTCGACATCTCCGCCGAGTTTCAAGACTTTCGAACCTCGTCCTGGGTCGTCCTCGCCTATACCCTCACCGAAGTCGGTCCGTTCCTCCCTCCTCCTCCTTGCTCTTGGACATCCCCATGTAGTTACTGACACACCCACCCGCGTTCAGGCTTTGCTGTCGCCATGGCCCGGCTCTCCGACGCGCTCGGCCGCAAGACGGTCGCCTGCGCTTCCTTCGCCGTCTTCCTTGCCGCCTCCATGGGCTGCGCCGCCGCCGCCAGCCTCGACCAGCTCATCGGCTTCCGCGCCGCGCAGGGCGTCGGCGGCGCCGGACTCTACGCCATGGCCATGATCACCTACCCGGAGCTGAGCCCGCCCTCACGCGTCGTCCTCGTCACGTCCGCCCTCGGCGTCATTGTCGCCCTGGCCGGCGTCTGCGGGCCCGTCATCGGTGGCCTGCTAACGACGTACGTCGGCTGGCGCTACGTCTTCTGGATCAAGTACGTTTTGCACTCCACGCCCCCATCTCCCCTTCATCAACGAAAGGAAGAGAAGACTGCTGACAGCGATGATCAAGCGCACCCTGCGCGTTCGTCCCTGGCGTGCTGCTCCTCATCCTCTGGCCCAAGGACTACCAGCTCTTCGTCAAGATTAGCATGCGTCGCCTCGACTACCTCGGTGCCGTCCTCATCCTCAGCGCCACCGTCCTGCCCGTCTTCATCATCAACCAGGCCGCGATCCAAGACTACGCCTGGCGCAGCGCAACAACCATCAGCGTGCTCGTCATCGGCGGCCTGTGCTGGGTCGGCCTCGTCGTCTGGCAGCGCCAGCTCGCGCGCGACGTCCGCCTGCGCCACATTCGGCCCCAGCTACCCTTTCACATCCTCACTAGCCGCGTTATGCTCGCCGCTATCTTGTAAGTTTCCTCCTTTCTCGCTTCTAAGGGTGGCCCGAAATAAGGGAAAGGCTAACTTAACAATCCCTCGATGAAGTGACACGTTCCTCTCCGGGTTCGTCCTCCTCCTAGCCATCATCAACATCCCCCTCCGCTCTCAAATCGTCAACCTATACGGGCCTGTGAAAGCCGGTGCTCTGCTCCTCCCCATGATGGGCGGCGGCGCGTTTGGCTGTGCCCTCGGCGGCGCCCTCTCCCTCCGCCGCAACAACACCTTCCCCGTGTTGGTCGCCGCCAGCGCCATCCTCGCCATTTCCTCAGGCGTCCTCTCTGGCCTTCCCGATAAAGCCGAGCCGCCCGCGTGGCAATGGGGCCTTGAGGCCGTCCTTGGCGTCGGCATCGGCCTCAAAATCTCCAGCACCACCTTCCTCGCCGTCTTGCAGTCCGACTTTGAAGATCACGGTACGTTATCCCCGCGCTAGACTCCCTCTCACGAAAATGCCCGCCGCAGTTGCTGACTGATGCGCATGCATGCAGCCATCTCGCAGGGTATCATCGCGCAGATGCGCGTCTTTGGCGGCAGCCTCGGCGTCGCCATCAGCATCATCGTGCTCATTGCCAAGATCCAAAGCGGGCTGCAGGACAGCCTCACGCCCGACCAGCTCGCCAGCTTCTACCGCTCGCCGCTCATTCTCCTCCAGTTCGGGCCCAAGCAGCAACTAGTCGCCCGCCAAGCCTTTATCGACGCCTTTCGCGTGGACATGTACGTTTGTGTCGGCGTGTCTGTTGCATCGCTGCTCGTCGCCCTGTTCACATACCAACGCCACCCGCCGTCAGTCCAGTCCAAGCTGGAGGACCTGGAGAGGGAGCTGGCGAGGGGCGCGGCGCTGATGGGAGTTTCAGAAACAACAGAAGCATAAACTCACGATTAAGCAGCATAAATGTATATGCAGATAGAAGAGCCATGACTAATGATGCACGTGTACATAGAAAAAAAGCATGTTCCCAGACGCGGAAAAGATGACATCCGGCGGTTGTCAAAAGAAAGTAAAAATTCAATTCGCTATTTCCTGATCCAATGGTATTAGTTGCTCGTTGTCCGATACACGTTGTCGCGCATGACGCTAGCTGTCTCTGCCTCATCTCTCATTAATGCCGTCGGTTCCCGCCACTGTGTGCCTGTGTGCTGTTGTTTGGTGCTGAATGCTCGAGTGTGTGTTGGTCGTGTATTGTTAGTCCATCAGTGTCTTGATGTATGTCGTTGCGACCTTCAGATGTATTTTGATAGTCTTGCTGGTGGCTGTGCCGTGAACTCTCCGAGCTCGGGCGTTCCTTATATGGAGGCACCGCCACGCCGGCGACAGTAGCTTTGTCTTGCTCGCGCGCTTTGACGTAGACGGGTAGCGGCTCGTCATCAGTGGGCGATCGCGATCTTTGGTATTCACCAATACGTTGCAGTCTTTGCTCTTGGAGCTGATGCTCTTCGCGTTCAAACGCCTGTCGCTCTTTCCGCCGGGATCGAACACAGAACCAGAGCGCGACGGCAGAAATGCCGGCGAATGCGGCAGCGATGCAGCCAACCACGATGCCAATTATCTGTCCCAAGCCTTTATCCAGCGCATCGGGGTTGGTTTGCTTTCTGGTCAGGCTAGGGTCGATTTCCGTGCCTGGTTCCCAGGTCTTGACTGGATACTGCACAGACACGACCGGCGGTGACGGTGAAAGTTCAGAGGCATCCTTCTTTTCCCACTCGATAAACCAGGGTTGGTAAAACATTGTCACTACTGAGGGTCCTGGCGTGAGTGGTGGGGAGCTTGTGGCATTCCTGGCTGCAATCGAGGCTGATTTGGTTGTCGCTGACACAGAGGCAGAGCGGGCGGTTGAGGAGTCGGTGGCTGTCGTCGTAGGCGTGGTTTGCGCCGTAGTAGGAGTCAACGTGATCGTTTTCATGCAGTTACCCCCGGATATTCCGATAATATCCCTTTCGTAAAACATGGAGTACGAGAAGCCGCTGCGGATGTGCGCATTAGCATATGCCAGTAGGATGTAGCAAGCTCTCATTCCTTACCTCGGGCAGCAGTAGGCTGTGGTGCGAATAGTTTCTGTATTGGGCTGGTTGTTGAATAAATCGGAGAGCTGGTTGTAGTTGTAGCCGCTGGGGCAAACGGCTTTGCTGTAGCTAAACAAGTAGCTGCTGTTAATATTGTTCCAGCCAGACGGTTGGCACGCGGAGTACTGGGCATTGGTGACGGGCACCAGAATTTGCGGATATGTGGTGTTTCCCTCGCTATCGCCAAGTGTGTACGAGACCGTGGCCGCAGTCCAGTTCTTAACCGGGGTGCATTGCGATGGCGGCACAAACTGCGTCGTGAGCTGGGGGAGGACGAGAACCGTTAAATTGGCCGTGGCGTTGGCGCCCGTTGTGAAGTTGGTGCCATTTAGAAGCGGCGTGGTGGACACGGCCGTTGGCGTTAGCGAAGCGAGCGTCGTGGTAATCGAAGTCGACATTGCCGCGGCTGGTCGATCAGTCGCGAAGAGGGCGCGTAAGGACCATAGAGGATGGTTGAAGAGATGGCGAGGATGAAGAAACAAGAGAGAAGAGACGCGATCGATGGATGGATGGGCGCGGGGATCGAGCGGCAGACAGGGCTTTCGTATCTGGTATTCTGGACAGCAGCTGGCACTCCAGCGGATACAGGGGCCTCCACAACTCTGGAACAAGAGGGCGGACTTTAGCGCAGCGCAGGGTCTGACTGGAGCGTTCCTGGCCGGGGCGGTCGAGCGAGACAAGGGGGTAGAAGGCGTTCGGCTGGAGGTTCCGTCCTATCCTTGAAGGGCAGAGTAGATGAGGAGGCTTGTCGCGAGGGGTTGGTTCAATGCTGCATATGTAGCAGCAATCGAGTCGAGGATGTGCTTTGCAGCTTGCAGCTCATGTGCAGACAAAGTCTTCCTTGGAGTGATTACTGATCGCCAGGCAGGGAAGTGTCCGTTGTCGCTGTCATGGTATTGGTGGCCGATCTAAATTTGGCAGCAGCACAGCCTGGACGCCGTCCCGCAGCAAACTCTCGATAGCTGCCGATTGATGAAGTGATACGAGGTGCCGCGTGTGCGCGTGGAGCGTCCTCCCTTGAGTGCGGCCATGGAGATGGATCGGGTCCGCTCACGCGGCGGAAGATGCCGGCGCATGCGAGGGCAATCTTGGCAACACCCTGTACGGAGAGTATAATAAGCTAGTTTGTTGCGTGGTATGACGGCTCTTTCATCGCCGCCAAGTCCGTCGGCGTCTTTCTGGAGGGATGTGTTGATAGACAGGGGGGCAGATCCTACCGAGTTCCGTTGGGCGCTGCTAAATCGCAAACATGCCATGTCCCCGGCCGTTCAATATAAGCGCCATGATGGACGAGATTTGGGTAGCTGGCTGGATGCTTTAAGTGATTCGCAATGCTTCGTGCTCGTGTTTGATGGAAAAGGATGGTTGGTGATGTCCGTTTGCAACGACTGGGCAATGCATCGTTGCAACTAAGCGGGACCACCCGGTATGCCTTGTCTCTGTCGACAAATCCTTGAAGGACTGACAACAAGGAAAAAATCCAAATGCAATTGTCAGTTGGTTTTACGCTGGCTTCAACGTAAATAACGGCCGATTTGTATATATAGGTACTTAATAGTGTGCATTGTTTCGAGCTGTGACTATCATATGTACGTACAGGCTAGGTAGAAAGTAGGACCTAGAGAAGGTGAAACTATACACAACGCAACAAAACTAACAGGCAAAATATGAGTTTCAAAAAAAAAAGTTGATTCATTTTTCGAAACTATACAATTCGAAGATTTTAACGGTCCCGTCTGCGTCGAAGTCCGTTGTACTATGGTGGTGCTCGAGAGCACCACCCGTTTTCATGATTTGTTAATGAGAAAACCCCAGTATTTCTAGAAATTGTATGAGTAGTCAACTTGAATCTATCCAAATCGTTCGTCTTTCTCTTCAATCTATATACAGGCAGGTGAAAAACCTCACCATCAATATTCCAGTCAGCCTGGCTGTCGGTATGACTCCATCCAGACAAGGGCCCACTCTTAACAATTCTTCTACTTTCTACTGGTACAGACACGCCTCAACCTGCCTGTGCCAGACGTCACTGAGCCGCATCACAAAATCCTTTAAAGACACGCCAGCTTCAGCTGCCGCCCGCCTTCAACGCCGCTTGATCCTCGCGACACTTCACCGGACACCACGCGCGAGGCCATACTGTACCATGAAGCGTGGCCAAGGACGATCTGCTGGCGGCAGCCGCCCAGCCCCAGGTACCGGCTTCGCAGGCTTTGGCGGGCAGGGCTCCGGCAGCTCCCTCTCGTATCTCGCTGAACCGCCCTCCTTTGCTGCCATCGCGGACCCTAATATAGTCGTCTCTCTCAAGAACGTACTGAAAAAGGACAGCACAACAAAGACAAAGGCGCTTGATGACCTGCTAGCCTACGTCCAGGCCCAGCCCCACGACAAGGATGGCGGGGTAGAAGACGCCATTCTTGATATCTGGGTAAGACAACTTCCCCATGTCGTCTACACATTGCCGCGTAGGATCGTGGCGTAAATATCTGACCATAGCTAGACGCAATTGTATCCGCGTGCATCCATTGATAATGCCCGTCGCGTCAGGGAGCAGTCCCACCACTTACAGCTCGAGCTGATGAAGTCGGCGCGTAAGCGTATGGAACGACATATCCCCAAGATTGTCGGTGCATGGCTTGCTGGTCTCTACGACCGCGATCGCGCCGTATCTCGGGCTGCCAGCGACGGCCTCGGCTCTTTCCTCACTAGCCCCGAAAAGGCAGATGCCTTTTGGAAGAAGTGTCAGCCTCAGATCCTGGCCTTTGCGCTTGAGGCTATTCAGGAGACCCAGGATATCTTGAGTGATGAGCGCTCCACAACTAAAGAAGATGCCGAGGCCAAGTACTTCCGCGTTATCAACGCGAGCCTATCGCTAATCTTGAGGCTCCTTCAGCGAATGGAGGATTCTGATATGACCCGCTGCCGGGACAGCTATGACGAGTACTTTGCTAGCGACTCTGTCTGGAAGAGCATCACCCTCGCCGATCCATCAGTGCGAAGAAGTACTTGCCAACTTCTCATCCTGTGTCTCAATCGCAAACTTCCCTATGCAGACTCCGTCGAGTGCAGGCAGGCCATGATAACAGGTGGACTCAAAACTACACAAACTGGGTCCGCTGAAGAGTACCTCCTCGCTCTTGCGAAACTCACTCAAAGCCACCCGGATATCTGGGAAGCTTCTGCCAAAAGCAAAAAGCCCCCCACGGCACGACTACGTGCCTTCATTACCAAGGGCTCGCAGGGTAGTCGGGCAAGCTACTGGGAATCCCTAGATACCCTTTTATCTCTATTGCCGCGCAGTACTGTCACTATGGAATCAGAATCCGATTTGCTGAAATCGCTCCGCTCTGGTATTGAATATCGAGAAGAGCCTCGTGCCAACGCACATCTTGGTTGGAAATGTTATTCCAATGCTGCTCAACGAGCGCTCAAATCACTGAACGAAAATGATGCATGCAAACTGGCCAAAGAACACACTTTCCCTCTCTTCGAGAACTTTCTATTTCCTCCCGCAAGCCGCCCTTTATCTATTGACCTGGCTACTTTGGGCTACATCTACCGCGCCCTGGTAGGCTCGTCTCCTGCTGTTGCCTCCATCATGGAAGAGGAGCTCACTAAACTCAGCACTACCTTTTGCACGCATCTCTCGGGCTCTCTTCCCAGCGTTTCAAAAGAACACCAAAATTCCCAGGAGAAGGTCGGAGAGGAGGGTCGTCGTTGGTTTCAGCTTGTCAAGGAACTACACCAACGTTCCAAGACGGACAACTTGTCAGAGTTGGCAGACCAGCCTTCTCTTACCATCATTTCCCAATGCATATCTCTGCTTGAAAGCCGGAACATGAAGCCATTTGGTGCTGCAAAGACCTTGGAGCAAGCGCTCCGCTCTGTACCCCATCTATTCTCAGGCGATGCTGGCGTCCGCGTTTCCAACTTCCTGCTCGCCGCAGCAGAAGACTACATGGACAAGTTGGTCGAGTCTTCTTCGGCCCCGATACTTTTGGCTTGCTTAGATTTGTGTTCATCCATCGATAGACTCAGCACGCTATACAGGTCCACTTGGAGAGCCTGGGTGTCAGAGACAATGTCACTCCCTGCAAGCGAGAAAGCCAACGAGGTTTTGGCTGGCTTGATCTCCCAGAAGGCTGCCTCGGATTTTGCGCTGTCTCACCAAGCTGTACAAACTCGCATCTTGGAGCAGGCCACCGCAGCTACGGACGGTGCCGGCGGCAGCAGGAGTCTCTTGGCGGCGGCCGTGAGCTCTGGCACCTTTTCTCACGATAACCTGCTGACCCTCGCCCGACATGCTGTTTCCATGCTGCAGCAAAAGCCTTCTAATGAGCCTCTCGATGTCTTGGCTATTATCGCTAGTGGAAGTCCGAAGATACTGTCCGAAGACGACGACCTCCACACTTCGCTCGTCACCGTCTTGCTTGGCTTGTCAGAACTCGACGGACACGTCTCTGTTGCTGGCAAAGCGGCCAAAGTCCGAGCTCTCATGGATCAGCATACTGATGGCAAGTTACCCACAGTGAGCATTATCCTGTCTAATCTTGAACGTGCAACGCCTCAATCCCTCGAGTAAGTAGCTGCGCCAGTAAGTAATGAAAGATTTTCATCTAACGGGGTTACAGCATTGAAACTCTGGTCAAGCAAGCGAAAGAAGCAAGCTCCGCTGATGTACCTCTGGAAGATTTGCTGCCAAGCACCAATATTTGGATGGAGCAGCTGAAGCCCTTTTTTCAAGCACACATCAACCCGATTCTCTCCATAACTAGCCCCATCGGAGGTGCTACTATCTTGTCCAACTCATCGTCCAATGTTCCCAAGAACACCCTTCGCGTGCCCCGTGATCGAAGAGGGCGCTCTATCCCTGCAAGAATGGCGATTTACTTGTCACTGTTAACCACCGACGGGATTGATCTCTCTAAACTCCCTTCGCAGTTCTTGGTTGAGCTGCTGTATCTCCAGTGCATTACCGTGCAGCTCATCTCAGATCAAATCACGCTTAGTGATACGCATGGAATCTTTGCCGATCTTGAGGTTGAAGAAAGCATGCGCGAAGCAGACACCGTCATCACCTCTCTACGATCATTTCTGAACAAGTACACGGCAGAGAAGGAATGGTGGGTAAATGGCCAGGGAAGCTCGGAAACAGAAATTATTCGCGAGCTATCAGGCCTTCTAATTCAGCAGTCAAAGTCGCTCTCGGCTTCTGCTGTTTACAGTGCCCGGGCGCTCAGCGAGCTTCTTCAGGCAACCGCAGAGGCGCAAGGCTGGTCTTCCTCTCTAGAAGAACACTTTGTCAAAGCAGAATATCTCAAATCGACCCCCAACACCGTTCTTGTCAGCGCCGCCATTCTTGCAGGGTTTGGCGAGCCGCTGCAGGCGTCGAAGCAAATCAACAACTTTTGCAACCGGCTAATAAGTGACGTGGCCGGCGCGGCTGTTGATGGCGAAAAAACAAAGTCAACATTGTCACTTCTTACGCTCTGCTCCCGCCTATACGAAATCGGAGGGCTACCTGCCATGAACACCCGTATCGTATTCGCTGTACGTCAGATTACGAGCTGGCTCGAAGAACCAGAGCTCATAGACGCAGAGACCTCCACTGAGATATGCCGCGCTCTCAGTAGCTTACTACCCTGCATGAAGGGCGTATACGGCTCATATTGGGAGAAGACGCTTACGTTTTGCCTTGACACGTGGCGCAACGAATGCGAATATAAAGTCGACGATATGTTGCCACTGGTGCACGCTTCACTAAAACTGGTACGGGTTCTTGAAACCATCTCCGAGCCAAACGACGACTTAGAAGATGCGCTCAAAGAATTCACCAGCGACAGGCCATCAGCACTGGTAGAGGCCCTGAAGCTCCTCCGCGACACAAATTCCCCTGCGGCAGAAATCGTGACGGCTGTCCTATCAAGAGAGGTTGAAAAGATTTCGGTGCGCCAAACTCCTGACCTGGGCGATATCTACGCTTTGATGGCTTCGGAATCGCGAGATGTTCAAACCGCCGCTTTTGGCCTGCTGCACCGAGCGATCCCCTCGCAGCAGGAACAGGCATCTGTTGACATTCTTTTGGATAAGACAGACGCTCGACTGCCGGATGAGCTTGTGTCATTGTTACTAGACGCCCCAACGCTGGACAGCTACTCCGACGAGAGTCTTGCCCAGTTTCCGCTAGCCATTCGATGCTATCTGCTGTCCTGGAAGCTCGTCTTTGACGCCTTCTCCGGGGCATCATTTAAAGTTCGGGCCGACTTTACCGAGAATTTAAAGACGGACAATTCTGTCAGCCCATTGCTGGACTTTACGTTTGATGTGCTCGGCCACTCGGCTGCACATGCCTTGAACCTAGATAAGGAGGGACTCTTGTCAGAGCACATCTACGACTATGATGTCAAGCTGGCAGATGCGGACACAGAGGAGAGGAGTATGCAGTGGCTCCTGGTTCATATCTACTACTTGGTGCTCAAGTACACCCCTGGGCTGTTCCGCACGTGGTACCTTGACTGCCGCTCTAAGCAGACGCGCATCGCCGTCGAGGCTTGGACAACCAAGTACTACTCGCCGCTGATCATCGGCGACAACCTCGACGACGTGCAGAAGTGGGCAGAGGCGCAGGAGCCGCCCTCGGCGGACGAACAGGAACTGCAGGTTAGAGTTTCCAAGCCCGCGCGCGAGGTGACGGCAGGCTATGAGGTGGACGAGGCGCTGGCCTCGATCGTCATCAAGGTGCCAGCCAGCTACCCAATCGAGGGTGTGACGGTGGCCAGCCTGAACCGCGTGGCCGTGACGGACCGCAAGTGGCAGAGCTGGATCATGACGACGCAGGTCGTCATCACCTTCTCCAACGGCAGCATCATCGATGGACTGCAGGTCTTCAAGCGCAACATTGTCGGCGCGCTCCGGGGCCAGTCCGAGTGTGCCATCTGCTACAGCATCATCTCGACGGACAAGCGCATGCCAGACAAGCGCTGCACGACGTGCAAGAACCTCTTTCACAGGACATGCTTGTACAAGTGGTTCCAAACCAGCAACCAAAACACGTGTCCGCTGTGCAGAAATCCTATCGATTACTTGGGCGCAGACTCGCAAAAGAGGAGGCAGTGAATTCGGTTTGGGTATTGCGATAGATAGAATTACACGGGAAACATAATTTATGGCAATATATCATAGAATGCATTTGTATTGCAAAAGCTGCGATTTGTTAGATTCTCGTTTTGTGACCGGTGTAGGGGTCTGTCAATCACGTACCTCTTGAGCCGTCGCGCGGTTGCTGTACCGCACCGCGGCCGCGATCACATCCCGCCAGTCCTGGTCCACGGTAGGCAGTATCTCCTGCCAAGACCTCCGCGGGAACACCGTCCACATCTCAAACGGCGACACCTGAAACCCCTCCGCCTCCGGCCACGTCTCCGGCGTCGGCGTGCCCATCGTCTTGAAGATGCTTAGGATGAGCCCGAGCTGGCTGCCGTCCTCGTGCGCTGGGCGCGACTCGAACGGCGGTCGGGGCGGCGCCATCACGCACTCGGCCAGCATCACGCCGAGCGCCCAGACGTCCACCTCCGCGCCGTACGCCCTGTTGACGAACAGCACCTCCGGCGCGCGGTACGGCCCCGTCCCGATGTCTAGGATCTTGGCGGCCGCGGGCTCCGCGCCCGCCGACAGCGTCGGGTGCCACGCCGTGCCAAAGTCGGACAGGTACGCGGGCCCGGACGGGCCTTCCAGCAGGATGGCGGAGGGCTTCACGTCGCGGTGCACGATGCCCTGCTCGTGGACGTGCGCGAGCCCGCGCAGCACGTCGCCGAAGATGGACCGGACCTGCGCCGGCGACAGGGCCGCCGCCTTGGTGTCGAGAAGCAGCGCCTCGAGGGTCAGCGGCTTGTACGGGAAGGCGAGGACCTGCTGCTGGGACTGGTCGCGGAAGGCGTCGAGCAGCGGGACGGTGCGCGGCGAGCCTGCCAGCAGCCGCAGCACGCGGACCTCGCGCTGGGGGTCGTGGGGCGGCAGCGGGTGGTGCGCGGTGATGACCTTGAGGGCGGTCGCGCCGTCCGCGGAGCGGTAGACGGTGGAAGTGACGCCCTCGGCGATGGGGGTGCAGTTGGCGTATGAGCCTATGCGCGTGTCGCCGCTGGGCGTTTCCATAGCGGCGGCGTCTGTTGAGGCGGCTTTGGCGCTTGTGGCTGAGCTACACGCGGCTGTATATTCTTCCTGTGGCAGATCCACGATGAGCACATAAGCTTTGATACAATGGCGGAGCTTCTTAGGGGTGGTCAGTTACCAAGGACGTTGAATCTGTGTATGCGGCCTGCTCAATGGCCATGGCGGTGGTGATGGAGCCATCGGGCAGTGCTCCTTGGCTGAAGGGGCTTGTTGGTTGGCCGGGCTGTGTGTAGTAGCACGGTAGATGGGAACGGGCTTACATGGATCTCACAGTGTCATAGCGATCAGTGAGTGAGACGGCGGAATGCCAATCGTGTTGAGTGGCGGCCATGGTTGTGTGATGAAGGTGTCACGATCTGGTGATGGAGTTCCACCAGGAGCAGCAGTGGAGAAGATGAGCAAGAATGTCGAGAGGATTGGAGGTCTACGAATCGAAATAACGGTAACTAATTTCCAGAAAATTGTATGCTTTGATTTGCATTTTCTGACATTTAATGTACATCTTAAATTCTTTCTTTTTTTTTTTTGATGCTTCGTTTCTGGACTGGAACTTACTTCCCGCAGTCTCACGCTGAGTTGGTGTGGCTGCGAGCCGCTTGGCTGCAGATGGTCCAGAACACGCTGAAGCTCGTCGCTGCCCGCTGTAATGAGGCCAAAAGTCCACTGTAGTCCACTGTGGCCCGCTGTGGCTTCACAACGACAACAGCTCACCAGCAACGAACACTTGCCCCACAATTACTAGCCTCATCCCCAAAGAGCTCCCTCTCGCCCTCCCCAGACTTCGTCATGACCAAGACAGCCACTCTAACTACTAACGACCCAGCCAGAAACCCCATCCTCTGTGTTTTCCGTGGGCATCGCCACCCTCCCACAACCGCGTCTCCTTTTCCTCACTCTTCTCATCGTCCTCGAGCCGTCTCCCTCGTCTGTAGAGCTACCGAGTATCCGTATTCCCGCCGCCGCCGAGCGCTGCAGCCAACGCAATCCCTCCCCCCGCAATGGATGACCTCGCCAGGGCCGAGTACCCGGCCATGCTGGTGCGTCTGCTGGCTTTCCTCCCGGCTGCCATGCCCTAGGACAATGGCTTTTGAGGGAGGGCGCCATGATTTTTAGCTTGTGTAACTGACTGGTGCTTTAGCCGCATCTCCAGCCGAATCAGGCCGCGCAGCTCCTCAACGACCGGGTCAAGCGCATCGGCAAGATAAACAACGAAATCGCCGACTGGCTTCAGGTACGACATTACCAATGCAAGCCCAATTACTTTGATGCACTTCACCCGTTGAGATTGCGAGCTGATCTCGTCTCTCTGGTTGCTAACTGACTGATCCACTCATCTAGGAACGCCGTCGCATCGAAGATCAATATGTCGCAGGCCTGCGCAAGCTCGCCCAGTTTAGAGTCCCCAATGCGCAGTCAGAGCTCGGGTATGTCGCCATAGCGCTCCCTGGTTGGCTTTTTTTTTAATCTCACATTACTCCCATGCTAATTCCACCGGTGCAGCGTCTTTCAAACGCCATGGGCTCGCATCCTCGGCGCCGTCGAGCGCATCGCCGCGTCTCACCACCAATTCGCGGACGGCATCGAGCGGGATGTTGAACTGCCTCTACGCGCCTTCCCGCAGCGAAACGACGTACAGAACATGCAAACAATCTCTTCCAACCTGACCAATCTCGGCAAGGACCTCGAAGACGCCCGCGACAAGGCCGACAAGCTCAATAAGAAGGGCGGCAAGACGAGCGCCCAGAAAATCGATGCCGCTTCTATGAGACTCGAGTCGGCCCAGCAGGAGTGGGATTCTCAGGCTCCCTTCGTCTTTGAGACGCTCCAGGCTCTCGACGAGTCGCGTGTCAATCAGCTACGCGACGCCCTTACGCAATACCAGACCCACGAGTCCGACCAGGCGCAACGGACACAGACCATCGCCGGAGAGACGCTTGCCGTCACCATCGAGATTGAGACAGAGTCAGAGATTCGGGGCTTCGTTCAAGGCACTATTGGCGACCGGCCACTGGCTCCCACTAGAAGCTCGACACGGCGCTCCTCCGTCGGAGTTGGCGCGAATAATGCTTCCCAGGCTCCGGGCACGCCAGCAGCTGTCAGTCGCGAAAACACTATGAACAATAACATTACCCCTACGCCATCGGTACCACAATCAGTGCCCGAAGAGGACTCCTTTGATCAATCCCCAGCACCTCAAAAAGGTACCTGACACTGCCCGCTTAATATCATCCATGCTATACACAAGGGGGGGCCCACAGCTAATGTCACTGTCACCTAGAATCCAAACTTCGACGACTCGGAACGATCCTCGGTGGACGACGTCGCCAAAGTGTCCACGGTGGCTTTGGGCAGCTTGGGTCTCAGAAGGGTGGCGCGACCAATTTCGGACGCCTAGGCAGCAGTGGCCGTGGCATCTCGCCCAGGGCTTCTGCGAGTAACCTCAACGAATCGACCAGACTGTCTTCCCTCGCTGAAGATGGGCCCGCCTCACCCATTCGCCCCAAGACCGGCGGCGACAGACCCAATGGCCTCACCAATATCGACGACGACGCTCCGGCGCTGCCAATTCCGACGGGCACGAACGGATCTCTAGCCGGCCATTTCGAGTCCTCACAAGCCTCCACCGGCGAGGCCTCATCACCGAAAAAGGATGCGGAGGGCTTCAGCGTCAGGGCGCCCATGCACGACCCCATCAGCGAGGCGCAACGAGAAGCTGCCAGCGATGATTCAGAACAGCCATTCAAGCTGAGCATCCAGAACCAACCCATCTCTGAGGAAGATCCCGACGAGAAGGAGGCGGCCCTCTCCAGCGTTGCCAACACCCTCAAGCTCCCGACCGCCCAGCGCTCGCGCACCGTTCGCGGCCGCCGGGACGTTAGGAATACTATTTACAACCCGGCGGGCGGTCTGCCCGACGCGCTCTCTGACAGCTCGCTCGCCTCCCTCCCAACGCCCAAGCCCACCACCTTGGGTTCGACGCTAACCTCGGAGCCCAGCATCGCGGGCGTCTCGGATTCGCAGTCCGTCCGGTCGGGCACCTCGCTCGGCAACTTTGCTCACATCAAGCACCCTGAGATGAGCAGCCCTGGCCTCAACTCATCCATAATCGAAACGGTGTCGGCCCAGTTCGAAGAAGGCGAAATCAAGAATGTTGCCATTGCGGGCGAGATTGCCTTTGCCTACAATAGCAACGACTCCAACGACAAGAGTAAGCATTTCCTACCAAATTCAAGCCAGCAACCCCCTTCTCATTAACCCCATAACTAGCCCACGAAACGATCCGTATCAACAACTTTGCCCGTCTAGAAAAGATTGGCCCCAACCGCATCTTTGTGCAAAACGCGTCGATAGAGCACCCGGACCAGTTCTCGCTCGAGCTGTCACACATCCCCAGGACGGCGACGGCGTTTTCCTACCGCGTCTTCGCAGACGAAGGCAACCCGCTGGCGCTCAGCGACTTCGTGCCGCTGCTCCTCAAGCCCGCGTGGAAGCCCCAGGGCGACAAGCTCGGCCTGCTGCTGCAGTACCGGCGCAACCCGGCGTGTGCGCTGCCCACCGGTCCGCTGACGTTGCACAATGTGGTTATTGTCGCCACCTACGACGGCCGCGCCGTCGGCGCCCAGACCAAGCCCAGCGGTACACACCTCAAGGACAGGCACCTCGTCTACTGGCGCCTCGGCGACGTCGTCCTCCCCGAAGCCGGCTCCGACGAGGCTGCTACCGCCGCCGCCCACAAGATCGTCTGCCGCGTTCTGGGGGCCGAAGGCGCGGAGCCCCGACCCGGCCGCGTCGAGGCCCGCTGGGAATTCGTCACGTCCGGCCCCGTCGCCACCGCCTCGGGCATCTCGGTCGCTCGCCTCACTGAGGCCAAGGGCAAGGAAGTCGCGGCCTCAGCCGCCGCGAGCGACCCCTTTGCTGACGCCGACGCCGCGCCGGACACGCCAAACAGCTGCTGGGTCGACGTGCCCCTGACGCAGAAGCTCGTCAGCGGCAAATACGAGAGCAATTAATCAAAACGCAAAAGAAGAAAAAAAAATTTATTCCCTCGGGTGGTGTTGCGTTGCGTTTCTTCTTGGTTAATGCTGGTGTGCTTTGGGATCCTCTTTTCTATTATCCGTACATAGGACCATCATCTCGTTCTCTCGCTCTCTCTGTCATTTTCTCGCTTCTTTTTCTGTTTACAGTTTGATAGTATCACTCCCTCCCGTGCTTTTCCAGCAAGGGCCACCACTCTCCGTTTGTCACCTCCTGAGCGTCCGTCTTTTACACATTACTCCCTACCCCCCAACATCAGCACTACCCCTAGCCCCCTATCGTTTTTCATTTTAATTTGTATCATGTAGCCATGTTGTTGTATCGAATAGTTCTTAGATCAATACACTTGTGTAGAAATTATCATTTCTGCTTATTCTATTTCTCATAGATGGTAATCTTTCGCCTCGGTGATATTTGACATGGTCTGATGGTTAGTTTAGGTCCTTTCTGTTCAACGCCCCCAAAAATGCAAGACAATCGCCCTCCTTTCAGTAGTTTTCCCAGTGAAGATATACAATAAAAGTAGCCTAATAAATGTCCAACTCATCCGGTATATACACAGCCTGCGCCCAACGAGCCCCTACTGCTGCTGCTGCTCTTTGTTGCTGTTATGCTCCTCGTAAAACTCCAGCGTCAGCGCAGCCAGGAACCCAGGGATGCACCCCTTTTCGCGGACCCAGAAGCCGATCTGGTCAGCGATGCGCTGTGCAAACTGGCTCTTGGGTCCGCCTCCGACTTTCATGGTGCCGCGCTCGCCGTCAAAGACGATCGAGTTCTCGTGCTCGTCGGTCTTGGACGGGTAAAAGGTGCTTTCAACGCGCATCTTGCCGTTAGGGATGAAGGTCACCGTCCATCCCAGTGTCGAGAAAATGGCCTCTTTGAATTCGTGCGACTTGCTGCCCCAGACTTCCTTCAGGCGGCGCGCGGACTTCTGCGCCGACGCCGTCTCGGCCTTGGCGGCGGCGATTTCACGCTCCATGGCACCGAGTACGGACGTTGGAATGTAGGCCACTGTCGTAGCCTTGCCATGCTTAGACTTGAGCGTCGCGAGGAGGTCCTTGTTTTCCTTCCGCAGCGCCTCGAGCGTCGCGCGCTTGATAGCCTCGTGGTCCGCTGTCGGGTTGGAGCGGAGCGAGAGCACGCGCGTCTGGCCCCGCGATTTAGCTACTGTGAGCTGCTCGCGGCTGACACTGAGCTCTTTTTCTTGCATGGCTAGCTTGGTCTGCAAGCTAGCGAGCTCTTCCTGCAGGCTGCGGTTCTTGCGCGTCAGCTGTCCGAGCTGCTCGCTGTTGTCATTGCTAGCGTGGGAGCGCTTGGATCCCGCCAGCGGCTGTGGCGTTGTTGGTGTGACAGGAGCCGGCTCGGTGGAGGAAAGCTGAGCATGCACAGTTTCCAGCTCAGACTTATAGTTGTCTACTAGAGCTTCGAGTTCCTGGACGCGGCTAACGCGGACCTCGTCAAACTGCTCTGGTTGCATGGTCTGATCTTCTGTATCAAAGGCTTTCAGCTGAGCGCGCAAGTATTCGACCTCCTTGAGCGCGAGAGCCTTCTGCCGCTCGAGACGCATGCGTGTCTTGTCTGCCGAGGAGGCAGTGACCGACGCTTTCGCATTTGCCAGCTCTTCTTGCAGCCCTTTTCTTTCCTGCTCGTTTGACTGGATGGTGTTTTGCAAGGCATTGATTTCGCCACGCAGAGCGCCAACCTGATCGACATAGTTTGCCGTAGTATAGCGCTCCTCTGCTAATGCTCGCGCCATGGCTTCTGGGGAGTCAAACTTGACACCTTCGAAGCCAGTCGAGCTTTCCAAGTATGATGCCCATGAGCGTCTTTCATCTTCAAGGCGCTGTCTTTGTAGCCTAGCTTCAGCCAATTCAGCCTCGAGAAGTTCCGCAGCCTCCACTCTGCGTTGTAGGGTCCTCTTTTCTTCCTCTACGACCTCAACTGCCTTATTGACAGACCGTAGGTGCTTGAGCTCGGACAGCTGGTCACGGTTGGTGCTTTCCAGGGCTCGAATATGTTGCACCTGCTCAGACAGCTCCCGTTTGATGGCCAGCATGGTGTCGGCGTCACCGGCCTGCGCTTTGAGACGCAGCACGTCAGCTTCGAGATTTGCGATCTGCGAATCACGCTCAGCCACCTGGGCTTGGGTCTGTTGAATGATCTCGTCGCGTGCGTGGCTGTCGTGGTCGTAGTCCTTGGTCGCTCGTTGAAGTGCCGACAATTGTGTTTCGAGGTCAGTGAGCTTCTTTTTGCTGATTCGCTCCGCATCATCCCTGGCGATCATCATGTCTTGCAGCTCCTCTTGGGCAAGACTGGCTTCGTTCTGGGCAGCGCGGTACTTGCGCTCCATGTCCTTGGTTGACTGTTCGCTTCCGTCCTTCAAGCCGTCGAGCTCGGAACGCATTTCCTCAAGCTGTGCCTCCAGCCGACTTTGTGCAGCTTCTGCAATCTGGCGTTTCTGCGATTCATCTTGCTCTCGCCTTCTCGCCTGCTCAACCTTGTTGTTCTGTTGTGAAAGGGCGATTTCCTTTTCCGAGTCGGCTGTTTGCATGCGGTACTGCAGCGTGCCAATCTCGGCCTTGAGAGACTCAATCTCTCGTCTATATTTTTCATATTCGTCGGCATCTGGCGGGGCGAGGTTCTCTTTGATGCTATCACGAGAACTCGGCCGTGTTGATTCGGCCTGGCTGGGGCTGCGCTGGGACGAAGGTCGTCGATTTGAGTTGACACCAGCTAGAGTGTTACCGGTCGCCTGTGTGCTTGCGCGGAACGACGCAATCTACAAATTGGCGGGTTAGCTGTCTCCGCGCGATTTCGAATGTTCAGACTCACCCTCGTAAATTGCGGTGCGCGAGGTAATGCCGAGGTGCTTGCGCGCATTCGTGAAGATGCTGTCGCCGCTGTTGCCTGGCGGCTGGAAGGACGCTCCCCGGACTGAGGCGTGGTGCGTCTCATTATGAAGATGATGGTATCATGTGAAGCGGTACAATGGGCGCTAGGTGGATTGAAAAAAAATGCGATGAAGCAGTTACTTTTTTGGATAATGGTTTCAATAGTTGGCTGGAGTAACGGAGTGGGATGTATGTAAACAAGAGCAAAACAAGTTGGGATCAGTCGAACTACGGTGGGGCAGCCTTCATGCAAGGTGCGTGCGCCAGAACGGCTCGTCAGCTGGCAGCGTCCGTTTGCAAAAAGCTCGCCAGCTGGCAGAAAACTTGGGTAGAACAGAGAGTTGCAAACAGGCGCAATCACGTGAGACGTATGGTGAAACCGAATCTGGCCTTTTCGAGATGCCCTCACTTTCGAGTCCTCTGTAAACTACATGTGTATGCGACGTGTTGGAGTGAATTGACCCGTGACCGAGCTCCTCCCTACTGGCGCGCCGCCCCTGGCTCAAAGGAGAACACAAAAGTCAGGCAATCTTCGCCCCATCTCCGGCTGCCCCATCCTCTGTCTCCAACTCGCCAGCTAACCAACCTGGCCGCCCTGCCCACGCCTGCTCAGACCCTGCTAGCGCTGTCCCAAATACGTCCCTTCACGAAAAAAGGCTCGTCCCCTCATAAAGTCTAATAACAAGAGGGTGGGCAAATTTCCCTGCAGGCCGCCTCCTGGACACAGGTACCAATACGACGTTCGAGTGGACACCTTTGCAGGACTTGGCTCCCTAACTAATAACCTGCGCCAATCTCGACTTTGCCTCCTCTCATTCCTTCTCCTGACGACAATCCTTCTTACCAGCCTTGTTCGCTTCTTCGTCTCTCGCTTCGATCTCGTCTTTCTTTTTTACCTCGAGACTTTTTGTACACACTTTAATCATGGCGTCGTCCGTCTCCGAGTCGGCCCTCGCCGCCATTGCCGCCCAGCTGAGCCTAGTTATGGGTGCTCTTGAGAAGCAGGTGGGTTGCACCCCGTGTACTTTGTTTTTGCCGGAGGGAGGAGGCTCTCATCGCCGCCGCAGCTCCGTCTCGCCAGCCCTATGCGCGCGCGCTCAGCCCGCCCGAGGTCAAGATAAACTAACAATGGTATAGAATTCCGAGCTCTCCGAGCTTCGCATCGAGTGCTCTGCTCTGCGCACCCAGAATGCAAACATGGAGCGACTCCTCCAGGACAATGTGGTAGGTAATGTGATGCGACTCCTTTCTCGATATTGGTGCTCCACTTGTCAATTCCAATGGCGCTACACTTCACTCGCTGAGTGTAGCATGCATCTCACGAGAAGCAGTCTTTTTCATTGAGCATTTCAAAATTGAATGCCTCGTATAGTTTATACTGACTGGCATGGCATAGTCCAAGTACGACAACCGCAACCTCAGCCTCTCCGCCCCCTCCCCCGGCCTGGAGACCTCATCGCCTTTCCTCTCCGCCACCTCCCTGCCCCGCGTGGCCTCTACTCTCACCTTCAGCCCTCCCGGCGACCAGCCTCTCTTCACCACCGCCTCCCCTCACTATGAGATTCCCGGCTTTTACGTTGTCATCCCCGCTGGTGGTGCCGGCACCCGCCTGTGGCCTCTGTCCCGCAAGAACCACCCCAAGTTCCTGCTCGACGTATCCCTCTCCGGCCGCTCCATGCTGCAGGCCACCTGGAACCGCCTGGTCCCCCTGACCGGCTCCTCTCGCATGACCGTCGTCGCCGGCCCTGCCCATGCCGAGGCCATCAAGGGCCAGCTCCCCCAGCTCGAGAACAACAACCTGTTCACCGAGCCCGGCCCCAAGGACTCCATGGCCGCCATCGGTCTCGCCGCTGCCATCCTCGCCGAGCGTGACCCCGATGCCATCATCGGCTCCTTCGCCGCCGATCACATGATCTCCGGTGAGGACGCCTTCCTCGGCGCCGTGCGCGAAGCTGCCAACGTCGCCAAGGCGGGCTACCTCGTTACTATTGGTATCGCGCCGTCTCACCCCGCCACCGGCTTCGGTTACGTGCAGCTCGGAAAGACCCTCAACGATCCCAGCGCCCCCAGCGCCCGTCTCGTCGGCTCCTTCAAGGAGAAGCCCGATGCCCGCACCGCCGGCAAGTACCTCGCTTCCGGTGAGTACCGCTGGAACGCCGGTATGTTCGTCACCCGCGCCGCCACCCTGATGGAGCTGGTCCTGGAGCACTGCCCTGCTCTCCACGCCGGCCTTGTCAAGATTGCCAAGGTCTGGGACAACGAGGCTGAGCGCGCCGCCGTCCTCGCCGAGGTCTGGCCTTCTCTGGAGACGATCGCCATTGACAATGCCATTGCCGAGCCCGCGGCCGCCGAGGGCAAGGTCGCTGTCATCCCCGCCACGTTCGGTTGGGACGACGTTGGTGACTTTTCCTCCCTCTCCGAGATGCTTCCCGCCGAAGCCAACGCCCCCCGCGTTCTCGGCGACCACGAGCTCGTCGTGTCCGAGCAGACCTTTGGTGGCATCATCGTGCCCGGCTCGGGCCGTCTTGTTGCTTGCTTGGGTGTTGACGATCTGGTCATCGTCGACGTTCCCGACGCGCTCATGGTTACGACCCGCGCTCGTTCGCAAGAAGTCAAGACGCTTGTCAAGAAGGCCCAGCGGGCTGGTTTTGCAAGCCTTATGTAGAGACGTTGATTTGATGAAGTGTCATGGAATCTGTGGCATAAGTGTTTGGAAGAAAAATGTTTGCCTGTAGGCAAGCGGTAATAGATGGCATCTTGGCAATGGGTATTTCAGCTGTAATTTATACTAGCGTGCTAGCTAATCAACTCTTCACTTCTCTACCAGTTATCAAATGCTGAGATTTACTCATCATCAGGGCGACGTTATGAACGTTGTGCTTCCTTTCGAGCGTACAAGACTGTGCGTGAGAGCACACCACCTGAAGAGTCGATTTTGCGTCTACCGGAAACAGCATACGTAGTAGATGATGGAAATCCGCCATCGTGCTCCATTGCCTCGCTGTTTAAGCCTTCAATCACATATTGATATTCAGGATATGTATGGAGCGCATTGTGGCGGCCGCCATAATGTTACATACAGTAGACACCGTGCATCAGTAGGCACCCTACAATGCCGCCGAGTCTAATGTACTTAGGGCTGCTCGGTTATTGAAAGAGGCTATCAGGGCCGAGCTTCCCAAGAAGAGCTGTGGAATGTATGAAGAGGGTCAAGATGACTTTTGTTACTTGTTAAAGCACTCTTTGCTTTGTCCATTTACAGTCCGCTGTTTTCAGTAATATCACGGTTGGCTGTTGGCAAAAGCGGACCGATGGCAAAACATATATTCTACAGTAAATCTGCTCTACCATCTTTTTTTTTTAGTTTTTGTTTTTCCCAGCGTTTTTTTTCTCTCTAGTAAAATTTTCGACTTTTTTTCATACGGCGACAAGCTGCCCCCTTTGATGTGACAGCCCAGCCACCCCGGATCCTCTTTGCAACAAAAGAAGACGCACAGGAATCCCCATCGTCAGCCGTAACCCCTCCAAGCGAATAGACCCTCGTGCTCACAGAGACCCCCCGTGGCCCCTGAAGCCCTGGTGACCTGTGAAGAAGAAGAAGAAACAGGTTTTGTTTGTTGTTCGAATTAAATAATGTGAAGCAGTTCGTGTTCGTAGCCGACTTGAAATATCGAACGGGTATTTGGACAGCGCCTCCTTTCGTCAGGCTCGGACATGCCCCGTCATGCCAAAGCCAGGAAGTTTTGTCGTTGTTAAGTTGTTAAGTTATTGAAATATTTTTAAATATTCGAGATTGTGGTCGGCTAGTATAAAGAATACTCCTCATATAATCTGAGCGTTTTTGGTTGACTAGATTCGAAAATCTTGGCAACTAAATAGTGTTCATTGGTTTTGTTTGTTGGTAGATGTTGGTAGATGTTGTATGTGCTTCCTTCGTAGTTCGCAATCGAGAGGGTGCCATGCTTTGATGGCTTTGGCTATGCCAGAGGAGCGTAGACTGTGGTGTTCGTGTGTATCTTTCTTCCTTTCCTTTGTATGTGTCCGGGATATCAGGAAAGATGTGGCTGCATGCATCATGGAAACATGTTATGCGTGTGCCATCTGTGGTGAAGCGAATGTCTGCATTCCGATATGTAGGTCAGAGCGACCGAAAAGTAGCGCTTTGACATGTGCAGGTAAAGGAAGGCGTCATTAGACGAGAGAATAATAAAGTGAGAGAGGTTAATTAGAAAAGACAAAGGAGAAGAGTAAGGAGTGGCACTTGCGAGTGCGGAAGCACTGAAGAAGGAAAAGATCTCAGTATACCTTAGTGGAACGAAGAAGGCTTTATATACAAGGCTTTGACGTTTAGATCTTCTAAAGAATACGTGGCCACAGCAATATTATGATGCAATAAAAGTCTACTCAAGTTGTTGGTTTGGTTCCCAAAGTCTAAATAGGTGCCAGAGAGGTACATGCATGTTGGTTGCCGCCCGCATTCTTATGAGTAGGTGACTTAAACTAGACTGCCAGGTGGCAGGGAGACCAGTTGGTTAGATACATACGTGTCTGTATTGTATGACCAGTTACTTGATCAAACCCGAACCTTGTTCTCTATACTTTGTGTATAGCATCATGCTAAGACAGCTAGTCGTCCACGCGCCCTAACCCTAGACCATGGTATGTGGGAAGCATACAGATCTTGAAACCCCATCTGTTACTTGCCTTCCTATTCTAGCTTGACGGAATACCTCCGCCTTTCCTAGTCAATGTAAAACAGACAATACAACTTCGCGAGCGACGCTTCAAAACGCACGTTGACCCCATTTGCCCACGGTACCCTGTAGGAGATACGACAGGGACTTCGGCGGCCAACTTTGCGGCGCGTGGTCGGTCTAGACCGCAATGACCGGCCTAAATCAATGGGAAATCTTACATCTCTTCATCAAGCCTATTAAATCGGGCCCATCGTGGGCGTGATGCGCCTCCAAAGCCCATGCGGGGATCTCAATTTGCCCTCTCCTCATGCCAAGACTGGGCTGAAAGCCAGCCTGCCATCACCTTACCCAAACCCAGTGCGCCCCCATTACTTGGCGACAGGAAATAGCCAAAGTGAGGCTGAAGGGCAAGAAGAGAACATGTCTCTGATGCACCGCCACGATGCCTCTTTGAGAAGGTAGAGAGAGACCGTGTTGTTTTTTTAGAGTACAGTTTTATGCCTATTTCTCGAGGTTGCAGCGAGGGTGGACTGAACTGGTGCTTCTTTCAGCTCCCCCGTTTTCAACTTGGGTTGATTGGAAGTCGAGTTCTGTGCCAAGCAACCGCTATGATGATCCCGGCAGCTTCATGCATGGCGAGAATGGGCAAACAGCGCGACGAGGCGGGCGGTGATCGTCGGATCGCAGCCAGCGACAGTCCGACGCGGAGGCAAGTACTGCAAAGTTCCAGGAATCGAATTGATCAATGAATATCGTAGCACCGATAAGATTGCAGTCGAGTATCTATCTTATTCTATCGGGTTATGTTTAGTAGGGACTGCCTTGCCCGTACATTCGCGGGGCCACTCCGGCTTCGCGACCGAGCCGAGGGAGGTCGGGGGAAAGGCTGCCCGCAAGCCGAATCGGGGCTGCGGCAGTTACACTCGAACTGGGTAAGAGAGGAGAACCAATCAAGACTTTTCAACGTACCGACTTCCTGCCCTGCCAAGTGCTGACTCTCGTCTTGGCTGCATCGTAGCATCAGTCGAGGTGAGGGCATGATGCGCGCCCAGGGCCGCACCATTGCCAGCTCAAGAGGGGCCAGTTTTCAGCTCTGAATAGAGACTCGAGTCGATCGTGTTGAATACGATGTGTTGGATTGCTCAATGCCGGCAAAAGAAGCTGGCTCACGGGTATAAATAGGCAGGGTGAGCCCCAGGGAATGAAGTCGACAGGACCCCAATCACTTTACTCCTTCTACTACCAGCCTCTTCTCACAGTCTCATCTATACAATTTTCTACTTTTCTTCATATAGAACATTCTCCCGTCAGTCAACATGAAGTTTGCCATTGCCACCGCTTTCCTCGCTGCCTGCGCCAGCGCCGTCGAGATGAAGGCCTGCAGCGGGACCAACATGGGTGGTTCTTGCACCGCCAAGGTATGTACAACAACTTGGCCATCAACTTTTGAACCAGACTACTAACACTTTTGACCCATAGACCTCTCTGTAAGACAGACTCTTGCACCCACCAAGCTCAAATCATCAGTGACTGACCAAAGCAGGGGCTCGAACTCGGGCAACTGGAACTCGTACAACTTCCGTGCCTCGACCAACCGCTGTGTCCGCGTCTGCAACGGCTGCACCGTAAGTCAAGCTTGGATTCATTGAGCGGGAGAGAAGTTCGCTGCTGACAAGTTTATAGAGCCTCGGCTGGCGCTGCCAGACTTACTCCAACAACAACATCAAGTTCAACAAGTTCATCATCTTCGACTGGGCTGGCGGCAACGGTCCCGACGCCACCACTTGCTGCTAAACGAGAAGTGGCATGCATGATGTAATGGCGCATTGTCGCAAAAGCCCGATATGTTTGGTCGCTTTACAACTGGTCCTTGACTGCGCGCAGGTGCCAGCCTGGGCAGACTCTGGCAAGCAGGATAGAGATGATATTTTATACTAGGAAATACTAGAACATATTTGTCTATATTTCGGCATCATTTCGTAGTTAATGTCATGGAAAAGATCATCTCGCACAGTCGTCCACGTGTTGTAGTTGCATGACAGGCGTTCTTGCAGTCCAGGCTCCGGACCGGGACCGACCCCACGCTCCACTTCCGACCGAGATCCACTCACATTCAGGATTCCTGCTTTCCTTCTTTTCTAGCGGCCTAATCAAACATGCCTCTGTACACAACATACATCAGCCATTATCATCTCTCCGACCAGCAAACACCAACGTTCAAAGACCCTATTCTCCGTTCCAAATCCAACAAGTATTCCCCTTGCGACATGATACCCCAATAATCACGAGCCCCCTCGAATACGCAGCGCCTCGCTCGCTGCTTGAACAACCTACCCGCGCACACCCGCCGATCAATACACAGCCATGACGCAACCAGCCAACAAGCCGACGGCGTCAGCCAACGGCACCGCGGTGAAGCCCAAAGTCGGCCCGCATCCGGGCTTCATCTCCAGCTCTAACCAGTACTCGTCCGAGACGCGCATCCGGCGCATGTTCCGTCACAACGGCTGCGACCCTGCGCGCGAGGACAACTACCGCCTGCAGGGCGTCCAGCTCATTGACAATGTGCGGGAGCATCTCAAACTGTACGTCTGGTCTCTCAAGATGGCTGCTCATCAACCCTGCTCTGCTGCTCCATGGAGCCGTTGACTAACCCAGTCGGCTTCTTCTTCAAGGCCCGTTCGAACCTTCGACACCGCCTGCATATACTTTCACAAGTTCCGCCTCAACTACCGTGACGCCGAGTACAGCTTTCAGGACGCCGCGCTCGCGTCGCTGTTTGTGGCCTGCAAGGTCGAGGACACCATCAAAAAGTCCAAGGACATACTCGCTGCTGCCTACGCGGTCAAGAACCCGGACAAGCCTGTATCGACCGATGACAAGGTGCGACCTCTTCTCCCCGTCCCTCTCTTCTCTCCCGCAGGAGAAGGAGCAAAATACTGCCCACGACAGCACCACTAATCTCCTCGCCCCGCAGATACTCGAACAAAACGGCAAAATCATCATCGGCCTTGAGCGCCACATCCTCGAGACCATTGGCTTCGATTTTCGCACGCGCTACCCACAGAAGCTACTCGTCAAGGTGATCCGACGAATCCTTGGCCCATCCGTAGACACGACCGCCTCCGCCACCGCGCGTACCTTCTACGCCACCGCCTACGCCATGTGCATCGACATGTACAAGACGCTCGTGCCCGTCAAGCGCACCACCTTTGCCATGGCCATGGCTGTTGTTGAGCTCACTGCGCGCCTCACCACCACCGGCGATGAGCAGGCGCTCCTCCTCGAGCGCATCGAAGGCTTCTCTCAGCGACGGCAACACTCGCAGCGCTGCGACGCCCGCGCACCCGTCGTCGAGACCATGCTCGACCTCCTCGACCTCTACGTCCAGAACCACAAGGCCACCAAGCTCGGCGCGCGCTTCGACCTCGCGCGCTTCATCGACATCAAGATCCAGCTCAACCAGGGCCTCGACGCCTCCGCCGCGCCGCGCTTCCTGTACCACTGCCAAAAGTGCGAGATTGACGCGCCCTCCGAGACTTTGACAACTAAGATGCCGCTGACGCTCGGCGACTTGGCGCTGTCGGCGCGCGGACGCTCGGCGCGCGGCCAGGATGGCACCATGCGCTTCGTCTTCGACCCAGAGGCCGCCAAGGCGGAGCACGACGCCGTCGGCGTCTTCTTCAACGAGGAGTACGAGGAGTACGAGATGGAGATCGAGGAGCCCGTACCGCCGCCGCCGGAGCCGCGCGGCCCGCGAGACGGGAGGGAGGGCGGCGGCGGCGGCGGTGGTGGTGGTAATGGAGGCGGTGGTGGGCGCCGAGGAGGAGGTGGTTATCGGGGCGGTGGGCATAGAGGCCGCGGCGATAGGAGAGGTGAGCCCTACGGGGGCTACCGCGGTGATCGACATCATAGAGGAGGACGAGGTCGGCATCACTAGCACGATGGAGAAGACAAAATTTGGAGGAGGGAGTCTTTTGGCTTGATGGAGGCTTTTTCTTGTTTGTCAAGGTAACGAGCAGGTATATGCTCATGTACATGTATATATATATATATTGTATGACTCATGTCATTCATCTCATGGCATTTGTTTCTCCCGGCTGTAGCTCCGCACCCGACGGGTCGCTCGTCTTGACACTCTCCAGCGCCTCCGCGTCCTCTTTTGCGTCACCGCCGCCCTCTCCCTTCCCCGCCGTCGCCGCCAGCGGCAGCCGCGGCGGCATCTCCGCGGTCCTCACGCTGCTCGCCCTGCTAATGTCCGCGCTCGCCGGGCTCTGCACCCTGACGCCAATGTCCCTTTCCGTCACCTCGTCGGCAGCGGCAGCGGCAGCGGCATCTCCGGCCACCGCCTCGGCGCCCTTGTCCTCGTCCGCGAAGCGCCAGACGACCGACAGCTTGTCCAGAGCGCGGCTGCCCTTGCGGCCCGTGCCCTTGATCCCGTCCATCGCGTCCCAGTCGATAGTGAAGACGCCCCCGCCGGCAGAGTCGCCGTCTTCAAAGAACGCGTTGAACCAGACGTGCGCGACGGCGGAGACGACGGTCAGCCCGATGCTCTTGTGCGTGCGGTTGCGCCGCTCGACGGCGATGTTGACGTCGCTGTTGGGGACGCGGATCGGCGTCGCGGGGCGGAAGATGACAGCCATGCCGCCAGGCTCGGCAGCCTCCGTCGACTCCTTTTTACTCGTCGCGGTGGAGGAGCGGGAGGCGGAGGAGATAGGATTCTGCTCCTGCTCGGGGATGATGAGCTCGGCCGGGCGGGAGCCAGCCGGGCGCGGCGCGACGCCATCCTCCTCCGGCGGCGCTCCGCTACTTGTCGCACCGTCCTTGTCGTTGTTCGTGGCGTCCGCAAAGTCGGCCTCTGCCGGCGCCTTGGTGCCCGTCGGGTAGCCCGCCATCTCCCAGACGATGTCCGAGAAGCCGCCGTCCGTCGGCGCGTCGCCCCGGACGACGTGCCGCTCCTCCCTGCGGAACGTGTGAAACGTGTGGATCCTGCGCCCGCCGTCCGCGAAGCCTTCGACCTCGACCTTGACGCCGTCGCGCAATCCCCACGCGTGCACCTCGAGCACCTCGACCGGCCTGTCCACGTAGCGCCGGCCGCCCTCCCGGCCGCTCCAGCGCTCCACGTACCGCACCCACCGCAGCTGCGAGGGTATGGACACGCCGGCACCGAAGCGCGGCCGCATGCGGCGCTCCGTGAACCGCGCCAGCGCCTCCTCGGCCGTCCACCCCTCCTCGGCGACGAGATAGCTGACGCTCGCCGTGCCGCTGCGGCCCTTGCCGGCCTTGCAGTGTACGACCACGACGCGGTTCGGGTCGCGGTCTTGTGACGTCGTGGCGACTGAGTCGTCGGGGTTTTCGTCGAGGGCGCCGCCGTGAAGCCAGCGCCGCATGCTGGCGAGGATGCGCGGCATCAGGGCAAACGGCGGCGGGTGGTGGTCCGGGAAGGGAAAGTGGCAGACGCGGTCGTAGACGAGGTGGTCCGGGTAGCCGGCGCCCTCGGCGCGGAACTCCCAGATGGCCCAGTCGGCGCCGTGCCGGGCGTCGAGGAAGGCGACGAGCTGGTCGAGGGGGTTGCGGTAGGCGCGCTTGGGGTACGTGTGCGACGGGCCGGATCTAAGCAGGTAAAGCAGGGTTGGTTAGCGAGAGGGGCAGTTCCGGGAACCCCCAGAGAGGTTTCTGGGAAGGACAGTTGGACGTACGTTGCGATGATGTGGTCGGTGACGTAGCACAGGTCCAGGCCTGCCTCGGGGTGCCCCTTGCGCGGGCCGGCGACGAGCTGCCGCAGGAATGAAGCCATCGCGCCCGGTGCGTCCTGGCGGACTCTGAGATATCAGTCCTGTGTAGAAAAGGGTCTGATAAGAGTGTCTTGGCGCGGGGAGGCGAGGTGAGATGTAACACTGTACCCGCGACGAGGCGAGCTTGGTCGCGTTGGCTCAGATAGACCTGTCGCTAAACGTCGCGTGAAGCTAGTAATGCCTCTCTATAGAGATTTCTGTGTAGAGTAAAAATGCAGCGTTGACGAGACCAGGTGTCCTATTCGAAAAATGCGAAGAGCAACTTCTTTCCGTTGTTTTGCTTGAGTTAGGGAAGAATCTTGGCTTGGTCATCGACGTCACGCCCAGCAGGTACTTTTATTTTGGAGGGATCGGCGGCCTCCAGCCAAGTACCTGCTTGCTTGTGCCACTCCACCTGGCCGACATCTATGATGCAGCATCGTTGGGCGCCTGTGCCTTGGTCGCGTGCTGCCATCTTCAACGGGTTTGATATTAGCACAACCTTTATTCGAAGTCTATTTTCCGTCGTACTGTGCTTTTTGCGTTTACCGCATTTAACAGGTCTCGTTGTGGCGAGTGTTCCAGCATCACAAGGAATCCGAAGCCCGGGCAGCTGGCCCAGGAACCAGTGTCAAAGAAATCAAATTCATAAAACAAGTCATTTACGAATACAAAAAGTATCCACCGCATTCACGTTTTTGCTCCCTCCATCATCAACCATCTACCGCCGTCATCTCAAACCGCCCTGGTAGTGGGCCAATTTGCATTCGCGCACTTCCGCGAGTCGCATCCTTACCAAGGACTGTGTCGTCTCTATGTGGTGTACCGTTAACATAAAACAGAAAAGAACCTGCATTGTCTCCGAGAACCAAGAACCAGAACCGAGAACCATATAAACACCGATGAAGCCCTGCAGCGTAGATTGCTCATTAAACCGTTTCCATTGTACCTTTCCCGTGAGCTGCCACTTCAGCGACATAATGGCGACACTTTAGAAGCTGGTACGCCGACTTGAATCGAAAATCTGCTAGTAACCAGCATCCGTGCCGTGTTATCGTGCAATGGTCACCGATACTGCAGCCCCATCGGACCACATGAACCGTTGCCATTGCGTCGTTCAGCCGCTTAAGAGGTCTTCTTGGCGGGGCCGGCACCGCCAATGTAGCGGCTCAGCTCGGTGGCGTCGCGAAACTGACGGGTGTAGTTCTTGACATTCTCCCAGACCTGGCGGGCGGCGGGAGGGGTACCCTGGGCAGACACGAGTGAATCGATGCGGACAGCGAGCTGGCCAAACGAGGTCTGGACGTGGGTACTCTGGGCGTAGCGGGCACGGAGGAAGGCAGTATAGAGGCCAAGGAGGATCCAGGAGCGGCGCTGGAAGAGGATGGCGGATAGGACGATGCGGAACCAGAGCAGAATCTCGAGGCCCGAGACAATGGACATGGATGAGTCGTAGTAGTCCTTGACAAAGGCGCCGATTCGGTCAGCGAGCGGGCTAGACGTCTTACGGGGCGAGGCACCGTCGGCGGCGGGGGGCGCAGGGCTGATGACGGGCAGCAGGTTGGCGCGGACGTAGGTGGCAGCGTTGAAGGTGGAATAGACGGAGTAGGGGACGAGCGCCAGAGGATACTGGGGGGCAATGAGCCAGACGAGGGCCATCACTGGTCATGTTAGCCCGTAAATAGGGGATGGCGCGTTGTTTTGTGCAAGCTAGGTACGTACGGAGGTACTGGATGTTCTCATCGCCAAGCAGGCCGACGACGCCGCCGGGCAGCTGGGTGCCAGTCTTCGCGCGGGACTTTTGGGTCTTGTAGACGACGATGCCGTAGGTGAGGGCGGCGGCGATAAACGAGGTGCGGTAGCAAAAGACGGCCATGCCACCATAGTAGTTCATGCGCAGCCAGGAGAAGCTGTATCGGATCGTGGCGAGGATGAGGGTAACGTGGCTGGAGCTCGGTTAGCGGTGTGGACGACGAGTGGGCGAAGGCATCACGCAAGAGGGTGCAACGCTGCGACGGAGCTACTCGAACGGCAATTTTTGTTTCGATTCAAGCGTTGACTCGAGGAGGAACTAGACATACCCAGCGAACCAAGCAACTGTGTCATGAAGGCGTTAGCGGGTGGCTGGGAGGAGGCACCAAAAACTTCAACACAACACGGCGAGCTTACACTGGAGGGTCTGCGCGAGCGCAAGCAGGCGCTCCTGAAGAGGAGCATTAGGGCCGGGTGCAGGCATCGCGAACGTCTGCGTTTGGCGTTGGATGAGCGAAGGGGAGTGGGTGATTGGGCGTCGAGTCGGAACGTAAGTGGCGGGCGGTGGGCGGAAGGTTAGCTCGTGCTATCCTCGGTCCCAAGGCAGGCGCGGTGAGGGACAGACACAGAGAGAGTCGAGGAAAAGGGAAGAAAAGAAAAAAAAAAGCTTGGGATGCAGATTCTTGAATGCGATGCTAATGCAAGGGGGTAACGGGCGTGGTTGATGAGGATTCGTGCGGCCAGGCTACCGGGAAGATGGTGGGATGCTAAACGCAGGTGGGAAGGGGAGGAGTAGGAGGAAGAGGATAAACAGGTGAGGTGGTGACGACTTTGAGGCGGAGTTGGGTTGTAGCTTGGATCTGGGTTGTACCTAGTAGCTTTCCTGGCGGCTTTTCGAGCTTTCCCGCTTTCCCGCTTTCAACAGGTAAACAGGTAACGGGTAACGCAAGCGGCGGCGAGGCAAGTTCCTTTACCTTCTACTCGTAAAAAAAAAAAAGCTCGAGGCAGCTCGGCGGCTGGTGTGGGCCCGCTGGAACCGTTTGTTTCCTCTGTAATCCAAATCTGCAGCGGACTTGGCTAGTTACGTCAGTATTACAGCTGGAGAAGTCTTTGCGAGTTCACTCAAGGCCTGATAATAATAAGCACTTGAGAAGAAAAAAAAATCAGAAAAATATAGCCACGTTTTATCAGTACATAGCTTGGGATTCAAATTGTCTCGACCGTGTCAAGACCCCCATTACTCCGTGATACCCTGCCCGCCTATCAGGCGTGTGTAGCTGAATGGTGGGGGCCTAACTTTTGCTGCTGGGCGCTAAAACCACCTTCGCCGAGGCCTGCCGTAACATCCTCATTCTCAGCCACATAATCGCCGCCACAGCTGTCACAAACAACGACGATTAGACAGCTGCTTCATCCACGGTCGCGACCAAGACGATACGCCTTTTTCGTACTCTGAGAGGAGAAGACAAACCCTTCCTACTCGATGAGAATAATATCCAGTCAAGGGCCAGGACGGCCGAGTCCAATTCGTGAAAGAATCATGCCACCCGCCGCAGCTAGCCTTGATATCTTGAGCTCTTGGGCGGTCGCCTTGGTGTCGTCAATGCAGAGAGATACCTGCCGCCGCAACTTTACATCAACCATTGCCGACGAAGGAATAACTCCATGACTGATATAGTACCCTCGTCAATCTGAAAAAAAAAAAGGAATCCAAGGCATTGGACCATCAAATTCATCAGTACCCAAACTTTATTACTATTAAAAACAAACATAACTTGCATGATATCGATCGACCCAGACGGGGGTAGCAAGTGAATCACAACATGTAATACCGATTTGTCAAGCTACAAATGTACACTGGGCTTGGACCCGAGAAACAAAAGACCTCTCCTGGCGAGCCTCGGGTGAGAGGCCCTGGAATGTATCCCCCGCCCCCAAGGAACGAAAGGGGTCGCTTCTCGTCGAAACCTCGGGGGTGCGGCGCTTTTCGGCTTCGTCATCCTCTCAACACGATGCTGCATTTACAGGAAGAGGGCGGCGACGGCGGCGCCAATCAGGCCGAGGGGCGAGAGGGCGAGCATGTTGCCGGAGCTGGGGGGAGGGGTGCTGGTGGCCGTGGCGGCGGCGCTGCTGGAGGTCTCTGCAAATGAGTTGTCAGTCAACCGCCACTCGCTCGACAATCTTGGGCGCAGAATCCGAGGTTGGTAAAACTTACTGCTGGCGCTAGAGGTAGAGCTCTTGGAAGCAGACGTGGCCGAGGTCGACGACGCGGAGGAGGTGGCCGAGCTGGACGCGGAGGAGGAGGAGCCGGTGGTGGTGGCCGAGCTGGAGGCCGAGGAGGCCGAGGAGGAGGAGCCGGAGCTGCTGGCGGAGGCGCTGCTGGCGGAGGTGGCGGAGGCGGAACCGGACAGAGGAGGGAAGGAGGTCGGGCCAGTGCCGGTGTAGTTGAAGATGCTGGTGTAGTCGTTGTTGGAGTTGGAGTCGCCGGCCGTGCCGGTGACGGAGTTGTCCTTGACGCGGATGCTGTAGCTGCCGGAGCCAATGTTGTTGAGGGTGATCTTGGCCGAGGTGGTAGCGGAGCCTGTAGGGGTTTTGCATTAGTCAAAACGGTTCAAGATGATGAATGTAGTTGAAGCCGTGTCGGCGTGGAAGATGGGGGAGTGAAAACGCACTGTCGAGGACCTTGACGGGCACCTGGCCGTCCTTGGGGCCCTGCATCAGGTAGACGGTGCAGCCGGCGCTGCAGCCGGAGAGCTGGAGGGTGAAGGCTTTGCCCTCCTCAGGGTTGATGGCAGCGGAGTTGGTGATCTGGGGCTTGGCGACGACGCCAGAGGCGAGCGCGAGAGCGGCGGCAGCGACAGAGTACTTCATTTTGAGAGGGATGATTATGTGTAATACGAATTGTTTGTACAAGAGGAGTATGAACAGGGACAAGAAACGAGTGTGTTGACGAGAGAAAGAGAGAGAGAGAGAGCAAGCAAAGGCACAAGATTGAACTAGGGGAGAGGGGGGCGAGTGGGAATGAAATAGGTGGGAAAAAGGAGATTACCAGAGGAGCCCTCTACTTAATTTACAATCACAGCCAGCAACAGAAACGGTCCGGGGGTGGATTGGGAACTTGCAGGGCGTGCAAGCCCAATCCAGCAAGCGTCCCCCCAGGACGAGAAGAGAGAGAAATTGACATCTGCCCATGCCCATGATGGATGGGCATTGGCATGGACGGTGAGTGGTGGAGAATGAAAGCCTTTTGGGGGTGCCATTTTCTTCTTCAGCCCTAGCCTCCGTCAGTCCCTTGTCTTGTCCCTGATTCAGCTTGTCAGGCTGAGGACTAGAGGAAAAGGGAAAAGAAACAACTGGTTCTGTAGGCAGCGCCAGAGCCTTGCATTGCGAACTCATCTGTTCCAGCGTCAACGACATTGGGGAAGTTATGGGGGACGCGTGGTTTGCAGCATCTTGGCAGGACCACCAGGGGTGAATACGAGCCCAAAAGATCCATCTTCGATGCCCATGACGAGTCCCCAAAAGTTTTCTCGGTTAATGCCCCCCCTTCCCAAATAGCTGACGATCCGGGCCTGGACCGTGGAATAGGGGGGTGGAGGGGGAACATTTATTGATTATTTGTGTGGCGTTGAGCCCACGCCCCCCTAACTGGCGGTTTACCGTAGTTAATAGCCCAGAGCAAAAAAGGATTCGATATTACGCGAACTGAAGAAACGGACAAGGGGAAGAAGCAGGCAGCTGAATCGGGCAGTGATGGATCAGGCTGCGGACGGCCGAGGCCTTTTGACTGCGCCTACCTTGATGACGTCGCCCACCTCGTTCAATCTATCGAACTATTATTTGCTTTCAACTGGAATCTGAGGAACAATGGAACAATCCGTTGTTGTTGACTCAAATAGCGGCCCCCGCTAGCAACGCGATGGATGGGCTTTAAAAGTTGTTAGCACGGCTCCGGCCGCTACGACTGACTAACTTACTAGTCAACGCACACACCAGGCGACGCTGGGGAAAGAAGAATCTGCAGCCTGACTTTTAGCTCAAAGTTGCCTTTTTTTGCCCTCTTGTTCTTGGCTTGTTGTTCGCCTTGCTGCTTCGGCTGACGGGACGGGAATTGCCACACAAGAGCCGAAGAGGAGCAAGGCAGCTTCTGAAACGGGCAATACCGGCCGCTGCGTTCGAGCGAGTCAATCCGTGTTCCTTTTTTCATGTCCAGCAAGGCTGCAAACCATAGATCTAGATCCGCTCTGGAAGGAGTCCACGCCACACGATAGCTTAGCTTTGCATTCGCCGCGTTGCATCGCTCAGCCTGAAAGTGTGAATGCGGGCACGGGTTCAGAGCCCGCTCGAGCTCTCTTGTCACATCATCGTCGTAGATGAAAAATTCATCCCGTCTATAGAAAATCACTCCTAACAATGTACAGCATCTACCGCGCCGCTCCCAGGACCTTGTCAAACACCCTCTCCAGCTTCGGCAGCACCACTTCCTCGTTCTGCGCAATCTGGTAGTGCGTCACCAGCCGGCCGCCGGACACCACCAGCCCCTCCTCCGCGCACGCCGCCGTAAACACCTCCGCCTCGATCCCGTGCGCCTTCAAGTCGACCCAGCACATGTTCGTGTGCACCGGGTGCACCAACTTCCCGCCGCGACCCTCCCACGCCGCCTCGACCCTGCGCGCCGTCTCGTGCGACCTCCGCAGCCACCCTTCGCTGCCGTCCGGCGCCGCGCCAAACGTCTCGTCGACGGCCACGCGCGCCGCCGCCGCGATGAACCCCGGCTGCCGCATGCCGCCGCCCAGCGACTTGCGCACCCACCGCGCGTGCCGGATCGTCGCCGCGTCGCCGACCACCACGCTGCCCACCGGCGCGCCCAGGCCCTTGGAGAAGCACAGGCTGACCGTGTCGAACGGCGCGCACAGGGCGTCGAGCGGCGTGGCGCCGGCCGCCGCGGCCTCCCACAGCCGCGCGCCGTCAAGGTGCAGCCGGATACCGTTCAGGCGCGCAAAGCGCGCGATCCGCGCCGTCTCGGCCGCGGGCATCACCATGCCGTTGAGCGTGTTCTCGAGGCTGATGACGCGCGTCGGGCACGCGTGCACGTCGCGGCTCAGCACGGCGTGCTCGGCGACGTCCTCGAGGGTGAGGTGGGTGCCGTTCTTGGGCACGACGGGCTGCACGGTGGCTCCGGTGAGCGACGACACCCTGAGGATGAAGTTAGATTATTAGATGCAGACGTGCGTAGAGATGTAAAAAAAAAAAAAAAAAAAAAAACCCCCCGCGGTGGTCCGCAAGCACGCCAAACGGAGGCTGCGTCAGCAGGCTGCGCAGGGCGACCTGGTTGCCCATGGTGCCCGAGGTGACGAAGAGCGCGGCCTCCTTGCCGGCCAGCCGCGCAACGTGCTCCTCGAGCTCGCGCGTCGTCGTGTCCTCGTTGAAGACGTCGTCGCGCAGCGAGCAGTTGGCCACGGCCGCCAGCATCGCCGGCGTCGGCACCGTCATGACATCACCTACGACACAACGGCAAATCGTTAGCAAATTGACCTTGATACCAAGGCATCCGTAGAATCAATTTTGGAACATACTGCGGAGGTCTAGCGATCCCGCACCCTTGGCACCAACCCAGGCACCACCGCCGCTTTGCTCGGTGCTGGCCATCGTGTGCTGGTGTACTGCGCTGCCGGAGAATGCTCTCGCGTGTCGAATGATTCGGGGAATATAGCTGGTATGGAATTTGATTCTGTCGAGTGGTAGAACACCGGGTTGGGCACGCTTCTTAATATGTTGTCGGATGGCACAACCTAGAATGCTCATGATCCCAATTTAGTTGCACGCCCTATGCGTTTGCAAAGGCGCACCGTGATCAGCTCCGCTCTGGCGCAGACGGGGCAGGACCAGCGCAGCGCAGGTGGGTTCAATCCGGACGGAGGTGGTGCAGCCGATGCAGCTTTTCTAATTGCAGAATTGAGCACAATGCAAGCGATTGACTCGGTCGGTATGAGGGAGTTGTAGGAAGAGGGCGCCGGCCCGGATCGGCACTCAAAGGCGCGGGGATGAAATTGGGTGGAGACAGATGGAGGCGCTTTGGCGACCATGCTGTCCGCTTGCTACTGTATATTCAGCTTCCACTGCCATAGTGTAGTCTTCAGATTATTTCTACTGAAAATTCTTGTTTTTACTCGATAATTTGGAAGTTCTATCCACAAACTCAATGTGCATCAGCAGTACGCCTTGGCTGACCACGTACATGCGGCCCGTTGCGCCGGCCCGCATGTGTCCACGTCTCAGCCAAAGCTTCCCACCACCACCTTCATTCGCCAGCAAGATCCGCGCACTTCTAGCCCCAATTATTGTCAACAACTTCTAGATTTCTGTTCTTCTTATTTTAGAAAAAATGAAGAAGAATATCGAATTGATTTACCCTTGCAACCTCCACAGGAGGGATCCTACTCCATTCCAGCCGCACGCTCGCCTGCGGTACGCCTCGGCGCTTAACGACACGAGGACACGCTGCCTTGGCAGCTTTCCGCGGGCTCGGCCGCAAGCTAGGTCTCCAGCTGGATCTGACGGGATAAATTTAGGCTTGTAGATAGAGTGCAGCATGCCGGTAGCTGACGAGGCAGGTCCCCAAGGCTCCTGAGCATATAACCGTCCTCGATCCACGCACTTACACGCCATCAAATGCCCCGGCGCCACCACTCAAAGCTTGAACCTATTCTAGCAATACCCTCCTCGATGATCTTATCAATCCCCTTTCTTGTTCTCGGACTGTGTGCCTCGCCAGTCGCCGCGGCTTCCGCCCAAGCCACGCACTCGACGGTGCTCTACCAACACTTCTTCCCCGCGTGGAATCCGTACCTCCAAGGCTATCTGCAAGATGCGTGCCGCGAGCAGATCACCAACTACCGCAACGCGACGTTTTCTGATCCCCGGACGAGCTACACAGTTCTCGACTGCCTTTTGAAGCAGTTTCCCGAGTTCCGCAAGGTTTGTCCCCGCCCTCTCCCTCTCCCTCTCCCTTCCCACCCATCAGTCAAGACACTGAGCCAAATCACCATCACAGGCAGAGATGAGCGCCGCCGCCGTCGTTCTCGGCCTTGCTCCCACCATCCTGCAAATGATCAGCCCGCGACCGTCCGACACGGCACTCGTCGCGCTGCGCCGTCCTCTCCTCGCGCTCCTCCTGTCCGTCGCCTCGCCTGCCACCACGAGCCCACCGGCGGCGCAATACGCGGAGCAGCTGCAGATGCTCGATCACCCGCTGCCACCGCGGGTTCATGGATGCTTTCCCTACACGGTACCGCGTGTGCTCGGCTACTACGAGGACGCGGCGGGGGGCCTCGTCTCCGCGCTGCAGTACACGGCTGCGCTGCTGGCCGCCGCCAACAGCGCATACCGCACCTACCAGCTGTGCATATGGACCGTGTGCACCTTTGTCCCGACCCGCGCCTACCTTCCGGCGCTCTGGCACGTCGCCGTCATCCCGCTGCACCTCATCGGGTGGGTGGCGCTTCTGCTGAGCCTGCAGAGGAGGCCGGCTCCAGCTCCGATGACGGCTACTGCGCGGCGACAGGCATCAGGACCGCGGTGGCTGGAAAGGGTGAAGAGAATTTTGGCAAGCGAGGCCATTCCAGGGGCCTTTGCGAAGAAGCTGCCGATGGAGAGCCGCGACGGGCCGGCGCCGTGCTTTTCGCTGATGACCATGGTGCTGTACGTCAGTGTGCCTATTCATGTAAGTTTTCAAAGACGCTGGTTCCGCCTCTTTTCAGGCATTGGCTTCATCTTCCACGTTCACACTGACTTCGACGCCAGATCCTCTATGGCACCATGGTTCTCTCCAGCCTCGCCTTTGTCAGCGCTGTCGACTCTCTCGGCGTCGTCGCGTGGTACGCGCTGAGTGCGATCATCAGCAAGGGAATCGTGTACTTTGAGTGCGCAGGGATCCAGGCCGTCGCCAGCGCAAGCCTAAGAACCGCGCAGCCAAGCCAGCAGACGAATAGGCATTCTGGTCCGTGATGGAACGGGAAGCCAGCGCTGCCGAGTGCGGCGAACTCCCTCCCACAGCTCACTAGGGGGTGGCTGGTGCTGGTCAAGGGCATTTCCTTGATGCATGTTTCAAAAAGAAAACCCCTGCCCAGAGAGATTTCGTTCCTAAATATACGGGATCCTAAATATACGGGACCTATTGCATAGCAATGGTTCGGCCCCCAATGAGGGGATCCCTGGTAGTGGTAGTGTCGGGCAGCGAATCGGCGTATAACATGCAGGGAAAATGCACCTAAAATATGATAATTTCTCACGGCAGCCCACATTGCGCTTCATCAAGAATAGATATTCATATAGATGCGTCCTTCTCCAGTTTTTGTTTGTCTTGTGCGCTGCGCAGCAAAGGGGTCTCGCCCACGCGCTCCCTCCCTCCCCCTCGTCGACACGATCCCAGTACGATGTCGCAGCTTACCTGCTTTCCCGCACTGGTATGCGTGTAGTGAGTCACGACCACGTCAACAGTGCAATATGCCACCCAAAATAATCGTAAAAATGCAGCCATGGCCGTTTCTCCCACCAGCAACGCCGAAATGATCTCAACTGCCCGCGCAAGTTCAGTCATGCCGCAGTAACCTGCGCCGGTAGTGCAAGCTTGGTGCGCTGGCTTTTTTCGGCCCCACGCATGCAACCAGGCCAAACTGCAGAGATGAGTTGGCATGATGCACCACCAGCTGTCTCTTGCGGCCCCGCGGCAAAGGAGGGTATGCGCGTGGCTGCGTCCCTGGGATATATCATCCTTAGTTGTCCCTCTTCTTTCCGCATCCTGTCTTCTTCGTAGTTATCCTCTATGCCGCGTCGCTGTTGAGCAATACCGCCTGCGCAGCTGCCTAGCCAACCTATCTCCAAGCCCATGTCGAAATGCTTCCAGGCTGTTTACTCTTCCCTTCTTACTATCCAACACACGCGTGCTGACATATGCTCAAAGTCGTGCTGTGGCTTGTCATTATTCGTCTCTCGTCTCTCGTCTCTCGTCATATGGCCCAATCGCTTGCTACGCCATAAGAGACTTGCAGTATAAACAAAAATCCGAACAAGGAAAGATGCTCCCTCGCAAATGCCCAAAGACGTCCCAGATAACATGAAATAGCGCACACCGATGTCGCCCTCGGTTCTGCTTTGCCTTTGTGTCGCTCCCTCTTTCTAAACATGAACAGAAATCATCAAAGATCCAGTCTTCCGCCGGCATTATCCAGAAAATGGAAAAGAAAACGAGACATGAAACGCCAGCCAGTAAACTCCCTCTGACAGGCGCCACTATACAAGCGCCATTCATCAGAGTCTACCGCCCTGCCCATTTGACGAGAAATTGAACCACAGCATCGAGGTTCGTCTCTTCCTTGGCACTGATGCCATAGCAGCAGACCTCGCGCCCTTGTATCGTTCCGAGTTCAAGAGCATCGATCAGATCATCGACCGACATTTTATCTGGGAGATCTGATTTATTACCAAGTACCAGCAACGGGATCCCTCCAAGGGAATTATATCCCATCAATGAGTGCAGCTGCTCCTTGGCATCGGGAATCTGTGGCAGGTCGGCAATATCGACGATGAAGACAATGGCGTTGACGCCACGGCAATACCTCTCCCACATGGATCGAAATCGCGGCTGGCCGCCCAGGTCCCAGCATTTCAATAGCACATGGCCGTGCTGAACCTTTTTCAGGTTGAATCCAACTGTCGGTATCGAGCTACATAGAAGTCAGTCAAAGAGCTCAGGCAACAACCGAAAGAGGAGTCCTGCCAAGACCTGCGACGTATGAGGCGACGGATGCTCGGCGAAAAGGGGCATGGACAACTGTCACGGCATCATTACAGCCAACTGGGGATATCAGACATACTCGACTGTGAACTCTCCTCCCTGCATTGCACAACATGTTAGCCCCAGTCAACAATACAGCCGCTGTTTGAAACATACCGACAGGACACGCAAGAGCGAAGTTTTCCCAGCGTTTTGCAGGCCTACCACAGTGACTTCCATTTCCTGGGCCCTATAAGCGATTTGCGTCAGTCGACAGGTCGTGTTGCTGAGTTGATCTGCCTGGGGAGGATAGGCAGTGCGTGTCATAGCCGAGATCGAGTCGAAGACGGGTCACAGCCCACGCCGGGCACGCTGTGGCAGGCAGCACGGAGTGCAAGCTTACCAAAATGTGCGCATCAACCAGTCGTATACCTTTCTGAACAACCCTGCCATGCTGGCGGTTTGGCCTGGGACGGCAGAGTTCCCTGGCGTGTGGTTGGCAGAGTGTGAAGGCACGGTTCTCGGCTGGGCTCGGTCAAGTGCAGGTCTCGCACTGGTCGGCGGAGCACGCAGCTCTTCGTGTGATGGCAGGATGCCCGAGACGCCTTGCGGCGGTGCGCAGAGATCTGGAAGAGGCTCGTGCTGTAGCCAGAGTGTATGGCAGGTCGGAAAGTCTCGTGGCAAGCCGTATAGCTTGGTTCGTTCGAAGGATGGCGCAGCGGCGGGCTAGGTGCGTCGTTTTCGATCGGATGGGTTGTTTGTGGGCTGGGCCGGGCACGTCTACGGTGGTGTAATAATGTTGGCTCAGAGGCCAGGGTAGGAGAGCCACGAGGACAAATACCTATCCTGAGCTTCAGGTCTGCCGCCAGTGAAGCTGTTGGGCAGAGAGCCGCAGGCAGGAGTGGAACAAGGCAGAAAAACAAAAACGCCGATGAGCGGCTGGAGCTTGATGAGGTAGAAGAGAGAAAGAGGTGTGGTGTCGTGGCCGTGTAGGTAGTTAGGAAGGCAAGCAGCGACAAGTGGCTGCAAAGGGTACCTCTTTTCCACCAGGCAGAGGAAAAAAGGCAAGACAGTTGAAAGGTACCTGCGGCCGTTGTATCGTCTTCAACCCCCACCTGACACAGCAGGCAGCTGCTCTGGCGCTGCAGAGGCCCGCTATCCTTAGGTGGTAGCCCGGCCCGCCACAAGTACCCTGGTCTGAGGTACCGAATAAGTCGACAGCTCCGTGGTGCGGCGCCACGGCCTTGAGGGAGAGAGAGAAGGTCGCCAAAGAGGCAAGCAAGACACACATGCAATGAGCGGCTGCGACTCTGAATGTCTACCTCTAGTAACTGGCTACCTGCTGAAGTGGAATAACTTATTAGCGGTGCTTTAGTGCAGAGCTTGCTCTTCTGCACCTGTAAGCAAGCTGCAACTCGAGTGCAGCCCCGTGTGGCTGTACCTACAGTACATACATAGCAGCTCATGGTAATAGGCATGTTTGATAGTGAACGTGTACCTCTCAACAATAAGAGCACTCCGGGGAAGTACTCAAAGGGTATCTACGGATAGGTACCTACCTTAATTATGTACGGATAGGCATAGACGATAAACCAAAAAAGGGCTTAGCAAGTTGAGTTGCAAAGGTGGTCGTAGCCAGGTACAAATCAGTACCAGGGTGTGTAAAGGCAAATAGTGTGCCATCACTAACTAAAACAGTACAACCCAACGGAGCCGATACTTCAGCCAATGATGAGCTCCGGCTACCTGACTTTTCAGTAACCAGGCACCTAATCAGCTCTTTTTGTTGAAATAACCGGTGTTCTTTTTTTTGTATAATTTCTTCTCAGTTTATCATCGTCCGGTCTCCCATGCTTGCTTTGGTTGGCTGACAGTCCGATCTGATTTCTGTTGCTGCATGGTAGCCGCTGAACTGCAGGCAAGCAGGAGCCCCCAAGAGACAATGCTGGGGCCCACTCCATCACCATGGCCACTGTATCCGTAACCCAAGGAACGCTGTTTCTGCATCGCACCTAGCATCGTGAACTACAAGCTGTAGACCACAGTTGGCAAAAGCAATCTGCTCAACGAGACTCCTCTTTACCAGATAGGTTTTCCCATCGACCTAGATTCTGAGAACGACAATCAACCAGTCTTAGATACTAGCAGCTCTCCCCGCCGCGGCGTACCGACACCACCACCAGCTAGGCACGTAACGGCACGCAACAAGGTCGCAGCACCCGCCCTGACGAGACGTCATACCACAAGCCAGCGTCACCAGACCTTCAACCTAGTACTCCTGTGGCCACCCTCTTCTTCTTCTTCTTACCCGTTCAATCAACACTACCAAGCTGCCCAGAGGATCTTCACCATAACCATGTTCTACTGGCCCAGTCTGGCTCGTCATAAGCAGCTAACGTTAGCCAATGTCCCACCGTTGAGCCGAGTCCTACTTCCCCTTCCTTTCCGCCCGTTATTTTCCCTTTTCTGAATCTAGCTCCCGCCGCCAAGGGTTCCTTCATAGCCCAAGCGCTGGGCAATCTGCAAGAGGTGCATGGTTCGGTACGTTGGCTCTTTCACAAGACAACACATGGCTTCTGCGGCTACCTGTTAACTCCAGGTGCCGCTACTCGCGTTGTGCAGCATGACATCCTTCGTACTGCGCTGTGTCCGCTGGATACATGTGCAGTACGACACGGGATACACTGCCCGACTTCTTCTTCTTATTCCGAGTACGCCTATAGCTATTCTGTTCGAACCCAAACCAGCGGCCGCTCGCCGGTGAACTGGTGCACACGGTGTCTCACCGACTTGACGCTGTCCCTCCGTAATTATGCCGGCCTATCGCCACATACATATCTATCGGGCAGGTGTTATACTTCACGCCCCAGCATAGGCTCAGCAGGAACCCCCCCCCCCAGAGACGTCTATTTTGCTTCCCTGAGCAGAGGACTCCTTTGGCCTCTGTCGATGGCCTAGACCTGCGCCAGCCAGTCTACGTCCGTGTTTATTACCAATACAGTCAAGAGACTATCCCGCCAACCACCCCGCGTCGTTGCTCCGATACACCAAGCTGCAATGGCAAGGCCGCTGCTTCGCGCCGGGAGAACGGCGAGGCTTGCATCGTGCAGCTTGCAGCTTGCAGTGTGCGGCTTGCAGGTACTTGTGCAGCGTGCAGCAAGCCATGGCTAGAAAAAGGCGACCAAGCCAAAAGTCTGCCTTCACCTAGCCGACATGTCTGCCTAGCAGGCCGCAGTCATGGTGAATCCGGTTCGGTTCATACACAATCCAGTGATATATGATACATGCTGGGGACGACCTGGCACTGGGCCGAGATACGAGCTTCCCCTCTCTCAGATCACGACTGTCCACTTTCTTCATTAACCATGGTCATCTGCTGCTGCACGCCGAAGGAGAAAAATGGATAAACGGAATCAGGTCTCATGCTGCAGACCACAGATGCAGGCCGCTGCCCCTCCTTGCCTCACACAAGCCTAATGTGGCTTGAGATCCTTGCTTGCAATACTACCCTCCTAGACGCTATTTAATGGTACGTAACGGTTCGCATCACGACAGACATGGCCTCAGTCTAGGCCGCGCGCGCCACTGTTCAATCAACGTCTGTCGCCTTTCCGCGAGTCAAAAGGTTCTTCTACACTAGCAACGTAAATCAGGTCAACTGTGGCACGGGCTTGGCGGCGGCGAAACCTTCTATATAGTGCAGAGGTAACAGTTGTAGCTCAAAACGGGATATGCCTCCGGACTGCAATAACAACCAGCTGTCATCCATCTTCACCGCAATAGGCACCATTGCCTCTCACTGGGGACTCAAACCGTGTGTCTTGCTTTTATGTCGACCTTCCACTCTATCCTTCCCAACCAATGGCCAAGAACAAAATGGGAGGGGCCCCTGCAAGGCATCGGCTCTTCGCACCTATGAGAGACGAGACTTTCACCGAAAACGATCACAGCGAACGACTGCCGTGTGTTACCCGAAGAGGCTCTCTGCTGCGACTTACAGTTGGCTGATCATGGGCTGGCAAGCTGGCTGGCCCCTTGTCTTGTGGTTGAGCGAACTGTTGCTGCAGCTCTCCAGCTCATCCGCCCCTCTTCTGCCTTCTCCAACAGCTGCACCCCCACTTGGGCCTGGCGTCACCGTATCGATAGCTACTATCTCATGTGACTTTATCTTATCGCAACTTTTTTTTTTGCAGCAAGCTCGTTGAAGGTCGTTCAGATCGCAGAGCAAACGCAACTTTTTTTTCGACTCGCTGCTGCTCGCCGTGACCTGCCAAGAACGCACTCTGCAGAGCTCTGCATGTATTTTGACTAAGGGAGCGCAGTCTTTCCTTCTACCTTCTCGAGTATACAAAGCTTTTGATCAGCCTGCGCAATCTACACAGCACTCCGTGGCTGGCCGCTCTCGACTCTCACAATGGCTCCCTCGGCGACGCGGACCGATTGGGACCATGAATATCACCTTCTAAGAAGAGAAAATCTCTTTCGAAACCCCCCCGAAGACCATACGGCCTATCCTGCACTCCAATTGGCGGTCAATCCTCACATCGAGTCCTTCAATGCCCTATTTCGAGACGATGGCAAGCCCAGTCTCCTCGATCACGCCTTGGCTGATATTGGCACCAAGACCTACTTCGACGGTGACGAGCGAAAGGGGCTTGATAATAAGAACAAGCTTAATATTCGCATCAAGAAGGTTATGCTGAACCGAGCTCATGTTCCCCCATCAAATAAGACCGCCAAGAACCGCGAAATCTTCCCTGCGGAATGCCGAGAGCGACATGTCACATACCGAGGGCGCCTGTCGGCCACCTTTGAGTACGACATCAATGGCGGCGACTCTCACGAATTTGTTCGCGACCTAGGCCAGATCCCCATCATGCTCAAGGTACGATTTTCCGTGCCCGGTGTAGGAATGCGCATGTTGCTAACAAAATACAGTCGAATCGTTGTCATCTCGAGAACAACTCACCTGCTCTTCTCGTCGCGCGTAAAGAAGAGTCCGAGGAACTTGGAGGGTATTTCATTGTCAACGGTATCGAAAAGATCATTCGTATGCTACAACTCAACAAGCGTAACTTTCCCATGGCCATCAATCGACCCAGTTTCCAAAACCGGGGCCCCGGTTACTCCTCCTACGGTATCATTCTACGCTCCGTCCGCCCTGACGAAACCTCCCAAACCAACGTCCTACACTACCTCAACGACGGCAACGTCACCTTCCGTTTCTCATGGCGCAAGAACGAGTACCTTGTGCCCGTCGTCATGATTATGAAGGCTCTAGTCGACACGAGCGATCGCAAAATTTTTGAGGGCGTCATTGGTCCCCAGGGCAGCAAGGCAACTGAAAACACTTTCCTGACCTATCGTGTTGAGCTGCTTCTCCGCACATACAAGTCATATGGACTATACGCTCAGTACGAGACGCGAGCCTACCTCGGCAAGAAATTTCGAGTTGTTCTTGGTTTGCCAGAGACCGTATCTGATTACGATGCCGGTACCGAGTTCCTCCGCCGGGTTGTCTTGGTTCACCTTGGCAATGTCGACGTTACTGAGAAGCAGGATGATGAAAAGTTCAGAATGCTCCTGTTCATGATCCGCAAGCTCTACTCCCTCGTTGCCGGTGAATGCGCTGTCGACAATCCCGATGCGATCCAGAACCAAGAGATCCTCCTTGGCGGTTTCTTGTACGGCCAGATCCTCAAGGAGAGGCTAGATGAGTTCCTTGGAGTCGGGGTTCGCTTGTCTCTGCGTGAATACTTCCGACGCCACCCTAGCCTCACATTTCACTCTGAAGAATTCCGGAAAGACTTTCCCATAAACATCTTTCGCAAGGCCAACGAAAATCTAGGCGCCTCGCTGGATTACTTCCTCTCCACTGGCAACCTGGTCAGTCCATCTGGTCTAGATCTTCAGCAGATAGCTGGTTTCACTGTCGTGGCCGAAAAGCTCAACTTTCTCCGTTTCATTGCCCACTTTCGCATGGTGCATCGTGGTGCTTTCTTCGCCCAGCTCAAGACGACGGCAGTCCGAAAGCTTCTTCCCGAATCATGGGGGTTCATGTGCCCCGTTCACACCCCTGATGGTGCTCCTTGTGGCCTGCTTAACCATTTGGCACACAAGTGCAAGATCATGACTGATCATATTGACGTCTCCAAAGTACCTAGCCTCGTTCAGCAGCTTGGTGCTCGGAATACTTCTACCGCCTCTTCAGCAGAAAGCGTCGTCATCATGCTCGACGGGAAAATTCTTGGGTGGTGTACTCCAAAGGAGTCTGTTCGTGTCGCAGACTGCCTTCGCCACTGGAAGGTGGAAGGCACCCACGGTGTGCCTCTGCACCTCGAGATCGGGTATGTTCCACCATCCACGGGCGGCTCATACCCTGGTATCTACATGACGTCGACACCCTCGCGCATGATTCGACCTGTCAAGTACCTGCCTCTGCAAAAGGAGGACATGGTCGGCCCCTACGAGCAGCCGTACATGTCTATTGCTATCGTGCCCGAGGAAATCGAATCCGGCCTGTCGACCCACGTCGAGTTTGATCCCACAAACATTCTCTCCATCTTGGCAAACATGACTCCCTTCTCCGACTTTAACCAGTCGCCGCGTAACATGTACCAGTGTCAGATGGGTAAGCAAACCATGGGTACCCCTGGTACAGCACTGGTACATCGTACCGACAACAAGTCATACCGCTTGCAGACCGGCCAGACACCCATTGTCCGGGCTCCACTGCATAATACCTACGGCTTTGACAACTTTCCCAACGGCACCAACGTAGTCGTCGCCGTTATTTCCTATACTGGTTACGACATGGACGACGCCATGATTATCAATAAGTCCTCGCACGAGAGAGGATTCGGTTATGGTTCCGTCTACAAGACGAAGAAAATCACCCTCAAGGACGATGCAAGAACAAAGGCGACTAAGAGTGTGACCAAAGCTTTCGGCTTCGCCCCGCACAGCTTCGTCAGCGCGGCGTACCAGGGTATGCTGGATGATGACGGGTTACCACACGTCGGCCGTCTTGTCCAGGAGGGCGATGTCATCTGTGCATGGCACACGGTGGTACCCGACTACCGTGGTGACCTCGTCAATCTAGATGGCATTACGCATTACGAGAAATACAAGGATGGCGAGACCGGCTTCATTGAGGAAGTTCGACTAATTGGTGCCGAAACCGGCTCGGAGTCCTTACAGACTATCTCGATCAAGTTCCGCATTCCTCGCTCCCCTATTATCGGTGACAAATTTTCGTCTCGTCACGGCCAAAAGGGTGTTTGCTCACAAAAGTGGCCAGCTATTGACATGCCGTTTACTGAATCCGGAATGCAGCCTGATACCATCATCAACCCCCACGCTTTCCCGTCGCGAATGACCATTGGCATGTTCGTCGAGTCGCTGGCCGGCAAGGCCGGTGCCCTGCACGGTCTCGCGCAAGACTCGACGCCGTTCCAGTTTAACGAGAAGCATAGAGCGGCAGACCATTTTGGCGAACAGCTCAGACAGGCGGGTTTCAACTACCATGGCAACGAGCCCATGTATTCCGGCATCACTGGCGAAGAGCTGGCTGCGGACATTTACATTGGTGTCGTCTACTACCAGCGTCTGCGTCACATGGTCAACGACAAGTTCCAAGTGCGTACGACGGGTCCCATTGTACCGACGACCGGCCAGCCTATCAAGGGTCGTAAGCGTGGTGGTGGCATCCGTGTCGGTGAAATGGAACGTGATGCGCTGCTAGCGCACGGTACAGCGTTCTTGCTGCAAGATCGTCTGCTCAACTGCTCGGATTACACCAAGTCGTGGATCTGTCGTCGGTGCGGCTCCTTCTTGTCGGTGCAACCAACAGTGTCGCAATTCGCGCCTTCGAGAAAGAAGGCTCCCAGCGTGGTGCGCTGCCGCCACTGCGCCATCAGAATCGACGACGAGGATGGCATCGACCTGACGGAGATTCAGGGTGAGATCTGGGAGGATGGTCAGGGCCACTCGTGGGTCGGTGGCGACCAGACCACGCAAATTGTGGTGCCAGGTGCCCTCAAGTACCTTGACGTCGAGTTGGCGGCCATGGGCGTCAAGCTCAAGTACAAGATTGATCAGGACGATAAGCCACGCAAGGGTGAACTGAAGCCACTGCCGCTGACAGCCATCAAGGCATAAGGCAAAGAAAAGTGAATATTATGTTTGGGTCTCTTTTTTTTGTAGATAGTTTGGATTTTTACTGTCGTTTCTATAGCAGATGAGGCACATGCAAGTCATGAGGACGTTTGTATACCTCGGGGGCGCATTCAGGAGCATACATTAAGCGGTTGAATTATGACAAATCAACTTACATCTCTCTGCCTCTTCTTTTTGCTTCTGCATGTGACTATGGGCCGAGAAAGAATTGAGCAGTCGCGTTTTGCATGTTGCACAAAGGGCCTGTATACAAGCGAGTCTATGGGGTTGGCCGAGCATCGCGGTGTCCGAGGCGGCACAAGCAAGAGGAACGAAGAACCACGAGGGCCGAAAACTTCGCATCTCTACCTTGAATGCGGTCAAGGTACCCAGATACACTGCGTAACGGCCAACAAGGCGGAGTGAGTAATTCGGGTAGGTACATACGTAGAATCAGACAGAGCGAAAATGTCCCAAGGTTTGCCGCGGGCAGCTGGCAGGCACCAAACACGGCACTTCTTGCTCGTGAACGCGTTTACCAGCTGCCCAACAACGCAACTACATCATTTCGCGGAGCAAACGAAGTCCTGCTTCCCCCATTCTTGGCTTCTTCTTTCGCTGTTTTCACCCTCATCTTTCTGCTTTCGTCATTTGTCATTTCAGATACCCGCCCTCGTTTGGGGATACACAATTCCATCATTTTCTGGTTATCACGAGATACAAACGCACCGACACCTGCCAACAAACGAACGCACTGCTCGTCCCTGGATAAGTATATAAGAGGCATCAGGGTGCTGTCCCGGAGCCAGGAGGCACACTAATAGGCGTGCTGTTGTCAACAATTTCCAATAATCGAACCCGCCGAGTCGATATTCAATACTCGAGAGTGTCTCCTCAACCTATACAAGAGATACAACGGATGCCAGAATCCTACTTGTTCTTAAAACTTTTCAGTCTTTCTTGCTTTCTTCCTTCATTGTCAATCCCAGTTCGATACCGTCAACATGCTTCTGACACTACTGCTCGCTCTTGCTGGCGTGGTGGCCTCCACAGCGCGGTCGTATGACTATGGCATTGATATAGACCAGCTCATTCGCAGACAAGATCCTGCGGCCAAGATTATTGTCGGCAAGTTGCCGCTGGCTTCTAATGGAAGCACGCCCATCAGACCCGAGATTCGCGACATGAGAAAGAACGGTTACATGTGGGATCTATACATTCTGGCGCTGAGTATGTTTCAGTCTGTCGGCCAAGACCAGTCGCTATCGTGGTACCAAATTGCAGGTAAGATGCATCCCTCAAGTTCGCTTCTCCCATTGACACGAGTAGGTATACATGGTGTTCCTTTTCAGCCTTGGAATGGCGTCCAGCCTGCACCAGGGGCAAGCCAGTCGGGCTACTGCACTCACAGCTCGGTCTTATTCCCGCTGTGGCACCGGCCATATCTCGCGCTCTATGAGGTAAGTAGGCTACTGTCGAATTTGAGCATGGCTAATGCTTGCAGCAACAAATGTTCAAACTGGCAAATGCTATCGCTGGGCTATTTACCAACGCGACGGAGCGAAACTTGTACCAGCAAGCCGCATCCCGATTTCGTATTCCGTACTGGGATTGGAGCTTGCCTGCTCCCCCTGGCGAGACACATTTCCCCGACTGCTTCTGGAGCCCGGTGATTTTGCAATACGGACCGAATGGACTACAGCACATTCGCAACCCGCTCTTTTCGTACATGTTTCATCCGGTAGAGGAAGACGCCTTCATCTGGAACCCGGTAAGTTCTGTTACCTACAACTCTCCTTGAAAATACTCTAACCAGTTAGCTCAAACGCTGGAGTGAGACCAAGCGAGCTCCGAACATGACGGTTAGCGAGACCGCACCGCCCTCGGAGAACTTTCAAGTCAGCGCCGCGCTCTTGTCGAAACTGCCCGAGTTGCAGCAGCGACTCTATATCATATTCTCTAATTATCACGAATTCAATGCCTTTAGCAACAAAGCCTGGGCATCGTCCCAAAAAGCGTCAAATCTTGACTCACTTGAATCGATCCACGACATTATTCACCTGTACGGAGGCCTGAAGGGCCACATGACGTACGTTCCTCTGTCATCGTTTGATCCCCTCTTCTTTTTGCATCATACGATGGTAGATCGCCTAATATCAATCTGGCAAGTGCTGAATCCAACTGCGTGGATTCAGCCAATGGCGAACGGCGAGACAAGCTACACGGCACCGAAAGGGACTATCCAGGATTCCACCAGTCCCTTGGTGCCGTTTTATGCTACCCCAGATACTTTTTGGACCTCAGATACGTCACGAACGACAGAGGCATTTGGATATACCTACACTGATACACGGCCGCATGTCGACGATAGAGTCGCCTTGCAGCAGTCGCTTGTGCGCAAGATCAACACCTGGTATGGCGCTTCCAGTCCCGCAGGAATTGCCGCGAAGGATTCACAGCTCCGAGTGTCCGCATTGGAAAAGACTGGCGGGCTTTGGAGTACGAAGGCGTCGAAAGGCGTGCCAAATATTAAGCTGACGGCCACGGATCCTCCTTCCGACAAGATTGTCAAAGCGGGCGCGTACACGGAATGGATTGCCAACGTCCAAGTCAATGTCGAGGCATTGGAAGGAGTTTTTGACGTGCACTTCTTTGTAGGCGCACCCGCCGACAATCCGACAGACTGGACTTTGTCGCCAAACCAGATTGGCACTGTGGCGATTTTTGCTATGAATCATTCAACGGGATCGCAATCCAAAATATCTGGTACACTACCGCTAACGACGGCGCTCATGAAACTCGTTGCGACTGGAACTTTGCCCAACTTAGATCCAAGCGCCGTAACACCTTTTCTCCGGCGCACACTGGAGGTCAGAGTGCGCAGCCACAACGACAGTGTGGTCGATTTAGCTCGAGTTGAGGGTCTACATATCGAAATTTCCAGCACCTGCGTCAAAGTCCCTGCGAGCGATGTCGAGCTCCCTACCTGGGGCGACTCTACATTGGAGTTGACAGTATGGCGCGATGAAATATCATAGGCGCTAGGCATGGCAGTATACGCGTTAGAACAGACGATTTTGGGTGCATACTTTAGGCTAGATGTGTTATCGGAATTTTGATATGGTGGCAGTTATTGGCGACAGCCAGGGCTTGTATTTTCTTGGAGGCATCGTCGCATTATGACTAGCCATGTGGTAGTTATGTTTGAGTACCTGTTAGAGTCTGCCAATGGATGTTTATTTGTTTGATGTTGACATTGTGCCTGGAGTGAGCCGGCGGTGTGGTTGTTTGAGGTGGACAGTTGTGAAACGAGGCGACGGCGCGGCCAGTTTCAGTGATCGGGCTGTCGGCCTTTTTTGCTTTTCACTTGGTGCCGGCTTACACGATCTCGACAGGTTCGAATCCCAAGCCACAAGAACTATTCGATGGAGGAGTTGGGCTTTTCTCGCACAGCCCCGATCATTCGGTCGACCAGCTCTCCAGGCTATCTAGCCTACTATCTGCCAACAGTCAATACGAACCAAAGAAAGTAACGAGCCGGCTAGTCTCATGTCTCCGGGGACCGGCCGCTGGGACGGGATGGAGGAGCCGGCAGTCAGAGGTTCCGCGCCGTGGCCCTTGTCTCAGGCGGTTTTAGCGTTTCCTTGTGCCGTCCTTGCCTATCTTGGTTGTAGTGGTAAAGACGGCAGAGGGGTGGGTTTATTGCTTACCAACTGGTGAGAGAAGGCAGGGCAAGATCAAGCTCGCTTAATCTAGGAGCTTTGCTGCTGCGACACACGGGGGGGTCGAGTATCAAGGGCTCTTCCCATCTTGATGACGAGAAGACCAGAGAGAGATGCGGAGGCCGTCCGGGGCTGAAACCAGAACAGGGCGAGACATCGTCCTGTCGGGGTAGTTTGGCGTCCCAATTCTTTCCCAATTCGCCACTAAACGGATCGACCAGACACTCCCGAGCCCCAGACTTTTGATTAGCTAGCTATGTGCCCCTAGTGGCGGTCAAGCTAGGAAACGGACGGAACAGAGGAGCTACGGCCGGCCTGGAAGCTGACCGTATCGATGATTCCAAAGGATTATTTTGGTAAGGGCGGGGGAACATTACGGTCAAGGACTTGACCATGTCAACTGCGCTCATGGATAAGAAAATACGGTCACCGATTGGAGGCAAAACTTGTCTGAACTGGTAGTTGCAAGTTCACCCCGTCTTGTCGATGCAGCAACAACCTTTTTTTGGCTCAGCCCTTTTTGCCTTCATGCCCAGAAGCCACACACGCCCCCCTCGTCACAAGGACCCCTTGTAATCGGCCTAATCAGGAGGGCGGCTTAACGACAAGAGGTTGTTGGCGTTTCGGGTAGGGTGGGTGGTGCAGTAGACCCCAAGCAGCAAGGCATTCTCATTAGGTTGTGTTGCGTCTGTAACTTGTTATGGACGAATGCGCTTGCTTGGGCAGCTGTCCAACTGTGGTTCACAGTACAACATCGTCTCCCAGGGAAAGGATTTGTCACATATATAAAGCGAAGCGGCCATTCTCATATCCCACCTACTTGTCAACTCTTGTCTATATACCACATTCCATCACCCAACACTCGCTGTCTGGCTCCTCACGAAGCTCTTCCCTCTTCTACATTGACTACTTGTCTTACACACAAACACAAACACCCGTACAACCAAGCAACATGCGCTCCAACATCGCCCTCCTCGCCGCTACCGCCGCTGCCGCGCAGGCCAAGATGATCCGTGTCGACGTCGGCATGGACGGGCTCACCTTCAGCCCCGACGTCATCACCGCCGCCAAGGGCGACATGCTCTCCTTCCACTTCTACCCTCAAAGGCACAGCGTCGTCCTCGGCACCAAGGACAAGCCCTGCGAGCCCGCCACCGAAGAACTCTTCTACTCTGGCTTCATGCCCACCACCGAAGGCGAAGCCGTGAGTTTTTCTTTTCCTCGCTTCGCTCGACGTCGGCCGTTCCGAAGCAAGTCGGAGAAGGAAATGTATATGTGCTAATGAAGGAATCGCTACTAGGCCTCCACGTTCATGGTCACCGTCAACTCGACGGACCCGATGTACCTGTACTGCTCCAGCGCCAAGCACTGCCAGGGCGGCATGGTCGCCATCGTCAACGGCGACAAGGACGCGCTCGACACGTACAAGACGGCCGCCGCCAAGGCCACCGACAACGTCTCCCCGAACTCGGTCACCGGCGGCACCATCATGAGCAACAACGGCGCCGGCATGAGCACCGGCGGCACCAAGACGTCCGCCGGCGGCACGGGCGCCTCGGCGTCGAGCACGTCCAAGCCCGGGGCGGCGGCCGGCTTCAAGGCTTCCATGGCGGGCGTGCTGGTGGCCGCGGGCGGCGTCGCTGCGATGATGCTGTAATGTGGGAATAATTTGACAGTGGGATGTAATGGGGAATGTTCTACTGGTAGATACATTTGGCTAGGGAAAAGAGAATGGACGATAATGATGACTTAATGTCAGCTACTTACTGCCTGGTGTAAACACTGTGACATGTAATTTTGAACGTATAATTTGACAACTGATTAAAGATTAAGAATATGGTGGAAACGGCATAAATCAAGTTTTAAAAAAATCCAATTCAATGTGCATTGCCGGTTCTGACCACCAGCGTAAGTGGAGGTTGTTGGTGGTGTTAGTGGTGGTGGTGGTGGTGATTGCTTCACGGCACGACGTCAAAAAAAGCTCCAATCGCCCCCCCACCCAGCATTTCGGCTCCGCGATCCGATCGCATCGATCCCCCCGGTCCTGGGCGTTCACAAGACGAAAATCTTCTTCCAGATAGTTTCGACGACCCGGGGCCCTTGACCGTCGATGTGACTGACCGTGGGCGGGTAGTTCTCTGCACGCCCCTCCCCCCTTTGCAACCACATTCTGAGAAAACTTGCTCACGTCGCACGCACGCCCCGAAAACTTGCTCACCCGGGTGCGAAAATCCCCACGAAGCCCGCTCACCTTCCCTCGCTTTTCTATACAGGTACAGATGTCCCGTTTAAATAGAAGAGATAGAAGTTGGATAAGTTGGAGAGTAAAGATAGGAGCGATAGGAGGCGTAGGAGGGATAAAGGGGACAAAGGCATGAACGGATGAAAGGATAGAAAGCATAGAAAGCATAATAAGAACAGTCATCGCTACACGCACAACATCACTGAACCAACAGGCTTTCCGGAATAATTAATCGTGACGCATCATCAGCTCTAAATACCTTGGTCGCCTGAAATACTCTGATGAAGATGTTAAAGAAAAAATGAAACAGAAAAGAGGAAACCAAAAAACGACCCCAACGCCGATGCAATGAATCTGCGTGATTCGACCTCCTGTAAATATATTTCGATTTCTTGCGCAGGCCGTCTTGTCCGTTGCCTAAGACGTGATTTGTGTCGAGCCGCGACTGTCTAAAATGAGCTTCCCTTTCCGATTTCACTGCCACATTCCCTGGCAATTACAAAAAATGGTGGTGTATTTGCATCGCCCCTTGGTCTTCTTTTCGAGGGGGTCAGCTGGCGGGCGGTTTATTTAATACCGACTCCCTTGGCCACGACTTCGCGGGCGTAGAATTCGACCAGCATTGTAGCGTAGCCTTCGAGCTCCTCGACGGGAATAGCCAGTCGAAAATCGTTGAGAACGAGGAATTGGAGCTCCAAATGGTTTAGTTCGGCAAGCGGCAGACCACCAACCTAGATATGTTTGTTAGTCCCAGTCAAAATGGCCATGCAATCTGCGGGTACGTACCTTGGCATATCTCGAGTTGGTGTAAAAGACGTCCGAAAAGAATTTACTTGCGCAAGTGACGCCCGAGATGATGAGACGATGGATGTTGAAGCTGTCGACGACAAAATAGGTCGCTGGGCTAGCAACATGGCGCTCCTCTGGCGCAAACGGTTTGACACCGTCCTCTCGTGCCGTTGGCGAGTCGACCATTGCATCGTCCGCGTCGTCGTCATCGTCGTCGGCCAGGTCAGAGTCCGTCTCGTCCGAGTTGTCGGTGGCAGAGGTAGTGGTATCGCGCATTGTCGTGTCGACCTGCCGCGAGGCAGAGCGCGAGTGGGCAGGATATGTTTGCGACTGGGAAGCGGCCCTTTGACGGGCACGCTCCGTCTTGACGACTCTATCATTGACGCGCTCCGTCATGCGGTCAAAGTACACAAGCAGGCTCAGAAACACCTCATAGGTGGTTGGGCAGTACTTGTGTATTCTGCCGAGGTAGCTAAGGATGGAGATGGCAGGGACGTTTTTACCGTGGAAGGCCAGGACAGAGTGGCTCAGTGGGCTCATGTGCGAGCCGGAGGCGTCGTGAGTCTGGTTGGCCTGCTGCTGATGGGTGACATTGCGCTGCATGGCATCGTGCTGCAGGTCGTTTGTAGTTGTGATTTTGGTGAGCAGCGCGGCGACCATGTCAATGACGTCGTTTATAGGCATGGCGCTAATCTCGTACTTGGTCTGACCTGCCGAGGGGCCGTTGGCGGGGCCTCCGATCATGCCCTCCTGTACGAGAGTTGTGATGTGTGCGAGATCGCGGACATGAACGACAGGCGCAACGGGGGCATCGACCGGCGGCGCCAGAGGACCGGCGGCGGGTTGGGCAGCAAGACCGGCCGAGGGGCCGTGGATGCGATAGTCGTCGGAGGGCGGTGAGGGCTGCTGCTGCCGGGGGTCGGAGGCTAAAGCGGGAGGATGAAATTGTGTCACAGAGACGTCATCTCTCTTGATGGCATCCATAGACGCCAAATTTGCATCATCTGCCGAGGAAGGTGGCGGGACGACGGCGGTGGGGGATGAGGACGGTGGGGGTGAGGGAAACCTGGCGGGCCCGGCGCGAGAGGAAGGAGAAAACTGATGGGTGCCAGCCGAGGCGGCGGGGGAGGCGGAAGCCTTGGGGGCGCGGCACGAGGCAGCCGAGTCCCTGCGAGACGAAGACGACGAGGCGAGCCGCGAGGAAGGTGAGTGGTGTAGCGGGACCGTCGCAGCAGCGTTGGTGGCGGAAGAAGATGTCGACCGTTGTCGCGCGCGGCCCGGCGATTGTTGGTAGTGAGGAGGTTCGTGGGAGCGGGGCGACTTGCGTTGCAGCGAAGAGCTGGTAATCATGGTATGAAATCGTGAGAGGTCGGTTACGAAGTCGCCAATTACTGCTGCCATTTCATCGTCGTGCGCACTGGGGAGAGATGGTGTGTGGTGCGAGTGCGTATTTTTTTTTTTTTTGCCCTTCCCTTGTCTCGGTGAAGGAGAGGAGTGTTATTCCCCTGCGTGTCTCGGTGCGAGGCGGGGGAGTACCAGTACGACCAGGGGCGAGCTACCCAGTGGAAGCGGGATTGCGTCTCGAAAAAAAACTGACGCAAGAGAAGGACAAGGCGCGAGGTTAGCGAATGCTCCTGATTAAAGAAACGTGAGAACGAGGAAGAGGAAGGAAAGCAAGACAAATGCGACGCCAGCGAACAAGGAGATGAAGAAAGAGGTGTTGATGAAATGGCGGAAGCAGGGAGGAAGGAGAATTTGGGGGAGGCGAGCGATAGCGGGGGGGGGCGTTTTCGTTTTTCTCCTTGGCCCAAGCAAGGCAAGGTGCCTGGGCTGGGCTGGGATGGGCTGGGCTGGAAGACGGGGGTTGTAGCGGCTGTAGCGGCTGGTTGGGCGGCTTTTCTGGGTGTGTTCTTCAGAGCACCACAGCGGCTGGAATGCCCAAGAACACTGAAGGAGCCGCTAAAAGTCCACCACTGCGCTGACGATCGTGGCCTTGCAGCAGCTGGCAGTAGATGGATGATGGCTTGCTTGGGAACGAACCAACGCAACGCTATCGTGCTGGCGTCGGCGACAATGAACCGGAACGGCCAGCCCGAGCCAATCTCGGCCTAGGCAGGCGGCCACACCGTACCAGATGACGACGGGGCAGCGGACGGAGCAGAGTCCCTATCGCCACTGTCGACGAAAAAAAGAGGAGCCGGCTATCGGGCCAGGGCGAATCAAGGCTGACGTATTGACGGTTCCATGACTCGGCATCCGTGTGTGGAGGGAACTGGCTGGCATCTATAACGGGATCCGCAAACATGTATATATATATATATATATACACATGTGGCCGTCCTTTTGGCTACCGTTCGTTCCCCTTGCCCATCAATGATGCATCACCGGTCGCGATCTCCTCTGCTGCGGGCCGCTCGACGCACAAGGCCGCGAACCCGTGCCGGCGTCGCAATACACGGTGCCAGCGGCGGCGAGACGGAGGGCCAGGGGGCGAGCTGCGTAGGCTGATGTGTGCATGCAGATGTGTGTGCTTCGTCGAAATAGCCCGGCATGGCTGATGGGGATGGTTTTTTATGCCTGGGCATCGTGAACAAGCCACCAAGGGACCGGATCGATAAACCAGCGTCACGTCACCCCTCCTGCAGATATGTTGCTGGCGCACGTGGAGCGTTTGAGTATGGGTGGGCAAGCCGGAGCACTTGTCGGAGCCATGGTTGAATGCGATGCAGGGGGATATAGGAAGTCATGATGGGAAGTGAAAACGGAAAGCAATGATTTGGTAAAACAGATAATAAAGCATCTCATCAAAACTCACTAGATTCCAGATATGGCTCACTGATGACAGACAACAGCGTCCAAGGTCTTGTCGTTTGTTGTAGGCGACGCTATTTTGTTGGCTATAATAGGCCGTCACGAGGTCAAGGTCATGGATATGGTAGCGCCGTAGTGCAATGTACTCGTTCGTAGCAAGGCCAAGAGTGTGTCGCTTTCTTGTTCCTTTGCCTTTTCCAAAATCTAAATGTCCACCAGAAATAAAGAAATAAACACTTTGGCAGATGTCTCTGAATTCAGGGCACCCTTCGCGTAATTTCTGTTGATTCGTGCGTCAGCGGAGTGGCTGCGGACGAGCAAGTAGCCGGCGTCGCGGTGCTTCGAGAAAGGGGTTGCTTTGGAAACTTTGAGAGAATGACGCGATGCCGAAAGTTCGCTGCCTTTTTGTCCTCCTTTCTTTGCTTTTATTCGTTTATTTCGGTGAGGATATCCTGGATATCTTGGACGGGGCTGACTCGGCTGTCGATGCTTATTGTAGCGGTCTGCGGTTTCGTGTGTGGAGAGCCCGTGGGGAGCGTATAGCGTGGGAGAGGTACGCAGCTTGACCGCGAATACTGTTGACGAGTCGTGTAATGCACAAAGTTCTTCCAGAAAAAAAAAGAGGATAGATGGATGAGGGTGGTAAAGGGGAACAGAACGCGACTTTGTTGTAATGGCCGTTTGCTGGACGGCTCGGCACACGCACCAACCGACGTCGTCAGCCTGCCCAGGTCTCTCTCTCTCGTCTCTGTCGGCGCTATGAAAACGCTGCCTCCCCCAACGTGGGTGTTTCCCAGCGCTGCCGTTGGCCCACGCGGTACCGTCCTTGGAAAAAAAGAACAATGCGCACGTCAAAGTGCCAGGGGTTTCGTATAAGAAGGGGGAAAGGGGGATACACGGGAGAAGAAAGAAGGAGAATTCCTTCCCAGCCAGGGGTGTGTTGGGGTGGAAAAGAGATGCTGATATCAATCCAACCCAAGGCGTGCGCGGCGAGCTACGCGGAGATACGTTCTAGGTTTTAGCGCAAGCCATTTTTATTTTACCTTTTTTTATCCATGATTTTGTCCGTTCAGAAACTACCTAATGACCGGGTATTTTCTCCTCTTCTTGTACCTCAAACCACGGTGACCCGTGGCCTTGCAGGCCTCGTGGTTGACAAAGGTTCAAGCTCATCCACGCCAAACCACATCGTCGTCTTGCCGCACGTGGGCCCAACCGTCCTCGGCTGTGGGGGAGCAACTGAACATCACTCAACCACCTCAACCTTGATCATTGACCACTATCCATGGCATAGTCCCCCCACGAGTCACGGCAATCTGGCCTTGTCTTGACCGACTTGTCCGCTCCAATTTACTAGTCTTTTGATTTTGGTTTTTCTCTATTCCCTTTAAACTGTCTCGGGGAAGTACTCCCGTTCCTCATTCAGCAACCAGTCTCATTCTGACTTGCAGGTAAAGTGGCACCGCGTCTCCCTCGCCCGCTTTCGTCATCCCCCCCCCCCCCCTCCAAGTGAAATGTCATCTACTGGGCACCAGTGTATACTTTTTACCATTCAACGTCATCTCCTTAAACTCCTCACGGCTTTATGCACTTCTAAATCGGCACCCAACTATGCCGCCCAACTTCTGCGCACGTCATCAGTATACCCCATCTTTCATCCATTTGGAAGGTCCCTTGAAAAGGTCGTGCCTGGCGACCTGAATAGTATATTCTATATTCTTTCCATTTTCTACTTCACCTTCCTTTCATATTTGCCCTACACATACATGTATATATATATAATCCTTTTTCAATACCTGCTTCTGAAATCCTATGTATACTCCGTATTATAGAGGCATACGACCGCCACAAGGCAGCCTCCCTACCCAAGCTTCCATGAATCCGAGGTTCTAAGCTGCAAATTCCCATCAGGGAGCATCTTCATCTTGTATGCGCGCTTTAATAAACGCCCTCCCCCTTGCGACCTTCTCCTCTTGGCCACCCCGCGGATAAACACCCCGAGCCACATGTCACGCAGCGCGCCCTGTCCAACCTTGCCACAAATTCACGCATGTCTTGTGTTACCCGTTCCTTTCTCACAATGACAAACTCTGTCATATACAGCCTTGTCGAACCCCATGTCATCCTCTCCACACCGCCAATGGCACCCCAAGCACATCATGACGGTCGGCCCGTGCCGCACCTCTTGCACATATACTCTCCAAATGACACACACCAATAGATGCTGGGACATGCATGCAAACCTTCCACCGCCCACGGCCATCTCGCCAGCCGCCCACAACTCTCGCCAGACATCTTTCAGTCACCGACTCCATGCACGCACCAGGCCCCCGATAGCTCGATACAACGTCATATCCCCCTTGTTCCCTTCTCACCGCCCTCCCACTACGTCATACAGACACATTGCAAACGCAGCTTCGAGCCTTGGCCGTGAATTAGAGACTTGAATTCCTTTGTCTGTTCTGAAGACCGGGCGGGTACTATATTGTACAAACATCTCCATCCTTGCAGCCCTCGTTTCTTTCACCCTCCCTCTCTTATCATTTAGTCGTGACGCACCGCATAGTCCGTGTCCGGCAGGTACAGGTGGCGGTCCGCGCCCTTGGCCGTCAGCACCACCATGCGGATCACGCCGCCAGAGCTGCCGTCCCACTTGATGGCCTCGCGCAGCGCTCCCTTGACGAAGTCGACGGCCTCGGCCTCCTCCATGCCCTCCTTCCAATTGGCGTCGCAGTAGCCGTAGATATATGTTGACCCGGAGCCGCCAATGGCGTACGCCTGCTTGTGCAGCGAGCCACCTAGCGGGATCGAGTACACCTGGCCGCCGAACCGCTCGTCCCAGCCTGCAATAATGAGGCCGGCTCTAGAAAACAATTAGCATCGGTAACCATGTCAAAGACTTCAATCACCGTAGGTGTTGGTTCACGTACGATAGGCGGTCCTTGTTGGCGTAGCAAAGTTCTTGGAAAATGGACGCCGCGGTTTGCGTCATCGGGGGTTTCCCGCTCTGCATGGCAAACATGCCCAGCTGGTATTGGACAATGTCCGCGACAGCTTGTGTGTCTGCCGCCGAACCTGATCGGCAGCACCAGATGGTGTCGTGTACTCTGGTAAGCTTATCCGTTACTCGATTGGCAATGTACGCGCCCGTCGTGGTTCGCGAATCGGCGCCTTTCCCCGTTAGCTTTCACGTTCTGCTCGACTCGTAAGTATCCGTCGAGGCGCATACCGAGAATGACTCCGTCCTTGAATGTAACCGCCATACTATCCTCCTGTTAGTATCCAGTCATTGACGGGCCGAATTCGTCACAGATACGCACATCGAGGTACCCAGACTGCCACAGGTTAGCTTCAGTCATCATTCCCAAAGCCGCATGCATAAACTCACTTGACCTCTCCCTTCTTCAGGTGCTCCATATCGACGTGGATGCCATCTGTTGCCGCCATTAGCTATACGGTCATGCAACGTTGCTCGATGAGGGCAAACGAACCCTCGGACAGCACTCCCTTGTTGCCAAACTCCATGATGTCGGTATATGCAAGCGCTGTAAGAATCTATATGTCTCTGGTCCGATATGACGCGATGTACTCGGATTCGTCGTTGGCTTAATTGTGATGAGGTATGCGGCCAGGTCAACTGGGGTCGGAGCTCTCCAGTTAGCTCAGGCAGCTTCGGACGCGCAGCCGCGACGTCCTCAAAGCTACCTGGTGAGATCACGTGACTTTTCACGTGCGCATAACAGTTACAATTCAAAGCAGACAGAGAGAAAAGGCAATTCTTATATGTATCCAGTTGGTTACAGCTCTGTCTCATTTCTCATTCTTAGAACACTTGTCATTCAATAGCGGGCGGGGTACAAAACAAGTTGAACTGTAAATTGATGGTTGAATACGCCTGATGATGGATATGATGCTCCGTAACATTGCTCAGCTATAATGCAAGAAAACACAAGACCAAAAGAAGAATGTCGCCTAAAATATACAAATTATGTCATATAGTGCGAGTGGCAATGCGCTACTCTTTCTTGTCGCCGTCCGCCTTGTCCTTCTCCTTCTTACTCGTCTTCTTTGCTTCGTCGCCCGCCGCTGCGTCGTCCTCGCCCTTCTTCTTCTTCTTGTCGTCGTCGGCGCAGCCGCAGTCGTAAAAGTCGCCAATCTTGGTGCAGTCAAACTCGGGCTTCTCGAGGCGCTTGTTGACGAGGTTGTGGGCGAAGCAGAGCCAGCCGGCGGCGGCGCTGCGCGAGCCGGACTGCGGCGGGTACTCGGCGAGGATGCTGCGAAAGTGGCGGGCGCAGTCGCCGCACGGGTAGAGGCGACCGAAGAGGTGCATGAACTGCTCGAACGTGGTGCGCTCGTCCTTGGTCGGCTTGTCGGGGAAGCGGGCGGCCATGGTGTGCAGGAACCGCCAGGTCGCTTGTCCGAGTTCGGCCCTGGAGAGAGAGAGAGAGAGAGAGAGAGAGGTCAGCGGGGGGAGGCTGGGAGGAGGCAGAGAGCGGGCAGAGAGGGAATATAGAGTTTACTTGAGCGTTGCGTTCTCCAACGTTGGCGCTATTGAGTCGCCGTCGAGGGACGGTAGCGAGTCGACGTCGATGCTGAAGCCGCCGCTGGGGGACGGCGTGGTGGCCGAGGGTGAGGCGGTGTCCTTGACTATTTGGGCATCGTCGCTGTCGGTCGTTTTCGACGCCTGCGTCGGTTTCTCTTTCAGCGGTTTCTCTTTCGGCTGCTGCTGCTGCTGCTGCTGCTGCTTCGGGGTGACGGCGCCGCCAACGAACTGGGCGGCGCGGTCTCGCGCTGCGGCCGGCGCCGAGGTAAAAAAGTAGGACACGCTGAGGAACAAGAAGACGATCAGAAGAAGGGAAAGCGTGAGGTGCTGTCGCCGGGCCATCTCGACCAGCGTGATGGTAGGTTGTGAAAAGGAAAGGGAAGAGAAGAATATATCGGGGGGTGGTGCGAGGAAGAAAGGCGACGTGATTATTATTTCCTTTTTCTTGGTGCCGTCAAGAGGTACATAACTAGAGTTGCGAACAGATGGCACCATCACGGGCAGGCCGCCCGCCGCCGCTGCCACAGCGGAGCAAAGGGAGAGGTGGGCCGCATTCAATATATTAGTAGGTATTAATTGAAATGCAGCGTACACTTGAACAACAAGGTTTTCTGCCAAAAGAACCGCCATGGAATAAAATTTTATTTCCTTGGATTCTGGAATACGTAGTTTTACCGACATTCTCATAGAAGTGAACCTCTCATTGTGGCGGGGCCACCGTCCATAGCCTTGTCCTACATCCACGGCGCTATTCCTAGACATGGACGATACAAAGTGCATACAAAAGCCAAAGCCGACCAAAACTCATCACAATCTGATGGGACAATGAAGGTTGTATTATTTCCGCCAGTTTTATTTCCATCCATGCCGTCATACTGATGTGGAGTTGTCGACCACCCTCATCCTCATCGGTTAATAAGAATAAAGCTCAGCCACCACACCCTTACTTACATGAACCATGCATGTCCTACAAACAAGTTCAGACTGAGACTACCGGCGCGTGTCAATGCAGTACAGAGTGTCTTTCAAACACATGTTAAAGTGTGCTGCAAATCACGCCCGGCCCACGAGCCTCATCTCGATCCCGGCCCGACGCCAGCACTGGATGGCCCCGACTTGAATGCCGCCCCCAGCTCAACCAAACCCCGAGCATGGGACCCCAACTGTAAAACTAGCACATGGCATAGCGATCCTTCACTCCTTCCATTTATCGGGGAACGCGATGTCGGCGATAGCCACGGTGACGCGTAGGACACAAGAGAGCTTGCTGCCTCCAAAGTTCCGAGTTCCTGCAGCCCAAGCTTCGGTATCATCCAGGTCGACTACGAAGCCTCACTAGAGAGTCGACGTGATACGTTTGACTGCAAGATGTATTAATCAAACTTGGGTTATGGCCCCAGGCGCATACCTAACGTCCGGGCCCATCCGTCACATAGAGTTCGACACCGCCGACGACCTCGCCGCCGCCCTCGCACTACTTGGCACGCCGTCTTCCAACCTACGTCACGGATATGTACTAGCAAACTGGTAAGTCCATTACATCCAAGTCTACTTCTTCAACAATCGCGCCGGCCGCAGTACGCTGCCGTTTACCGTTTCGCCACCGCCAGCACCATAGACTCCGGCGTCCGCACTCCTCAACGGATCGCCGCTTCCGGGTTAAGAAACCGCCCCAAGCAATACCCATCCCAGGACAGACACAAAGCTAGGATGAATGATATTGTGGTTTTTGGATCAGAATAGATACGAGGCAAACTTCTGTCTCCGGGTTCGTTAGCTGCATCAGCGAACTCACTGGCGGATGACAAACTATACCGAAAGTCACTGCGCAACACCACTCCAATAATACCACGGAAGTATTATGACTTCCATATTCTACAGTACATCTACCAAAATACTTGCGATAGATAACTTGAGCCATGGCGGGCTGTCTACTACCTGCTGGCGAGGGAGTTTCGCACCCCTCAATTTCATGTACTTTCAATCGCAGTCCTTAAAAGGAGCGCTTGCCTAGACACATAGCCCGTGTAGATTAACCCTTGCGCCAATAGACATTCCGAAATCAACGTACGGAACAAGGTCTCAGGTTTGGTTCTGCAGCCGTGCGGCCGTCGGAGACACAGCGAGCTCATATGCGTATCATGAGGCCGGCTGAGGAGTGCAGCCGAGCCACATCCTATGCCGTGCGTGTTTTCACTACAGCTCCTGTTACCAGCATCTCCCAAAGGAATCAAATCCGGCGCAGTCTTGCCAGTGTGTCACCAAATGAGGAACCGCGCCGAAACTGGCCACATGGACAAAACGATAGGTCTCAAAGCACCACCAGCAGCTCATATTAGTTTAATGACACGGAGAAGAAAAAATGTCTGGCATCGATTCTATGAGATGGTTCAATAAGGAGGCATGAAGCGATGCTCCCTTCACCATCACAGCAAAACTCAGCGCTACGCTTGGCCCACGCTTTGGCCACGGCCGTGTAGCAGGCCGCGCCATGATGATCGCCAATGGTGATTTGCTTCGCTAACCAAACACGCTAAACAGGACTCTTCTTGATCCGTGTCCAGGCTGGGATTTCTGGGAAGAAGTTGAGGTTTCTTCGGGTACGCGCTTCACGGCCAACCACCACATCGTAGAGCTTGCGGACCTGTCCGGTCTCTTCGCCGAGAGAAATGTGGTCGGGATGAGAGAAGACGCAGATATCGGCATTAAACCCGATGGCTTCAAGCACGGACTCTTTAACGGACCCTTTATCCCATGTTACAGTTGTGGCTGCCTCGCAGAAACAAGACTGCCACCTCCATATGGCGCCAAGTTCGAGGACGCGCAAAGGGTTCAATCTACTCGAAGACGTTTGACGCACCTGCAACGCAATCGGCATCCCAAGAGTCCTGAGCTCGTCTCAGTGAGTCGTTTTGTGTATACCATAGCGGTATGAGCTTCTTTGACGAAATTGTACGTGGGCTGAAGGATCGCTTGCCGTATGATATCATGGCGATCAGGAATCGTGCATGTTCATGGTTGGTTGTAATACTGCGCCTCTACATATGGTTTATTTTGGGCCTCCAACTATTTTTGTTCTTCTTCTTGTTATTTTTCACTTGTTGTTTCCGCTATGGTGCCGTCTTAAACGCGGAAAGGTATGGAGCACTGTACTTCTCACAGCTCGTATCCTGACATCAACAAAGTCATCAGATACCTACTCACTCAGCATGTAAATACAACAATAAAAGAAAGGATGTCCATTTCACACCTATCAATTGAAGGCAGAGGGCAATGAGCTGCGGAGTATCATCAATTCAACAAAGATAAAGGCCATCGCGGTAAGGTGTAGGGTAGGTGGCGCACGATGCGAGGCGAAGCCTGATGAAGATTGCAAGCTGTAACTACAGGGGATATCCTGGACAGTGATGAAATGCGTGTTATACGAATGTTAGTTATTGCTTGATTCTGCGCCCTGGTTGGTCCATCATCAACCGCATCTTGCATACATACCTGATCAGATGATGACAAGTCGAACAAGGGTTGATTCCCTTAATAAAAGGTGCCTAGCTACAGTAGATACATGGACTCAACTATTGCCACACAGGAGCGATAAAACACAAACGGAATCCTGCCATATTTGGATGGCTACCCAAGCCAGTGATGATTAATTTGCTTTGCCGTCTTGGCTGTTCGTGCACATGAATCGCGCGCATAGTCAGGCATCTCGTGAACCAGTTTTATGCTGGAGGACTCCGTACGAAGTAGGCCCTACAAGCGGCAACTATCGAATTGCCAATTTACTAATCTGGAGAGGGCGAAGGAAAGTTTCGCTAGTTCTGCTGAACTGGTCACATCTTTGGGACCAGTGGGACATTTGAGTTTTGATGAACAATGAAACGGTGCTGGTGGACTACGGGCAAATAATCAGTCATGATCAGACGAGGCCGTGCACCTTGCGAGCACAGCTCTGCGAATACACGCAGCACCAACTGCTCCGTGTTTTGTGCAATTACGATGGGATATTATGCCGATAAGATCAAAAGCCGATGGAGCTCTCATTGCATGGTGATCGGGTACGCCGTGACAGGGCAGCGCGGCACAATGCGAAGTGGCCGTGTGAGCGAGCGACTAGGAAGAACGCATCGTTGCGAAGCCGACCCTGTGCGACGTGCACATGACAGATTTGTGCCGGCTTCCATAATCGGACGATTGGTCTGCCTCGCGCATTTTACAAACCGGTTTCTCGGTCGCAGATGCATTCCCGCGTGGCAATGACGAGTCGTTTCGTAAAGACTTGCTGCTGAGGGCGAGCATTCCAACGCGCCGCGCGGAATCTGAAACACGGGGGCAAAGGGGTTCATTCTTCCACCCGGCCACAGTCCGTTACGATTTCTTTCCTTTTGCGAGAGGATTGCGCAAGAAAATTTTGACGCAAGGGTAACAGAAACAATGTCTCAGCGTTATCTTTTTTTAGTTTTGCTTTTGAGATTGTTTTCGGTGACATGGGCTGGGGCAGGAATAGCACACCGGTGACAGGCGACAGGCGACAGGGAGAGGGACGGCTTGACGACGGCTTGAAGAGACTCGTGGCTGGACTGGGAATGGTTTGCCTTCTGACAGGGGTCTTATTGTCTGCTGATCGTCAATGCGAAAGGTCTGGACTCCTCGGCTGGGGGCCATGGCGGCGACGGAGCCTGGCCAGTGGGAGCAGGCAAGGTGACGGCAAACCTGAAGCGTGCCAGTTCGGCCTGAAGCCAAGCATCTGCCGCAAGGGCGGCCCATTCACGGATAGGTTTTGCTGCTTCTACGGGTACTCAGGTACTCGGCGGGGACGTCATGTACCCAAGCCCAAAGGTGACAAGCTGAGTGACAGGCAATTCCAGTTGCGCGAATTCGTGCTTGTAATCGGGCCATCTGTAGTTTTGCCAGTGGTGCGGACAGAATCGCCAGAGGGGAAGAACATCCAGAACAAGTAAGCTTTGTGAACATCAGTGTTGATGTGCGTGAGAGTTGCCGGAAATAGCAAGAGATGGTTGAAGACAGACGCAGAATTTGGCAGGCAGTTCTTAGTACCAGTAGATACCCATGCTTGCTTGTCATGCCATGGCTACTGGCCCTTTTAGTGGATGAGCAAATCGGCGGGACCACAGGCATCATCAATAAGTTTCGAATGGTGCAGTGCGAGCCATACTGGAAGGAGCATGATGCGAGTCCCTTTTTTACGTGGCGAGGTTGGCCTGGTGTGCGAGGAGAGACAGTGGCTTTGTGACATATGGAACATTCCACCAGTATCGAGGCAGGGGCAAATGTTTTTGCGGCATGAAGAGAGGGTTTTGGATCGGCGGTGGGACGCGACTTGGGGTGAAGGCTGGATGATCGAACAGTTGAGGTGGAGAGAGACTGTCTGTGATGATTTGTTTTTTGTACTAATACATGTGTGGCGTACATATGCGTCCGCTGTGCTGCCAGGTGAAGCAAACAGAGCATGCTAGTTGGCGGGCGTAAACAACGGCGGTGCCAGCTGGCGGGAATGTCTGTGATACGATACGGTGTGGCGCAGACAAAATTGGCAAGCACAGGGTGGTAATTACAAGCATGCTGCAGCCTGCAGCCGTTGTGTCCCTCGGGTATCCGTAGGCGATGTATTTGTTCTTGAACATTGATTCAGGTCACCAGCACCTTTTTGGCAACACTCAACGGGCACATTAGCGGCGCGTTAGCTGCCGCACCAAAAAAGGCAAAAACTTGGGCGAATTTGGCCATTCGGCGTGGCTTTACTGGGGCGCGCGAGTTGTTGTGGCGCCGGTGTACCTGACGCTGGTAGAAGTAGAAGGTACATGGCGAGTGGAGGTTAAAATGGGTGAAAACGCATCGAGCCGGGACGCGAAGCGAGTATGGAGTACATGCATTGGAAATTATGCTCTCGGCTTGGCGGCCCCGTTACGGGCACATCAATCGCGATGCTGAGGTAAATGCGCGCGAGCCCTATCTGCTCGTTTATCAGTGCAGGTTGTTCTGCGCGACGTCTCGGCGTGTTTTTTTGCCCTACAAGGTGACGTGACAGCAAAATTGCAAATTTAGCAGAAAAGCGAAGCCTTGCTCTTCTTTGTTTCTCCTTTTTACGTGGATCCAACTCGACGTGTGCCTGAGTTAGCGTGGCGTAATTTCCCAGCAGGGGGACGCCGCAGATCCACAGACTGTGCAGGTACTTGGGAGGTGGTGGTGAATTGGTGGTAGGACGAGGTACTCCGTGCTTCGCAGGCGCTGACGGGAGGCGGCTGGCAGGGGTAGCTGGAGGGTAGCTAGGCCGAGTCTAGTGTGGGAGTGGGGTTCTTCCAGTGAGTTGGTGGATGAAAGGGCTTGGCTGCAATCAATTCAATACGGGAGAGCCGTTTACCAGGCAGTATCGGTACCGAGAGCTGGGAAGAACCTGCAAGGCGATGATGAAAGGCAGTGTTTTTCTGCACCAAAATAGAAGGTCGCACGGCCAACTTGTTGTGACAGATGAGCGCTCTCTCTTGCTCTTGCTCTCTCGTCCTTTTTTTGTTCTTGCTCCTTACAGACTCGTGTGCCAGCCGCGTCTCGTTTGCATTCCAGCACTGACTGTTGTTCTGGTGCTGCAGGTGCTTTGTCCCCCTGGACCGACCCCAGCGCACCACCGCACTGGATCCCCTGATGATGGTGCACTGGGAGCGTAGCAACGCCGCTGGATTGGAGGGCGGTAAGAGGTGATAATTTCCGGAGAGTTGACAGGCAGATATTACTATCATGGTATAGGGAGATAGGTAATAGCACAGAGGGTAGGAACATGAGTAACCCACGCCTGGAAGGAACTTATGTGCATCACGATGCCAATCGGGAAGCGGTAAATTCTCCGTCCCTAAATTGCCCAGGTGACACAAAGTAAAGTACTCAGGCAGCTACTTTACGCCTAGCAGGTACCTTGACACACCGGTCACTTTGGCTGGTCAAACCGTCCAACCGTCGTCCAACCGTCCGCCAACTGCTAGCCTAATTAGCCAACTAGCCTCGTCTCCCTCCTCGACCTCTTCTGTCTGTCTCCCCTTCTACCCCTTGTCGTCGATTCCTTGTGTTCCCAGCTTCCAGCTCTCAGCTCCTCATCCCCCCATCCCACCCATCATCCCCCCCGTCCCTTGCTCCGTTCGCCATTTGGCACTGGCTGGAATTCCACCACTCCATTCTCTCGCTTCCGCCTCTCTTTTCTTGTACCAGTTCCCCGCCCTCTCTCCTCCTTTCCTTTCCCTTCACCTTTCCTCCCCTCCCTCCTCCCACCGCCGACCTCGACAATCGTTTTCTGAGAGTAGTTTCGGGTTTCCACGCCGCCAATTCTTCAACTCGTGCGGCTGCCCGATCCTTTTTTCTCTGACCCGCCTCGCCGCCTCAATCCAAGTTTGGTCCATGTCTGCGTAACTATTCGCAGACTTGCAATTAGCCACGCCTCACCCGATGCCCGTCGCCGCCTAATTCACCACCCCGACGACTAGCCACGCTTGCGTGCCTTTACGCTCATTACCCAACTCTGTTTTTTTGCGGCTTGTTTTGCGATTTGGGGATCTTTCCCCTCGACGATTTGTTTCGTTCCGTCACTCTTTTGATCTGATCTGCACATATCGCTTTGCTCGATTATATGTGAGTCGCCCCTTCAATTCCGACAGCTGCACGCCTCCCTGAGCTCGACTGGTACGACTATTGCAACGAACACAGCAACTGGCAACCTACGCAATCCGACGGCAATCATTCAAAGTCTCTTTTGCAGCCACCCAGTCAGCATACTCTCGATAGAATCGTCCACTCAGGGCGGCGCGGCGCGGCGCAACGCAACGCAACAACGCCATGCTAACTTGACCAGACTTGCGCTCTCTGACAATTGTCACATACATTCGCTAATAGAATATCCTGACCGTACGCTTCTCTGTTCACGGTCTCGCCCGTCCTTTACTAAAAATTCAAGATATCCTTTACCCTCTTTGTGTGCGACTATTCCGCCCAGACGACTCCAAAGCAGCTTCAAGATGCCCTCCAAGATTGCCCTCGTTTTCGCCGCCACTCTAGCCCTGGCTACCTCCGCTGTTGCCGAAGCCGATCGCCCGCGCATCTTCTACCCGCAACGGGCCAGGAAGGATGATACTGAAATCGATAACGATGCCGACGCCTACGACAATGAAGAGGTGAAGCGCGACTTTTTCACGTCTATCATGGACAACCTCGGTCTCGACAATGATAAAAACAATGACTTCTCCGACATCAGCAACCTCTTCGAGCCTGGCAAGAAGACCCAGGAAACTCCCACCACAACCGTCATTGTTGACCAAACCGTCGTTGTCCCCCCCGGTGGCACTGGCAACCCGAACCCGAACCCGGAACCTCAGCCAACAACCTCATCCACCCGTCGCGCTCGCCCTCGGCCCTCGACCACCCGCTCCGGTATCCTTGTCGGTCCTACTGGCGTTATTTTTCCTTCGTCTTCCTCGTCCTCTTCGTCCTCGTCCTCGTCCTCGTCGAGCTCTGGGAACAGCGCCACCCGTAGCGAGCCTCAGTCTTCCAGCACCCCCCAGGTTACAGCTCCGGGGTCTTCCCAGCCGCCGCAGGGCACAGCTCCAGGGTCTTCCAAGACAACCGATGTTATCACCACTCCCGAGTCTCAGACGACTGCGTCGGAAACTGCCAAACCGACCTCGCAACAGCCGACCACTACCACCACCTCGGGTGGCCTTTTGGACCCGATTACCTCCATTATTAGTGATATCATCCCCCCCGCTTCGTCTACCAACAGCACTACGATTCAGACCGATACTCCCCCTTCAAGCCCCTCTCCCACGAGCTCCGACTCGGCTGTAACCACTTTAAAGCCTGTTGATTCTTCGACTCTTGTCACTTCCGGAGCTACAGCCCCCACCACGGCCCCCACAACGACTGCTGTGCCCGAGTCTTCAACAGAGGTTGCCAATAGCACGGCGCCCGGGACTAGCATCCAGACAACCGAGACGCCCACCGGCACTGGCCTCCTCCCTATCTTGACCTCGGTCGTTAGCTCGATCCTGCCTGGCTCCACGGAGACCGCCAATTCTACCTCCACCGATGGTCCCCAGACTCCTACAAGCCCGGTCCCCGTCACTTCTACGACCCCAACCACTACCATCGCGACCCCGACGTCTGGCAGCTCTACTGGCACCGGCATTATTGACACGAGCATCTTGCCCACATTGACACCAACTGTCATTCCTGGCAATAACGCCACCACCACTGGTCCTACGTCGACTTCCACGCTGACTCCCACCACGTCCGTCAACGGCACCGAGACTGCGACCACAGGCACGACTCAGACTTCTAACACAATGCCGACCTCAACTGGTGGTAGCGTCATCACGCCACCCTCCGGCAACTCGACGGCGCCTGCTACCACTACTTCGCTTGAGCCTACTAGCACTCCTGTCGAGACAACCGCTGTCGAGACTACCGCGACGACCCCAACCACAACCCCGACTCCGACTCAAACTGGCGTCACGAGCATTGCCCCCACTGCCACTGGCTCTGGTACCAGCGACTGGCTGCCCACTACCATGATCGTTGAGCCCACCAGCTTCAGCTTCACCGCGCCGACCACGACTCAAACTGCCACCACCACCACGGCTCTGCCTACCAACATTCCTCAGGTTATCATTTCGTCCCAGGGCGACAAGCCTGCGCCCAAGGACACTGTTCAGATCCAGATTGGCTTCAAGTACCCGCTCAATTACGACTTTGTCTCGGGCAACTCTGCGGCTGCTGCTCAAATCTTCCGTCTGCTTCCCATAGCTCTTGCTGATGCAAACAACCTTGCCTTGGACAGGGTCCAGATTACCAAACTTGTCCCCTTTGACACCCGTGAGACTGCCGGCTTCATTACAACGCTCGCCAAGCTCCACTATCCCCAGACGCTGGTCTCCTCGCTGAACTCAAGCATCTGGCTTCCCAACTCGAGGCTGTACAACAACCCTTCGGAGCTGGTCAACAACCTGACGGCGCTCATCAACCCTGGCATTAAGATTCTTGACGACAACGACGATGAGGGCGTCGGGAACGGTGGCACTGGACCCAACAACAGCAATGACGCCTTTGGCAATGATGATCAGCCCAACCAGTCCAGCAAGCAGCGTGCCACTACGGCAGGTATCGTTATGGGTGCCGTCGGTCTTGGTGCCATGTACGGCGCGGCTATGTTCATCGTCGCCCGCCGGTACAAGCGCAAGCGTCAGAACCACCGCCGCTCCAGCTCAATCTCTTCTGTCGGTCGCTCTGAGGAGATGCGGTACGCTGGCAACGGCAGCCCTGCTATGATGGGTGGTGCTCTTCTCAGCCCAAACAACCGTGGCACGTACGGCGGCCAGAGCCAGAACAGCATGAACTCTGCCCGCACCGCCAATATTTCGGCGCCCGTTGCAACCGAGAACTCCCTCGGCTGGAACTAAGACGTTGACGAGTTGACGTGTACAAAACCCACCGGGCGCTGAGGAACACCCCTGTACAAAGAGCACCGTTCCCTGGCGCATGCTCACCTACACGACGTTCATTTTATTTTTCAACCCTTCGATACCCCTGGAGCGAGCCGCTCGTGTCGCCGCGTCGGCTCTCTCCTTGGTGAGGATTTAGATCCGAGCCTCTGTACATGGCTGTTATGTCTGACAAATGCGGAAAGCGATTTTGATACTTCTGACGTCATTCACTCATCAGCGGTTCAAGTTTTTGGATATAGATTCTTTTTCACCCTTCTTCATCTGGTCGCGGGGCACTTGCTGCTTCTGGAGACTGGGAAGGATTATTTTTTTACGACACTCTGCCCAGCCAGTTCATGTCTGGAGGAGCGTGACATGTTGTCGATATTTACCTTTTTCTTTTATTTTAACTAGTGCAAAGTATTTTCGAATGTTGCTTGGGAGAGATAGAGAGAGAAAGAGAGGAGGAAGAGTTGAACCTCGATTCTAAAGCTTATTATTTACACCAATGTATGTCAAATGCAGGTAAAGGCAATAGAATTTCTGAGACTCTATCTACCACGTTGGATGTGTGTGAATTAAAGTGATGGTGAGGAACAAGAGATGGGAATAGCTTAAAGTCTGTCGCAGAACATGAATGTCACCGAATCCAAAAAAAAGGACCAAAAAATAAGAAAAAAGGAAAAGACTGCGAATGCATCTACTCTTGGCCATAAATACTTTGGTCAACGGGAGCGGTCAGGGAAGAGTAGCGTTGAATGATGGCGATCTTTGAGGCAGTAGAAGAAGATGAAAGATCGGCGCGGCTCAAAAAGGGCACGCTAGAAGAAGACATGGCTAACTTAGCAGACAAAATAGGTGGTTTTGGTAGTCAGGGCGAGGAGAGAAAAAGCCGCCGATACTGGCGGAGCTGGTTCTTGGACTGAGGCCAAGTTGGTAATGGTAATGGTAATGTGTGTGTGTGTCTGACCTCTTTGGATGATGAGTAAGATCTCGTCTTACAGCAGACAAGTTGCCGAAACCCCAGTCCATGACGGATGATTGCCCTTCACATTTTGAAATTTGAACGTGTTTGTTCTTTGGAGGAGAAACAGTGTTGCTTTTTTTTTTATAAAGTCAAGTTTTGGGGCGAAAGGAAACAAGGAATGAAAACCCACCGGCTTGGCGTGCGCGAGGCGAGGTTGCAGCGATGCGTGGACGGAGGATATTTCAAAGGCAGAGTGCATTGGTTGCATTAGTACGGCGACCCTGAGGTGATTTGACGTGCTCCGCCGACCGATGTAGGGCCAAGCAAGTGCCGCACTGCCGGCGGCCGGGCCTTGGAGGCTTTCTTATTGAAATTTTGGATGGAACGATTCTCGGTGCTTGCCTGGGCAAAGTTGTGTGAAGGAAGAAGGCAAGCCGCGGGGTTGTTTGCTGTCTGGGACGAAGAGGTCGTGTGATCGCGGGGACTATGGCCTGTTGTAGGGGGAATCAGGAAGAAAATGAATAGAGAATGGGAGGGGCGTCACTCGTATTTGTCACTCTTGAGCCGCTGGTGACCACGGGGAATTAAAGAGTATATAACACTGTCTGGTCTTGTAGGCTTCGCCATGGGCTGACGCGAGTCCCGCTTCTGGATGACGGCGTGGCGATCGGCCACGGATAGAGTCGTATTTGGCGAAGGAGAATGCTTGCCTGGAGTGAGACGATCCGAGGCATATATGTATGTATGTCTGTTGACTACTAACCAAGCAGAAGGAGCGGGTTGCATCGGAAGGATGCGTGGGATTGTTGTGGAGGGCCAATCCGTGGGGATGTAAATTGTGTTGCTATGATCAACCAATTTACTGTCGTGACAAAGGTGTGCCAATTTAGGAACAATTCGAGTTAAACAATATTGTTTACTCTATATAGCCAAACGGCTTCAACTCTATCTACGATAAACGTAAACTCTCCAATCCCGCGCTGCCGACACAGCAAACTGTGCGGATGTGCGGAGTTGAGAGGCATTTCCGTAGGGGTTGGACTGTTAAGCTGGGTGGAATAAGGCGAGAACTGCTGGCCTTGTCGCCAGGGATTGTCGGGTTACATAAGTTGCCTGTGATTGGCTGGTTGGGTTGGCTCCTTCCTTCTGTTTGAGCCTCCTTCTGACTGTCAGCATCGCCCCAACCACACAGCACAGGCACAGAACTATCCCTCTCTCACAGCTCACTCAGAACAGCCTGTTGATTGTCTCGAGCTATGCATCGGCACAGGCAAGGCAAGCCTAATCCTAAATCATAACCCGGATTTCTGGCCCGCGGACCCCACACAACCAACCATGAAGCCCCGAACGGGAAAGCGTTACGCTGGCGTTTTCTAGTCTACGGGCGTAACTACAATCATGCCTAGACGACCTTTATTAGTAGTTTTTCCCCCCTCGGACGCGGGAAAGTCGGCCAGACTAAGATCTCACCTATTTGTCCAACATTGCCCGCCACATGCCCAGGCCATATGCCGGTGTGAGTTGGGACGACCTGCCTGAAGGACCAGAGACCACAGAGGGATCAAAAGAAGGGCAAGACAGCCAAGGCCATTCATTGGCCAGCCCGCCTCTACGGAATTGAACGGCAAGGCGTTGATCAAAGTTCCCATTTGCGATTCCGGCGCAGCCCTGCGTGATAGTCGACCCAGGCCAGGCTTACCTATTGTCCCTAGCCTTTCAAATAGTCGACGTTCTGCTCCTCGTCTCTCGTCAGACTGCTTTGATGCTCACTCACCAGGACGACAGACACACAGCACACAATCTTTTCTCTCTTTCTTAATATTTCGAATCTAGATGAGCATTTAAGGTTATAAGTTTCTTTGCATTGAAGCAGGCAGTGCTCGAATAGCAGCCGCGACCTTTTTTCGCATACTCTCACACACCTACACCTATATACACATACCCGTACACATACATACCACCCACCACCCACCACACACAATATGCCTGCCTCGGATCACGGCAGCGAGACCGAATGTCTCCCCTACACGGCCCCCGACGGCACCATCCCCGGCAAGACGACGCTGGGCCGTGCCGAGGAGCTTGACGACCTGCTCTCGGCGGTGCGGGATCTGATTGTGCCGTACGTCAAGGCGGCTGACGACAATGCGGCCAAGAAGCACACGGGCCGGCTGCCCCGCGATGCCGCCGACCGGCCGTACAACGTGCTGGTCGAGCCGCTGCCGCCGCGGGAACTTGTCGAGCGCATGAACTTTTCGCTGCCAGTTGGCGAGGGCTCTGGCCGAGATGGCCTGCTGGACACGATCCAGGACCTGCTCAAGTATAGCGTCAACACGTGGGACCAGGGCTGGATGGACAAGTTGACGGCCAGCACGAACCCGGTCGGCGTCGTTTCCGAGATGGTGCTCGGCGTGCTCAACACCAACGTCCATGTGTACCACGTCTCACCTGCCTTGACGGTGGTCGAGAAGGCGACGGGTCGCGCGCTGGCGGGATACTTTGGATTTGATGGCCCGCACGCGGGCGGCGTGACGTGCCAGGGCGGCAGTGCCTCGAACCTGACGTCGCTCGTCATTGCGCGTAACGCTCTGTACCCGGACACGCGCGATAACGGTAGCGAGGGCTACAAGTTTGTCATCTTCACGAGTGAGGCAAGCCACTACTCGATCGAGAAGGCGGCCGTAGCGTGCGGCATGGGTGCGGCGAGCTGCATCGGCGTCCCGACAGACGCGCGTGGCCGGATGCGCGTCGACGCGCTGGAGCAGCTGGTGGTGGACGCCAAGGCCCGTGGGTGCACGCCACTGTATGTCAACGCGACGGCGGGCACGACCGTCATGGGCGCGTACGACCCGATCCGCGACATCAAGGCCGTCTGCGACAGACACGGCCTCTGGCTGCACGTCGACGGCGCCTGGGGCGGCTCCGTCGCCTTCTCCCGCTCGCACCGACACAAGCTTGACGGCTCGGCGCTCGCCGACTCGCTGACAATTAACCCGCAAAAGATGCTCAATGTGCCGATGACATGCTCCTTCCTGCTGACCAACGACCTGCGGCGCTTCCACGCGGCCAACTCGCTGCGCGCGGGCTATCTCTTCCACGACCCCGAGGGCGAGGAGGTCTGGGATCTCGCGGACCTCACCATGCAGTGCGGCCGCCGCGCAGACAGCCTGAAGCTGGCGCTCGCGTGGATCTACTACGGCGCGGCGGGCTTCGAGCGCGGCGTGGACCACGCGTTTGCCATGGCGGCTCACCTGGCGGACCTGGTGGACAAGTCGCCGGACTTTTTGCTCGTCTCGGAGCGGCCGACGCCGTGCCTGCAGATCTGCTTCTACTACGCGCCGGGCGGGCGGCTGGCGGAGGACCCGGCGGAGAACACGCGCCGCACGCGGGCGATGGCGGAGCGGATGGTGGCGAGGGGCTTCATGTTTGACTACGCGCCCGGACCGAAGGGGCATTTCTTCCGTGTGGTGGCCAACTGCCAGACGCAGGTCGGCACGATGGATGGCATCTTCCGCGGGCTGTCCGAGGTGGGCAAGGAGGCTGTCTCGGAGTAGGCGACGAAAGGTGAAGGAAAAGGCGAGGAAGGGAGGGAGCCGTTTTTAAAGACATGATTGGCATTTAGAGTTTGACAAGGACCTTGTGCGTCTAGCAGAAGATTTTGCATTTATTGTTTCCAATGCGGATTTTTCTTCATTTGGTTTTTGTGCATTTTCTTATATAGAATCAATTGAGGCTGTATATATTGCAGATGTGGATTGACATTTTCTGACACATGGCTACAGCGAGATAAATGTCTTGGTCAAGATGAGGAGGGTCAAGGTGAAGCCATCACTAGTCAACACCAGCTGTCTGACACTAGGTACAGGAGATTGGGGTTTTGGGGCTAAAGAGTGGATAGTCACCGTTGATATTTATTCCGTCATTCGCATCTGCATTTATGGTGTTGATAAATTTTTTTTTGGTTTTGAATTAACTTTTATAATTCTTGTTATCAGTCAGCACCCACGAAGCCAAGACGTTAGGCTGATTCCTAGGCAATGCACAGTAAAACTAACCTGCCATACCTGTTCACTTATTACTAACAGTTGCAAGACACAACAACGTCCCCAAGGCTGGCCGGGGCATCCCGTCAGCGTGGCGATGCGTAGACCTTCTTTCAGACGAACCCGAGCAGAGCGAAATCAACAAAACACCGTCCACCCTCAGCCAACTGGCAAAACTGTCTGCCTGTGGTCGGGCGGACGATCCTGGGCAGCTTTGGGTAACGCCCGAGCACCAAGAAGCCAAAGGGGGCATGAATCCGTAATGATTGGCTGTTCGAACGGTCTTGGTCCACTCCGTATTCATCGCTTCTCCCACCATTGCGTATTCCAGATCTCAGCCCGACCCGGTTAAAAACGTCACCAGAGTTTTGGCTTGGTAGCGCTTCCCTCGTTTTTCACCCAATACGGCTAGTACGACGGCCAGTCAGGGCGTTTAGCACTGTGGCACTGGGGGGTTTCATTGTGACGATGATGGGGGATCAGCACGCAGCTCAGCCTCGTGGGCAGCTTGGAAGCTTTATATTGACGTCGCCGGCTTGGCTTGGCCCTTTTTTCCTTAAAATGGTCCCGGGACCCCGAGTATCATCATCGTGGTGGCCATGCAGGGTACCATCTCGACCAACTTCCTCCCGTGTTGGTGATTGATTGATCGGCACACCTCCCTCTCGACTTTTGCCTGCTAACCATCACGAGTCCACGTCACAATCCAATTCCCTTCATTTTGTCCTTGTCATAGGAAAACCGCCCTGCCGGGCCTTCTCACCGTCCACCATGGACCTCTACCGCCAAATCTCCGCCCTGCGCAACAAGACGCTCAAGATCATCCTCCAGCGGCACCCGACCTCGACCCTCTACTCGGCGCTCGTCCTGCCCGTCATCGCCTCGCTGTACCTCGGCCTCGGCCAAAAGTTCAACCACGCCGACGACAAGTACGGTGTCGGCAGCCCGGGCAGCATCGACGCCCTCGGCGACGCCCTCGGCAAGGCCACCGGCGGCCGCGACACCGTCATCCTCGTCAACTCGGGCCTCTCCGGCGGCGCCATCGACACCGTCATCGGCACTGTCGCTGATGCTGTCACTTCCGCGGGGCGCAACGCCACCCGGCTCGCCAGCGAGTCGGACATTGGCTACGTCTGCGCGGGCTCCATCCGCGCGACATCGCCGTGCTTCGGCGCCGTCGTCTTCCACTCCTCCCCCGACGAAGGGTCCGGCGGAGGAGGAGGGGGGTACTGGAACTACACGCTGCGCGCGGACGGCGCCCTCGGCATCTCCTTCCGCGTCGACAAGAGCGACAACGCCGCCGAGGTTTACGCCCTGCCCCTGCAGCGCGCCGTCGACGCCGCCATCGCCAAGCACGACGCCGTCTCCTCCTTCCCCGTCGCCGGCGCCGCCCACCAGTACCCCTTCTCCGCGCTCACCGAGGACGAGCGCGAGGCCAAGGTGCGGCGCGACTACCAGCAGACCTTCATCAGCTTCCTCAGCGTCGCCTTCCTGATGGCGCTCATCGGCGTCTGCTACCACATGCCGGGCCTCATCGCCGCCGAGCGCGAGACGGGCATGTCGCAGCTCATCGACGCCATGATGCCCGCCGCCGCGCCCTGGCACCGCCAGCTCGCCCGCCTCCTCTCCCACCACTCCGCCTTCACCCTCACCTACCTGCCCGGCTGGGTCGTCGCCGGCGTCGTCAACCGCATCCTGATCTGGACCAACGTCAGCTACGGCGTCGTCGTGCCCTTCTTCGTGATCGCCGGCGTCGCCATGACCTCCATGTCGCTGCTCGGCGCCTGCTTCTTCAGCAAGGCCCAGCTCTCCGGCATCGTCACCGCGCTCGTCTGGCTCGTCCTCGGCATCGTCGCCCAGGCCGTCCCCCACCCGGGCACCGCCACCGTCGCCATCCTCGGACTACTCTTCACCCCGTGCACCTTTGTCTACTTCATCACCTACATCGCGCGCTACGAGCAGGAGGCCCTGCCGACCGACCTGCTGCGCGCCCACCCAAACAGCCCCTGGAAGCTGCCCGGCATCGTGCTCTGGGTCTTCTTCGCCCTCCAGATCCTCGCATACCCGCTGCTCGCCGCGTTCCTCGAGCGCGCGCTGCACGGCGTCACCACCGGCACCCGCCAGAACGCGCCGCCACCCGCCAGCAGCGGCGGGCTGCCCGATGCCGTGCAGATCCGGAACATGACCAAGATCTACAAGCCGACACTCCTGCGCCGCCTGTTTGCCTTCGCGTCGCCGCCGCGGCCCGAGGTGGTCGCCGTCGACTCGCTGACGCTCACGGCCAAGAAGGGCCAGATCCTGGCGCTGCTTGGCGCTAACGGTAGCGGCAAGAGCACGACGCTCGACGCCATCGCGGGCACCAGCAACTTCTCCAGCGGCGACATTGCCATCGACACAACCGGCGGGCTGGGCGTCGCGCCGCAGAAGAACGTCCTCTGGGACGACCTCACCGTCGAGGAGCACCTCGGCATCTTCGCGCGCCTCAAGACGCCCTCGAACCCGGCCACCCCGGCGCAGGTCACCGACCTGATCCGCGCCGTCGGCCTTGCCAAGAAGACCAAGGCCATGGCGAAGACGCTGTCCGGCGGACAGAAGCGCAAGCTGCAGCTCGGCATGATGCTGATTGGCGACAGCGCCGTGTGCTGCGTCGACGAGGTCTCGTCGGGCATCGACCCGCTCTCGCGCCGAAAGATTTGGGACATTTTGCTGCGCGAGCGTGGTAGCCGTACCATTATCATGACGACGCACTTCCTCGACGAGGCGGACCTGCTGGCGGACAACATTGCCATCCTGTCCCGGGGTCGGCTTCGCGCCGAAGGTTCCGCAGCGCAGCTCAAGGATACCTTCGGCTCCGGCTACCGCGTGCGCGTGCTCAACGCGCGACACATGCTGGGCCGCGCGCCCGAAGTCGATGGCGTCGAGCGTCTCGTCTCATCCAACACCATCACCTACGTCGCGGCCTCGGCCGCGCTCGCCGCCTCCGTCATCCGTACGCTCGAGGCCAGCGGCGTGCCGTACAAATTCTCTGGGCCGACCATAGAAGACGTCTTCCTCAACCTGGCTGACGAGGCCCGCGACCACGGCATGAAAGACCAAGTTGCCTCGACGGGTGCCGCTTCGGAGGCCAAGCTCAGTTCGAGCGAGAGCAACGGCGCCGGCGACGGGGAGAAGCTGACCGCGGGTTCAGGCCAGCCGCTCCCGCTTCTGCACGGTCGCCAGCTGGGCCTCCTTCCGCAGGTCGCAGTCCTCCTGCGGAAGCGTTTCGTCATTTTCAAGACCAACTGGGTGCCGTACGTCGCCGCGTTCCTGATCCCGATCGTCGCGGCGGCCATTATCCAGCTGCTCGTCAGGAACATTGCGGCCCCGGGCTGCTCGCCGCGGGAACGCAGCAGTGACACCAAGAACACCGACTTTACGGACCTTCTCGGTTCGCCCTTTATCGTGGGGGGTCCATCCGCCACGTTTAGTGCTTCCTCCATTGCAGACGTCTTTAAGCCCATCATCCCGAACCTTGCCGAAAGCGTTGCCAACCACATCAAAGTGGTCGACTCGTTTGACGCCTTTAAATCATACATCGAGAACAACAGGAAGAATGTCACCCCCGTAGGTCTTTGGCTTGGCCAGACCGGGTCTTCCCCTACGTTGGCCTACAAAATTGATAATGGAGTATCCATGTTCACCTCGACGCTTGGCCAAAGCCTTCTGGATAGCTTGCTCATGAACAAGACTATTGCGACCCAATACAAGCCCTTCGACATTGCTGCGGCGCCTTCTACGGGCAGCGGGCTGCAGGTCATTGTGTACTTTGCACTCGCATGCTCTGTCATCCCGGGCCTGTTTGGCCTCTACCCGAATTCTGAGAAACGCAACGGAGTGCGTGCGCTGCAATATTCGAGCGGTGCTCGCGCATTTCCCGTCTGGGCAGCCCACGCGCTCTTTGACTGGTCCATCATGATCGTTTCCATGCTTATTGCAGCGGGTGTTCTGGCGGGCACGTCGAGTATCTGGTACCATGTCGGCTTCTTGTTCCCCATCTTCCTATTTTACGTGTTGGCGGCCATCTTGATAACGTACTTTGTGTCTCTCATCATGAAGAGCGCACTGGCCACGTATGCGATCGCTTCGGTGATCCAAGGGCTGGGGTTTGCAATCTACCTAATTGCTTACTTCTTCATCTTGCTGTATTCGGACCCAGCCGAGACTGAAAAGAGTGTCTTGATTGGGCATTGGGTTATTGCCATCTTCTTCCCGACGGGTTCTCTGGTGCGCGCACTCATGGTGGCCCTCAATGTCTTTTCTACGACTTGTGACGGCTTTGCTCTGCAGAGTAACCCTGCTGCAATGAAGGCGTACGGCGGCCCGCTCGTGTATCTCATCGTGCAGTGCATCTTCTGGTTCAGCATGGTGGTGTACTTTGAGAGCTCGGATGGAAAATACAAGACTGGAAAGCCGCAGTACAGCGAGGATACGGAGGACCCGGAGGTGGCCGCAGAAGAGGTTCGCGTGGAGGGGCCCGGCGAAGAAACGGATGGCCTGCGAGTGGTACACCTGACCAAGGCGTTTGGCAAGACGACTGCCGTTGACAATGTAACGTTTGGTGTTGGTCACGGCGAGGTGTTTGCGCTGCTCGGCCCTAATGGCGCAGGGAAGTCGACAACGATATCAATCATTCGCGGCGACATTGCCCCAAGCCGGCTAGGCGGCGACGTCTTTGTGGAGAATGCATCGGTCACGAAGAACCGACCGGCTGCACGCGCAAATCTGGGAGTATGTCCGCAATTCGATGCCATCGACTCCATGACGGTAGTCGAGCACCTGCAACACTACGCACGCATCCGCGGAATTAGCGACGTTGATCAGCAAGTCAGAGCAGTCATCCGTGCAGTTGGCCTGGAAGCATACACCGGCGTCATGGCCCACACACTTTCCGGCGGCAACAAGCGTAAGCTGTCCCTCGCCATTGCGCTGACCGGCAACCCTTCCGTCATCCTCCTCGACGAGCCCTCGTCTGGTCTCGACGCCGCGGCGAAGCGCATCATGTGGCGGACGCTCGAGGCCGTCGTACCCGGACGATCGATTCTGCTCACGACGCACAGCATGGAGGAGGCCGACACGCTGGCGACGCGGGCGGGCATCATGGCGCGGCGCATGCTGGCGCTGGGGGGCACGGAGCAGCTGTGTCAGAAGTTTGGCGACACGCTACACGTGCACATGGTGAGCGAGACGGCGCCGCACTCGAGCGATGAGGAGATGCAGCAGATTCAGGCGTGGGTCATGGAGACATTCCCGGGAGCAAGAGTCGAGCAGGAGACGTTTCACGGACAGATGCGCTTCTCGATTCCGGCGTCGTCGGTTCAGGTCTCGGGTGGCGGTAACGCAAACAGCCGGGGCGGAAGTGGAAGTGGAAGCGGCAGCGCCATCGGACAGCTGCTGCTGATCCTCGAGGAACACAGAGAGAAGCTGGGGGTTGCACACCACAGTGTCAGCCCTACGACACTGAACGAAGTCTTCTTGACGATCGTTGGTAAATATGACGTGCTGGAGGAGGGCGAGGCGACACCGAAGAAGACGCCGTGGTGGAAGAGGTCGATATTTTGAGGAGTTGGCGTGTAAGTGTTTATTGTTGAATGTAGTAATTTGTAGAAGAACCGTTTGATAGAGCCATAGATAATCCTCTTTTTTGTCGTTATGTGAAGTCAGTCCATCCATGCATCCAAGGCCTGCCGCCTGAAGCCAGCAGCGAGCGTTTGCTCATTTTGATGAGCGAGGAGCAATTTTGTGACTGCCACTGTCGTGTCGTAACATGTGTCCAAATCATTAATGGCAACCGATCCTTGCGTGTCTCAATCTCAATTCCCCGCCGGAAAAGTAATTCGAATACCAGCAGAATTACTCGCAAGTCGTGGATCGGATGGTGTAATGGTAATTGTCCAAGGACAATAGTTGGTCCCTCGCTGTTCCTTTCAGTGGGTTCTGGCAGTAACAAACTGCCCCACCCTGCTAACCAACCAACCAACCAGTGGCTGCTGCCTCTGCAGGAAATTTTTCCGCCTCGCCGCCTGGCCCCCACCATGATTTTTCGCATACAGCCGGCGCTTTCGCTTCAGAGCCGATCCCGACCTTTTTTTCCTTCCCAACAGATTGTGCATCGAAAAGATATCAAGGCATTCGTTTGTCTCTGCCATCGCTTTCAATAGCGTCCCTGCTGCTGTTCCAGCCTCCGTCCTCATTCTCCTCATCGAGCATCCAACCGCTACCATCCCCTAGCAATCATGTGTGGCATCAGTGCTATCTTGGTGAGCAGCTTTTTTTTTTCGTCCCTGTCTCTGTGCCCCGCGTGTCCCCCGATACCGGGTCCTGCACCACCTTCACCTCCCCGGATTTTTTTCTTAATTGATGGCTGACATTCAATGTCCTCCCCCAGCTCGGCGACGTCAAGGCCACAACGGCTGCTGTGGAGCTTCACGAGAGCATCTACTACCTCCAGCATGTATGTCATTTTTTTTTCCTTGCCTCAAACGAATTGGTTCAATCTTGGTGCCTTGGACTTCCATACTAACGCATGCTACCCCGGACTAGCGTGGACAGGATGCCGCCGGCATCACGGTGTGCCAGGGCGGACGGCTGTACCAAATGAAGGGCAATGGCCTGGCCTCCAAAGTATTCCAGGAGCCTGCCCGTCTTGCCGATAATCTGCCCGGCTACGGAGGCATCTCCCATGTTCGCTATCCGACCGCTGGAACCTCTTCCGCGTGAGTACATCACTATCTGCTGATGAAGGCCCATATATACTGACTTTCTTTGCTCATACAGTTCGGAGGCACAGCCCTTCTATGGTGAGTTTATGTGCAACAACTTATTACTAATAACCACGGAAGCTGAACTCCCAATTTAGTCAGTATGTATCATCTTCTTAATTGCTTAACTTATATCTGCTCCTAACTGTATCCAATAGACAGCCCCTTCGGCCTGAGCTTGGCTGTTAACGGCAACCTCGTCAATAGTCAGGAGCTTCGCAGCTTCCTTGATCTTGAGGCTCGCCGCCATGTCAACACTGACTCTGATTCGGAGCTTCTGTATGTCCATCGTCTCGACGAACTTTTCCCAACCTGCTAACATATTGACTAGCCTCAACGTGTACGCCCATGCTCTCCACGAGCTAGGAAAAGCTCGTGCCAATGCCGACGACATCTTCGCTGGCCTGCGTGACGTTTATGCCCGTTGTAATGGCGGCTTTGCCTGTGTTGCCATGATCACCGGCTTCGGTATCCTTGGCTTTAGGTATGTGCTCGCGCTCTCTGCCGTTGGCCGAACTTAGCTAACCGATCTCGCAGAGATGAGAACGGTATTCGACCCCTTTGCCTGGGATCCCGCCCCTCGGCGACTCTCGAAGGCGCACTGGACTACTTCATGGCCTCCGAATCCGTCGCCCTTACTCAGCTTGGCTTCACCAATATCGTCGATATTCTGCCTGGACAGGCCGTCTTTATCCAAAAGGGCGGCAAGCCTCAGTTCCGCCAGATTGTCCCCATGAAATCTTATACCCCCGACATGTAAGTATCATTCCCGGTAGCTCCAATACCTTCAATACTAACGACACCCCAGATTTGAGCACGTCTACTTTTCTAGACCTGACTCTACGTCAGACGGAATCTCTGTCCACCGTAGTCGCCAGAATATGGGCCGCAAGCTGGCCGACAAAGTGAGGGAGATTTTGGGAGAGAAGGGGGTCGAAGAGATTGACGTCGGTATGTTTATGTTGAACTCCGTTGAAAAGTAATTTGAGGCACCTACTGATCCACACCAGTTATTCCCATCCCCGAGGTACGCATTTAGTTTTGCTGTTATCGTCCCCTGGACGGCGGAAAATACTAATATCAAGCAGACTAGCAATACCTCGGCTGCCGTTCTCGCCAGTTGCCTGAACAAGCCGTTGTCAAATGCTTTTGTTAAGAATAGATATACGTTCCGAACGTTTATCATGGTACAGTCCACCCCAATCCCCTGCTTACCCTAAAGAACCTACACTGACACATACCGTAGCCTGGCCAAAAAGCCCGCCAACAGGGTATTCGCAGAAAGCTGTCGCCCATCCAGGCCGAATTCCGCGACAAGGTCGTCCTCCTGGTCGACGACTCCATTGTCCGCGGCAACACATCAAGAGAAATTGTAAGCACCGACTTGTCGTTGGTTATCTGCGCTGCGCTGCTGACACGACTGTTCCAGGTCTTGATGAGCAGAGAGGCGGGTGCCAAAAAGGTCATCCTGGCGTCATGCTCGCCTGAAATCACACATCCGCACGTCTACGGCATTGATCTCGCGGATCCCGCCCGTAAGTCAGAAAAGCAGCCTTCTTCTCCTTAGGGCCCAAACACTAACGGAGAGATAACAGAACTCGTCGCCCATGGCAAGACGAGAGAGCAGATTGCTAAGGAAATTGGCGCTGACGAGGTAATTACCTGCCTGTTGCCTATCACTGTCTTTCTAGAACAAAAACTAACCGCCCCCGACAACCCACAGCTGATATACCAGTCCCTGGACGACCTCCAGGCCGCCTGCTTCGAGGCCATCGAGGGCGAGACCAAGGTCACCGGCTTCGAGGTCGGCGTCTTCTCCGGCCACTACCAGACCGAGGTGCCCGAGAGCTACTTCCAGCACCTCAGCGAGCTGCGCGCCAGCAAGGGCCGCAAGCGCAAGTCGCCCGACGAGCAGCCGCAGCCCGACGGCCACCCCGACGACCCCAGGAAGATGACGCTCGTCGCCAACGGAGGGCCCGTTAACGGGCCATCCTCGCCGCCGCCGGCTGCTGCTGCCTCACCGGCGCAGGAGCCCGAGGCCATGACGAGCCAGGAGGACATTAGGTAAGGCCTTCTCCCGGATGAGTTGCCGTCTAGGAAAGGAACCTGATAAAAGCTAACTCGCGCGTCATTAGCCTCCACAACTTTGCTACTAGTCGGTAAAAGAGGATAGAATCTACCGATCCGGCATCCGTAATCTTTTCGCGTTCGGTCCCATCTTTACTGATATTTGTCGTTATGGTCATGATGATTTACATTGAAAAGGGCGGAACAATGAATTTTTGTGAACTTATAGACGGTTTTGAAAAGATGAAGAAAAGAATTTTATCGAAACAGGCCGCTTTCCAAACGATGATCCTCCGCATCTTTACGAGAACACTGATTTTCCAACAGTTTTCAGCCCAAGGTATGCAAAAATGTGAACACCGAGCTCGCGCAACTATTAGCGCCTGCTTCCTCGCTTTCTGTGCATCCTCTCTTGCATTAAAAGCTGGCCATTCGCATGGCTACAGCGGCGAAACCGATTACACGCAACGCATTCAACGACCGCCAATTTGACCTGCAGGAAGAGGTTTGACCCAGGACGCGAGCAGGTTGATGGCAACGGTAATGACGCCAATGACCCAGAAAGTCTTGCCGTAGTCGGCGCCCTGGTAGCGGAAGATGATGGCAAAGATGATGCCGCCGAGGTTCCCGGCTGCGCCGGCCATGCCGGAGATGATGCCGTTGGCGGCAGGATGGACGTGCGGCACGAGGGAGAAGCAGGCGCCGTTGCCAGCCTCGAGGAAGAAGGCCATGCCGGCCATGAGGCCGAACATCGTGGACTTGGAGTGAGAGTCGGTCACGCCGATGGCAATCTGGAAGACGCCGCAGACGACGCCGAGGGAGCAGAGCCAGATCTTCTTGGACCAGACGTTGCCGCTGGCGCGGTAGAGCGCGTCAGAGACAACACCGCCGAGGGGGCGGAAGACGACGTTGAGAAGACCGAACATGGCGGCCCAACGACCGGTGCCGGTCTGGCCGAGAGCCTTGAAGTTCTTGAAGTAATACGCGCCGAGGACGGAGTTGATGGCAAGCTCGGCACCAAAGGAGCACATGTAGATGGCAGCAACCACGACAGTCTGCGGGCTGATGGTCACCATGAGAGTGTCCTTGAGAGTCGGGTTCTTGACGACTTCGCCATTGGCAGCGTCGAGGAGTTCCTGGTCGCTGAGCTCGGCCTCTCGGCAGACGGCCTCATTCTTCATCTGCTCGGCCAAGGCATCGTCGGACGTGGGCTCGGAAAATGCAGCCAAGTCGCCGGTGCTTTTCTCCCGGGCGCTCGAGGCGGCTGTGCGAAGGCCACGGCGGCGCAGGTTGCCCTTGACGGCGTCGTGGCGCTCCGACCACTTGCCGGTCGCGCAGTCGTCGCAGAGCAGCATCATGCCGAGCGCAATAGACGTGATGAGGATGAACGGTACAACAAAGGCGACGCGCCAGGCGACATGGGGCGTGAGATGCTGGTGCTCCACGAGGGAGTCAAAAATGGTGGGCATGATGAAGTAGGTGATGCCGCCGCCGGCGTTGCCCCATCCGGCGGTGAGGGCGTTGGCGGTGCCGACAACGTTCTTGTCAAAGAAGCTGGTCGTCCACACCTGGCAGGGCACAAAGGTGCCGCCAAGAACGCCGATGAAGAAGCGCAGGGTCATAAGGCCATTGGCGGTGGTGACTGTGCCGGCGAGGGCGGAGGGGATGGCACCGAGGAGGAGGCAGGCAGCGAAGGTGACTTTTGGGCCAAAGTAGTCACACGAAGGACCGGATACAACGCGAACGAATAGACTGCAAACCTGTTAACTAATTTTTTCAAGATTGCGTTTTTGTTCTTCATTCCGCCTGGAGTCGGAGAGCCTGGAGGTGCGTACGTGGATGCAAGAGCAACAATATTGGAGTTGGCAATCTCAGTCGGAGTGAGATTGAGATCCTTCTTGATGGTCAAGGTCAACTATTCGGCGTCAGTATAATTGAACCAGGATGTTTTGGAATCTCGAGTATTGCAAGATTGGGCGGTCGTACCAGAGGTGGAAAGGCGTACCTATATACTGTCAGTTTTGTCACACAAATCGTGTCGTAGCACTTCTGTTTCCTGCAAAAAGGTGCTTCACAAAGACAACTTACCAGGATAGGAACGCAACCATAAAACCGAGCCAAGAGAAGAAAAAGACACGGCCATGTCTGTCGAGCGGGTTAAGGACTGGGATCGAACGGGCCTTTCCATTGACAGGATTGAGCTCAGGAGCCTGCCAGAAGGTAGCCACCTTGAACGCCATGTCGAGAGGTGGATTTGGGGGATTTGCCTGCGTTTATGCCTGGTGTAAAGGAAAGGAAAAGAGCGAATAGCCGAAGCAGCCCGTGTTTTTGATTTTTGCAAGCGTAAAAGGGGACAGACAAGAAAAACGAGAAGCCCAGACCGGCCAGGACGTCAAGGAGAATCGGAAAACAACTTGATCGAGTTTCATTGATATAAATGCTCTTTGCCGGCGTCGATATATATAAAGACGTCCTCAAACAGCGTCTGAAGCGACTATTAATGTTGGTCGTTGGACAAAAAGTCGCATCTCCGCGGAGAGCCATGTCTTGGGGACCAGCCGGAGACACCTAGAACGCCAGCGATCAGGATCGGGAAGGGGCAGCCCGAGAGAGCAGAGACAAATGCAGCCTGGCTGTAAAGCCGGATTGGCCTCCACCACGATGGTAACTCTTGTTCGAATCACGGCATGGGTAAAGGAAATAGTCTGAAGTGCCGTGTGTGAGGTGTGTAGACGGAGAAGAATTGCAACCGGGGGGGGGGGGGGGGAGTATGGCAGCCGATCAGGCCGGTTGGTGGCTTTTATGTGTGGACATTCAACATAACCAGGGATCTTTATAAACTAGACTCATCCGGTTGACGAGGCTCGCTCCAGCATGTACAACGAATACCCTAAAATGGCCTTGATGCGCCGTTTTCTTTCGGCGTTCCATCAGTCGTCGGGCTATGTACATGTACTTGCTTGCATTATGTAATGTGCCTCGGCCACGTCTCTCTTCGTTTGCCAGCTGTCAGTCAGCCTCGACTCTTCAACTACAGCGAAAATGACAAACAGCGAGTTCAACATTGCCGACATGATGCTCATCGTTACCAGCAAACCAATGGGGCAAGGCGATTCACAGCACGGTTTACTTTACATTCCAGCAAATAAATCAGGCTAAGCAGAGATGGCACACACCCCGTCTCTACTGGTGGAACCTGCCAAGGCGGGAAGTCGATCTAAACCTTCAACTCAGTCAGTCTTGTTTCGACGACGATTGGCACTGTCATTACAAGAGGCTTCATGCTATGCCTCCCAATCTTTTATTCGTTAACTGAACCATCAAATATCAAGCACAGGCAAGCCGCCCCATTTCACCTCCTTCTATTGATTTGTACGGCGGCCCTTTGCGCCGTCTACCCCTGCCACAGAGCTAATGCAGGTCTCACCAGTGCACAGTCCAGTCTGCAGACAGGTTTGCAGGCTGCCTGACGACGCCAACTCTATCCAGCCTGGAAGCTCAACCCGGAAGCTCTCAACTATTTAGCCCGATGATGGTCTACACGACGCACTAGTTCTCTATTTATCCGAGCCCTCCGGTATGCCTCGCGAGCCCGTCCAGCCCAAACATCGCGACATGTTCTGTGGGCCATGTTACGGTCGTAGTATTGGTATAACCTCTCGGCCGTCCGCGGTTCCCTTGCTGTTCTTGGACATCTAGCGTTGCTTCGACTTCCCTCTTATCACTACCGATGAGCCTGGTTCGGCTTAGTAACTCGTCTATCCTGCTGGCATTCAACTTTCGTCTAGACCCTCTTACGCAACACGCTACTGGATGGCACCCATCAGGTCCTGCATGGAGCCTTTTTTTTGTAAGGTCAGGGGTGAGGCAAAGCAAAGAAAATTTTTCAAATCATCCTTGTCTAAAATTGAACGTCAACTGTATTGTACGAAGGCTGCTAGTTGATGTATAGCATGTACAAGCACTTGCATATAGCTGTTAAACCAGGTTCTTTGTTCTACGCCCGAAGGTCTTATCAACAGTACTGTTAGTGCGTCAATAGCATTAGCGGTACTGGCAATACTGGCGATGGCAATAATGGCAATAGGTCCGTAGTAATAGCGATAAAAGTAGTAATAGTGGTGTGGTAGTGATAAATACTGATAGTGGTTGTACTGGTGATGATAAGGCCAACACAACACACAGCTGTGCAACGGGGAGAATTGAGATGACGACAAAAAATACAAACAAATCAAGAATTTACAACAGGAGTTACAACGACGATAATAATTTAGTACGGTAATAGGAGGAAAATAAATCCATGAACTAAATTTTGTTGTGCACTCTGGCTAGGTTCCCTTCGGCCTACTTGCCATGTCTCTATACTCACTGCACTTCACTTATTAGTGTTAGAGCCCACACCCTCGCAGTACGAAGTGACCTGCTGTTGCACTTGTGGAGAGTTTCTATTTGCACCCCTCTCTTCTTGTATGCACACTCAGGATGAGGAATTAAGTTGGCGGCCAAGTTGGCCGACAGACATGGTGGGAGCCACGTCGATGACCCAATTAGTGCAAGAGTTGACTTTTCAAAAAGTGACAAGGGAGAGAGAAGAGAAAAGCCTCGACCCAAGTTGTAATTGCACCCTAGGACACTCCCAGCGAGGGTTATCGCTTCGTATACAGCATCTCGCATTTCTCCCGCTTTCCCGCAGCCTCTCCCGTGCCAAATCCTATATCCGGAATACCTGAGTACAGTACACCGACATCATGGCCGTAGAGACGCTCCCGATGCGGTCCTTTCCCGATGGCGCCGCTCCCCCGAGCCCGCCCTCCACGGCGAAGCACTCGCAGTCGCCGAGTCTCGCCGGCGAGCGGCAGGACGCGTCGTCCCTGCCGCCGCTCCATTCCCAGAAGAGCGCCCTTCTCAAGAGCTACCCCCTTCCGCCGCGCAACGGCGTCAAGTCGGTGCAGCCACAGGACCTCAAGACACCGGACGCCCACGTGGAGCGCGACCCGCGGCTGATCCGGCTGACCGGCGTGCACCCGCTCAACTGCGAGGCGCCGCTGTCCGACCTCTACGACGAGGGCTTCCTGACCTCGGAGGACCTGCACTTTGTGCGCAACCACGGGTCCGTCCCCGCCTGCGAGGACGAAGAAGTGCTGGACTGGACCTTTTCCGTGGAGGGCATGGTGCGCCGGCCGTTCTCGCTGTCGGTGCGGGAGCTGGTGGAGGGCTACGAGCAGGCGACGTACCCGGTGACGCTGGTGTGCGCGGGCAACCGCCGCAAGGAGCAGAACGTGGTGCGCAAGTCCAAGGGCTTCTCGTGGGGCGCGGCCGGCCTGTCGACGGCGCTGTGGACGGGCGTTCCCGTCGGGGAGCTGCTGGCGGCGGCCGGGGGCGCGGTGCGCGGCGCGCGCTACGTGTGCTTCGAGGGCGCGGACGAGCTGCCCAACGGCCACTACGGGACGTCGGTGAAGCTGAACTGGTGTCTTAATGAGGATAGGGGGATTATGGTGGCGCATAGGATGAACGGGCGAGCGCTGCACCCGGACCACGGGAAGCCGGTGCGGGTGGTCATCCCGGGCCAGATCGGCGGCCGGAGCGTCAAGTGGTTGAAAAGAATCATCGTCACTAGAGAGCCGAGCGACAACTGGTATCACATTTACGACAATCGTGTCTTGCCGACGATGATCACACCTGAGCAAAGTGCCAATCTACCTGATGTGTGGAAGGATGAGAAGTACGCCATCTACGACCTTAACACTAACAGCGCCGTCTGCTACCCGCAGCACGACGAGATGGTCCCGCTGGATGGTAGTAATAAGACGTATAAGGTGCGTGGCTATGCTTATAGCGGAGGCGGCAAGCGCGTCACGCGTCTTGAGGTGACCCTGGATAAGGGTAGGAGCTGGAGACTTGCCTTGATCAACTACCCCGAAGACGAGTACCGCAACGCGGCGGACGGCGACGAGCTGTACGGCGGCAAGATGGACGTGTGGTGGCGGGAGACGTGCTTCTGCTGGTGCTTCTGGGAGCTGGACATCCCTGTCGGCGAGCTGGCCGGCGCGTCGGACCTGATGATCCGCGCCATGGACGAGGGCCTGATGGCGCAGCCGCGCGACATGTACTGGTCCGTCCTGGGAATGATGAACAACCCGTGGTACCGCCTCGTGATCCACAAGGAAGACCGGTTTCTGAGGTTTGAGCACCCGACACAGCCGGCGCTGATGTTGGGCGGCTGGATGGAGCGCGTCAAGAAGGCGGGCGGGAACATTGCGAACGGCTTCTGGGGCGAGAAGACTGGGAAGGAAGAAGAGGAGGAAGTCGAGGTAAAGCAAGAGGAAAGGCAGATTTCGATGATTAGTCCAGAGACCAAGCGCACGATTACGCTGGCTGAGCTGGAGCAGCACGGTGGTGAGGAGGAGCCCTGGTTTGTGGTCGAGGGCCAGGTGTACGACGGGACCGAGTACCTGGACGATCATCCCGGCGGCGCGACCTCGATATTTGCAGCTGCTGCGACGGACTGCACTGAGGAATTCTTGGCCATTCACAGTGAAAATGCCAAGGCGATGCTGCCAAAATACCACATCGGCACTCTTGACGAGCATGCCCGGGCTGCCTTGGCCGGCAAGGCGGCCGAGGTCGAGGACGCCGCCCGTCCCGTCTTCCTGCAAGCCAAGGCCTGGAGCCGGGCCCGTCTGTGCTCCAAGGTGGACGTCTCCCCCGACAGCAAGCTCTTCTCCTTTGCGCTCGACCACGACCAGCAGACGATCGGCCTGCCCGTCGGCCAGCACGTGCTGATGCGGCTCCGCGACCCGGCGACCCGCGAGGCCATCATCCGGGCCTACACGCCAATCTCCCGCTCCGACGCCCGCGGCACGCTCGACTTTGTGGTCAAGATCTACCCGCCGACCGCGACGCAGGCTGGCGGCGTGATGACCACGGCGCTCGACTCCATTCCGGTCGGGCACCCGGTCGACTTCAAGGGCCCGGTAGGCAGGTTCGAGTACGCGGGCGACGGGCTCTGCCGGGTCGCGGGCCGCGCGCGCCACGTGGACAGGCTGGTGATGGTGTGCGCGGGGACGGGGGTGACGCCGATGTTGGCGGTGCTGCGCGCGGTGGTGGGCGGCGGGCCGGAGGACGCGACAGAGTGCGTGGTGCTGGACGGTAATAGAACGGAGGAGGACATCCTGTGCAGAGCGGAACTGGAGGCGCTGGTGGGAGGCAGCGGTGGGAGGGCGAGGCTGGTACACACGCTGTCGGAGCCGGGGGAGGGCTGGCGCGGGCGGCGCGGAAGGATGGACAGGGTGTTTCTGGAGGGGTTCGCGGGGAGGCCACCGCAGAAGCAGCAGGGGAGTGATGACGGTGAGGAGGAGGAGGAGGAGGAGGAGTCGGCGATGGCGTTGGTCTGCGGACCAAAGGCGCTGGAGGACAATGTTCTGGACATCTTGAAGGACTTGGGGTGGGATGAAGATGACATTCTCTTCTTTTAGGATGTACATGGACTATACAAGATTGCTTCGTACATATGGGAATCAACATTTAATGCTCATCTAGAAGCCAAATATAAGACTGGCCATGGAGCATGCATCCGAGACAAGACATCGCACCCCCAAGGACATCGGTAATTGCATAGATTGGCTGCAGGAGCCCGCATGGCCGAACTGTCATGTGACGGCATGGTTAACCTGGGTTTTCCTGTTAGGGAAATACGACGGCTGTACTGGAAGCTGTAATACCTACCATGACCACCTGTAAGCATACATGACTGTTGCTGCCACTCAGCCGCAGATGACCGAGCCGGTCAGTCTTGGGCGCGACTTGACAGCATACACAACCCAACTTCTGGTCGCAACTTCATTTACGTATAGGCCGCTTTCCGGTTAAAAGGGGAATGGCCTCTTCCTTCGCAAAAGACCCCAAAGGTCTAGGGGGGAAGTCGTTCCGTGTGGCTGCGGATACCGAAGTCAAGTTGGCGTCCATGAAGATACGACATCACAGGCTACATCCTCGAGGGGAGCTCACTAATGAAGGTATGCCACGAAAAGGATTGATATGACGTGCTGCAGGGGTAACAGGGGTTAATCTGCAATAGTTTCTGGTAGGAGATACGGGAGGGCGGGCGTATCAAGAATACGAGAGTCCCCGTCACCCCGGCCCGAAGCCCAGCTTCTCTGTCCCTGGGCTTTTCAACCCTGTCTTCTGTATTGGAAAACAATAGGGTTGCTAGTGAGCAGCTGGCAGCGAGAGAGCGGGATCCTGTTCGTCTTGCCTGTAGAGTCGCAATCCTCGGCTCTCGCTAGCCTCGTCTCAGCTGGCGTGCTTGGGAAGTTGGCTAGTTCAGCGAGGACCGGCGCCCAAGTCCCGCCGGTGCCAGGAATGGTTGGGTCAAGCCCACCGCCTTGGTAGAGGGAGCCGGGCAGCCGGGGATGCTCCCCCGGGCCGGTGGAGGCGGCGCACGATGGAACGGAGGAGTCGTGGGTTGTCGGGTCTCGAATCTTGAGGAGGAGGAGAGGCCCTTGTCCGGCTAGCGATGCGCAGCACAGGGCAAGTGGCGCAGACCTCTTGAAGAGGGGTGTAATAAAGAAGAGGCTGCAAGATGATGTGTGAGAAACACGGTACTGTAGACTTGGAGAGTCAGGGATAGGAGGTGGATGTGGATGATTGTTGGTTGCTTGCAGAAACGAACTATGTAGTAACTATGTAGTAACTATGCTTTTTGGACTGGACAGCATCCTCCCCTCTTTTCTCTCAAGCACAGGTTATTTATTAGCAAATTTTTTTTTTTTTTTTTTTTTTTTTTTTTTTTGGGAAGGTGGGCGTACGTTATCTGACAAAAGTGCCATACTATCAGTCCAGTGCTAACTTAGTGTCAGAAGAGCCAACTCATGAGTTGGTGTACAATTTACGCAGCGGGCAGATATCGATGCTTATCTTTGTGCAGTTATGTAATGTAATGTAAAACAGTGCGCGTTGATACACAAAATTATCTCTTCGTTATCAGCCGATACGGTAAAGGAAAGGATCAACCTACTTGGAGCTTGGAGGCGCTCAGTAGCCTCCGTTGTTGGAAGAAGCCCGTAGAGAAGGACAACAGGGACCAAGACACGTTCATCATTCTCCCCATCCTCTCTATGCACTGCGGGATTAAATGCAATGCAATTATTTTACTCTCTTCCGGTGCAATCCTACAAGGCAGATGGACTGTGGACTGCTTGCTGTGTGCACCCCCTCCCCTCCCTGCTAGACATCCTCGGCCGAGTCCAACCGGGGAGTCGACATGTACAGTGACTTTGCATCACATGAGAAGCACGCACAATCAGTCGCAAGAAAAGATCCTTCCTCGCCTGGCTACGGGAGCCCAGATCTCCTCCAAAACCGCGACGGTAGCATGCGGCCAACCCGGCGGCCCGCTCTGCGCCGTCCCTGTCCGCAGGACCACACGCCACGGCCTGCTCATTGTGCACGCCCAAGCTTCTCGGACTTGCCTTGCTTGGAAAGGAGCAAGAGGGCACGGCCTAGAAAAAGGGATGCAGGGGGCGGAGGCTCTTCTTCCTGTAAGGTGACCGCGACCCGATAACCGCTGCACCCTCCGTCGTAAAGGATACACTGAACAGGTCGTTCCTATTCGACCAAATTTAGTCTTCATTCGCCATCGTCTCTTCTTTGATATCCCCACCTGGTCTACAATAACGCTTTACTCCAAGTAAGCCGACGGGGACTTGTGGTATCGGTTGACCAGGACCATCCTTGTTCCTCTCTCGCCTCTCGTCTGGAGTGGCTGCTTCCCCTGAGCGGCTGGTTTTTACTGCTGGGATCTTTCCAATAGTGCAAGTGAGAAGCGTAAGAGGGACGAATAGCATCGAAACGGGAAAATAGCACCGTTTTGTCGCTTCTGTAGCATCCCTCCCCCTCACGCTGTGTGATGGTTTGCTGATAGTCTACCACCAAGAAGGGCCCAGCAACACACTCTTGCATCTCTCATTTTCTCCCCCTCTCCTTCTTACAGTGTTAGTATTTTGTGTGAATATTGCTTCTTTGTGCCGTCCAACTTGTCGACCCGTCATATATGGAGGGGCGTTGCTCCGTCATCTTGTCCGTCGACCGCAAGGGCCTTACTACCAGCCTGTGTTGGCAGAGCCAAGTACGACCCTTGACATTTGCCCCATCTCTCATATCTCGCTTTGCTTCTTTTCACTACTGTGTTCTCCTTTTTTCTTCTCTTTCTGATCTTCAGGAAAAGAATCAGGCTCGCTTGGAAATGGCTGTACTTACGAACGGCACGGCTGTCGAAACGGCGCCGCTGTCGGCGCCAAAAAACAACGACCAAACACACACTCTCAGCTTGGTGATTCTGATTGTGGCCATATTCTCTGCTCTTGGGTCTATTTGGATGATTCTTGGCTTCGCAGTACTAAGAACCCGCTTTACAACCGCAATGTCTACCCAATTCCGCTAACACTGACCAGATGAACAAGTCGTTGCGAACATTTAGACATCAGCTTATCCTGTTAGTTTGTATTGCTTGTATACATTGGACATTGACTTACATGAACTGTAGTGGTCTTGCGTTGAGTGACTTTTTCATGGCCATCAACTTCCTGTCTTCAGCTGCCGTCAACCTGTCTGGCCAGGACATTGGCTCAAAATCCTGCAAGTCCTTCTGCAGCTTCAACGGATTTATGATTCAAACATTTGTTGACCAGAGTATGCTAATTTATGAGAATGATGTTGACTCTTGCTAATTCTCTACAGCGGACTATTGGGTTCTTTCCATCGCCGCCTGCATATTCATCATGGTGGACGACAGGAAGGCGGTTTCGCAGTGGATTCAAAACAACAGGGTCGTGGTATGGACAGTGCCATGGGCCTTGTCGCTTCTTTGGGCGACCCTTGGATTATGCTTGGCTGGTTATGGAGACATCGGAGCGTGTAAGTCTGGGGAAGATGTATTGTCGTCATCGGCTGGGTTGCTAATGTCTTCAGGGTGCTGGTTCACGAGCGACAAGACCCGACTACTAGTCAACTTCCTCCCTCGCTGGGTCATCATCGTGCTGATGCTTCTCCTGTATCTTCGCCTGCACTTCATCATACACCGCGCGCACGATAACTTTGTGTCGTTCAACGACGACGAGGAATACGGCGTCGGCTCCGGATCGCACTCGGGACCGTACTCGGTGTCGAAGAGCGGCGGGTCCTGGTCTCTGCAGCCGGTGCACATGTCGGAGCTCTCCGAGGGCTCGAGTCAGGAGCGCATCGTGGCGCCGCCCGCGCCGCCGGCGGAGGCGCCGAGACCAAAGACGCGAAGGAGTCGAGGTGCGGCCGATTTGCGGAGGGTGAGTTGTCAGCGAAGCGGAAGATGAGATGGGAGCTTCGGCTTGCTAACGGAATCTACCTCCAGCTGTCTTACCAGATGATGCTCTACCCGCTGGTCTACATGCTCATCTGGGCACTGCCGACGGCAATTCGCATATACCAGGCTGTCAGCGGACACTCGGCTCCATTTTCGGTGGCGACTGTCGACAAGGTACGGCCGCTGAAGAAGTCGCAATGTTGAAATGTACAAGAGAAACATGTTAATTTACTGTGCTTTAGTCGTGCATTGTCATTCAGGGCCTCTGCGACGCGATAGTATACGGGTTCAATGAGAAGACTTGGCGGGGTTGGAAGGAGATTTTTACGCGAAAAAAGGGAAACTAAGGAGAGGTGGAAGATGGATATGTGCTTCTGTTACATATGTGCAGGTAAAGAATCGATATGTCTATATGTATCAATTTTTTTTTTTTTTTCATATTTTTATAGCGGTTGCCCTGATGTCTGGGCCTGGCTCGAGGGTTGGGGAACATTTTTCGGTTACCATCTACAGCCAAAAGAACAGTCGTCTAATTCCGCCGGATTTATGAGTGAGGAGATTATTCGGCTACTAAATATATCAAGACCATGTTAGATATGCATTCCGCGGATTGAGCGAGATGCCACGGAATCGGCTAACTCGGAGCATATCCGTGTCCACCCCCGCATTCTCATCTGATACGGTCTGG